ACTCATTCTAACCCGGATCTTCACGGGTTAGTTTATAGTGAAATACTTTATTCCAACATGTTGCATTAAGTCACATGTCACATGACCTACAGTGACAATCAAAACATTGTCTTAGTTCTTTCTTGACGAAAATTCATTCAACATTTGTATAATATTGAGGTAAACTGTGATGTAGACTTAATATGTCGTCTGGAAATTTCAGGCTGAGTGCACTATACATTGTTTTTGATTCGTTTGTTATTTATTACTACTTTTCGCAATATTCCAGCTGTAAGAAGGTGGCCTGTCAATAATCGAGGCTGGACCAAACAATCCAGTGATTGACATAATGAGCATCGATATTGAGATACGATGACATGCATAAAACCAAGTCAGTGAGTGACCATCCGATCCCGTTAGTCGCCTGTTACGACAAGCATGGGTTGCTGAAGACCGAGTCTAACTCGGTCGCTCTATGCAGTGAGTCTTATTTGTTGTAAACTTGATAGTGTCTTCGTACACCGACGGCGTGCATCTTTGCTCACAATATCGATCACTGGATTGTCTGGTCCAGACTCGATATTTTTCCTGGTTGCCGTGGAATAATGCTGAGTGCGGCGTTAAACCTCAAAACAGCTCAGTGAACACGCACACATACAAAGACTATTGAAATAATAGTGCTAAAACACGGCCAACACACCTCAATCTCATTAAAATCAGATCTTAATTCTCGCTACCGCTAAACATTGCGGTAGCGAGAACGAAGATCTGATTTTAATGAGATTAAACGCACCTACAATTAATCGAAACAGTATGGTCGACGAGCATTTCATATTAATAAAATATTTTCGAGATTTATATGTTATTGTCAATGAGACAACACCTACACTTCAACGACCACAGTATGGTCGACGAGTGTTTCATATTTAAATTTTATTTTAGAGATTTATTAGTGTCACTCAGACAACATATCAGTCCAGAATGAAGGTGTAAACACTCTCAATAACATCCTCATCTGGTTCGCGAGACACCTAATTGACAATGAGAGAACGGGGCCGATTATAAATACAAACACTTGAAAATAAGTGACTGACGTGGTTGAAAAGCTACAGGTTCGACACCTGACACCCAATAACTCAGCGCATAGTGACATTATCAGTGACCTGGGTCCGGCAGATTAGTTCCAGACATACGGAAGGGTTCCGTCTTCAAAATCTCGTGAGAAGACTGTGGATAGAGCAATCTCCTTACAGCGTCGAGGAGTCGCATAAGGGTTAATGGGTAAAGAGATATGGCCCTGACACTGCTGCCAAGTTTATCTGTTCAAAGAAAATGGAATGTTTGGAATTATTTCCGGGCAGTAAACACACGTACAAGAAATTAATCTTAACTATATAGCCATCAATCACGGTAAAACTGTTTTGCACTGAACACAAGCGGTCAGTTGCAAAGGGTACATTCGAAGTTTAATAAGCCCCGGTCTCCCTTCCTTCGATCTAGAACGAGACTATGCACACTTTACAGGGAATATATTTGACACATATTGCCATGGAGAATGTGTCTTTGAGGATTTATCTTCATCTAGATAGGTGATGAGTGAGTGAATGAGTTATGTTTAACGCCGCTTTTAACAGTATTCCAGTTATATCGCGGCGTGTCAGATGAATGTGGGAGGAAAGCCCGAAGTGATGCAGGTCTCAGAGGTTAACCACTTCGGTGAAACGCACGAGCACGGGGCGCGGGTGCTGACAAACCTAGAGACATAATCGGGGCGAACCGGGATTCGAACCCACAATCATAGGTTTCTGGCGTGCCCAAGGGACGCAACTCTGCACAGCGAATTGCGGCGCCTTAGACGACTAGGACAACCGAGCCCCATGATAGGTGATGGGAGAAGTACAGAAGGCAGTGATTGTCACGTATTTTGACCAAGTTAGAATTGATCCCTAGAAGCTTCTGCTTGTCGTCGGTTGGTCAAGTTCGCGACTGGGTCAGCTTTGTGCGGACTTACCACGACGGCGTCGATCGTTGCTCATAATATCGATCACTGGTTTGCAGATCGTTTACAGACTGCTGTAAATATTGCGGCGTTAACCAAACACATTTTGATGTACACGGGTATACTCATATACACATAATGTCAATATTTTATTCTCACCAAACCCCTTGGAAAAACATTCACGTCAACAACACTGAAATTTAGGGCCCTGTATACCCGACGTGACCTCTCTCTCCCTCGACTGCCATCGTCATGCGTAACGCCGCGTTGCGTCTGCTAGTGGCCCGGCTTTTGATGATAAGGAGTCGAGTTAACAACCACTTGTAGTGTTTACCATTTAGGCCTGATAACCTCGAGACCATTTTGTAGATGTTTGGAACAATCGTAAAATCTATAAACAGGTACCTGAACTGCAAACAAGACACATTGAGTTTACTCTGCGTCTAAACACATATCTGGCTCTATCGGAAGTTCCTCAATGTAGATATATATGATCGTCGACTAACATATAAACAAACTGTTAACTGTGATAATAAACCGAGATAGAGATTTAATGTTCTACAGAGAGAGCAAATAAATAGTGGTATATCGTGTTCTCCTTCGGAACATTAAAGTCGTGTTAGTCAGCGACCGAGATTAATTGAAGGAAATCCCGACAAGTAAATAAATCGTAAATTAAAGGATATGAACTGTAGAAATATGACAGATATGAACAAACCCGTTTCAGTCATGTATAGTTAATGGACACGTGAGGATCCAGGGTAGAATAGGTCTTCAGCAACCCAGGCTTGCCATAAAAGGCGACTATGCTTTTCGTAAGAGGCGACTAACGGGATCGGGTGGTCAAGCTCGCTGACTTGGTTGATGCATGTCATCGATCCCAATTACGTGGATCGATGCTTATGATGTAAATCACTGGAATGTCTGGTTCAGACTTGATTATTTACAGACCGCCGCCATATATTTGTAATACTGCTGAGTGCGGCGTGACAACAAACAAACATTTAGTGAATGAATAACTGGAATGGGCTTATTAAGAAACTAAGAATGTATATGAACAGCGCCATGTCAGCACGCTTTGACCATTCGCCTTGTAAAACGTTCCCTTTCTCATTGAGATAGTAATTTAAGTAAACATGTAAAGGCTTTGAAAGTGTTCGCACGACGTCCCATTCACAGGCGTGCCTCACCTCGGTGGCGGTTGTATCCCCGACGAGTGAGCCACCGTTATACAATACACCGGAAACTGGTCCCTTGAAACTCGATTAGAGTGCCACCCCTGACCCGGCGCTGATAACAGAAGGAGGGGGGAAAAGGGGTGGGGCGAAAGATGACTATATATGTCGATGGAAGGCGACATCGCCTAGGTAACGCTCGTCAAATTGAACGATACTTTGACCTGGGGTGTAACTGCGATTTAGATATTTTATTAAGCGGAACTCACGGAGTGCGTGTGCGTGTGTGCGCGTGCGAAAACTCCCAGGCAAGTCTAAATACCTTCGCAAGTGTAGATTTGTCCACTTTCTACAAATGGAGAGATTCTCTGTGCTTCTTTCTATTATTTACGAACAGGAAATTGAAAGAAAATACATTTCCGAGACTAAATGTTAGTCAAGCACGAGATAATTACAAGTATGCACGAATAGGTCCTTAAGCTTGTTAAACAGGTTGTTAATACGCCATTAAACAAATAGCCTAGCAAAGTACGTGTATTATGTTACAACACACTATCGAGTGAATGGTTACCATTTGCTGGACTAACACTTAGTCTGGGAAAACATTTCTTTAACATAAGTGTAATATATACTTGTCGATAGAGTGAGTGAGTGAGTGAGTTGGGTTTAACATGACTGGGCCACCCGTGCCCCCACTTGTCGATGGAACTTTTCCTCCACTGTTGACTTCCTTCATAATCAAGTAAATTAGATTTAGTTCGTTGATCCATTTGCCAAGGCTTTTAGTTAAAAAAAATAATAAATATTTTTTTTAATTCTAGCAATGGTCGGGACTAACCATATGCAAGTGAGCATGTGTGTCACGTACCATCAGCAAAATTCAAGCTATATAAACTTGAAGTGATTGTCAGTGAGACCGGAGGTTGAGCAACATCAATGTCATTGTGGGTACTATGACAACCAACTGGCCAGCAGGTCTCACATTGTAATAACCCCATTCCTCTCTTGTAGCGACTCTGGCCGACTCTGGCCACAAACACGCTCAGGTGAACTACACAGCCTTGTGGCTACCTTTTGCACAAATTTCCAACAATATTCTTTTTTACCAGATCACTAAAACAGGTTTCTGCATTCATAGTTATATCTTTGACCATCTACCCACTATATCGGTGGACCCGTGGTATTTTCCGGGGTAGAATAGGTCTTCAGCAACCCATGCTTGCAGTAAAAGGTGACTCTGCTTGTCGCAAAAGGCATCTAAGGGGATCGGGTGGTCAGGCTCGCTGACTTGGTTGATCCATGTCATCGATCCCAATTGCGTGGATCGATGCTCATGATATTAATCACTGGATTGTCTGGTCCAGATTTGATTATTTACAGACCGCCGTCATATAGCTGGAATATTGCTGAGTTGGGCGTTAAACAACAAACCAACCAACTATATCAGTGACATTTATAATGCCCTACAACTGTTTGTTGTTGTCTTTATCAAGTGATTGACTGAGTGCTTCATTCACTTTCACTTTGCGTCCTCCAAATGAGCTGAGATTTGGCATCATTTGGGTCAATCTGTTTTGAGAGAAAATAATAGTTCTAACCTTAATGAATATATATTTCATTCCAAGAAAGGTATGTTTTCTATATTAGTGTTATTTTGTGCCACTGCAAACACATATGAATTTGAATAGTACTTGTGACTAATTTTAATTCGCTTTTTGTTACATTCTGCAGCAGTAAATAGTTTTTCAAACAGTTTAAGGTGGCTTATGGTTCTGGTTGTTCAATCTATTAAATGAAAGATTAAAGAAAGTGATGCCTTGGTAAGAAATTAATAACACACACAACAGTTTTGCATTAAGAAATAGACTTTATTTCAAATGTATCAAAACATTTCATTATGTCAATATGAGCATTGTCATAACCTCAACCATTCACCTATACAAAACTATATATTTAGACAAAACTCTTGTAGAAAACTGGCACTTATCAACAAGGAATTCTTTGGAAATATACATAATGCTGGAAACCCCGGCAATCACAGATGTGCTTCGTGGACACCGACTTCTCATCATAAACAGAGGAGAGAATTCCATAAAGGGAGATAACCATGATAAATCGTTCCTTTTTAAGAAATTCTGCACATAACACCTCAGTGTAGTTGTAAATTTGATATGCAAAAAATCAACATTCTTTAAAACAATGGAATAATATGTTTTCATCTCATTGTGACAATACAATGCCATATCTTCTACTGATCTATAGTGTCAGGACATATAACTCATATTACAGTAGGACAGTAAGAAAAATATAACATTTAAAAACAAGTCAGTTGACAAAAAGAACACAAAACATAAATCCCTTTTCCACTGAAGTAAAAAATATAAATTTGCTAAATATCACATTTAGAATTATTACTGACTTCGGAAATGCAATTGTATCCGTCATTTTCTCAGAGAGAAAATATGTAAAGCAATCCACCATTATTTACAAATCAACTGTTACAACAACAAACTGTTCTCAACCTCCATAAAGGATATTGAACTATTCTACAATTAGCATGGCCTCGTCATCATTTTTGTTGTAACATATTGTCATTTCCCATTGGACGGAACTGTGAGACATCGTAAAAGACATAACATAAAAAAGACATGATATATAAAAAATATGTCATACAAATAAATAATAACAAAAGTTAATAAATTTGAAATAACAATATAGAAATCACAGTTAACCTCAGAGAGGTCTTGTCATTGGATAAGCTGATATTGACCTTCATGTACACATTTTCATTGCAATGCTCAGTGGGCAATAAACATGCTCAAATATAATGCTGTAAGTATGTACAGAATAAATGTTCAAATCAAAGTTCATTGTAAATGAAAGTAGTGTTACTAATGCTGATCTATTGAGTATTACAAAGATAAAGACATGTTTGATATTCTTTAATGTTTGATAATTTAATTGTCTTACTGTCTTCATTCAGTATAATTTAAGATCTCTATTTTTGATGATTACAATTCATAAATACAGCAAGACCTGACAGTGGAATGCTGACTACGTAACGTTTACTTCTTCTTCTTAACTGCTTTTTCTTTCTGAGCAATGTCAGCTTCAATGTAAGAGATTTTCTTCACCAGGGTCTCCTTTTTCACAAGTATTCCAGTCAGCTGTTCATGTGAGGCTGTCAGCTGTTCGTTATCTCCTGCAGATTCCAGTTTCTGGATTCCGGCACGAAGTTCAGCTTCTGTTTTCATTGTCTGCAAGAAGAAAACAAAGATGTCATCTGACTCTTCTTTGTTGTTTTTTGCTGCTTGGAACAGTAGTTCAGACAAATCATGGCGTGCCAGCCTAACATGGAAGAAAAGCCCAAACTGATGCAGGTGCAGACATTGACAATACCCACATGGGCAGGGTGACAAATCGAGGATCATAAGTAGGGTGAATAAGAGATTTGTACCCATCATCCAAAGATCCTGGCATGGCTAAGGGAGACAATTCAGTGACATCTAACATAAAATGGCGATATGTTCTGCCCTTGAATCCCCACAGGGGCTTTGTTTACAGTGAGTGAGTGAGTGTGAGATTTAATGTCACTTTGAACTGTATTTTAGTTATACCACGCCATGTCAGCTCAATGTTGGAGGAAAGCTTGAAACGATGCAAGACTGAGATGTTTACCACAATGGTAAGGTACACAAATCTAGAAATGTAATCCTCAGTATTTAAACCCTGGAATACAGGTTTCTGACTTGCGAATGGGACATAACTCTGCACATCCTATTCCGGCGCCTTAGACAACTAGGCCCCCTTTGTTACTATAGAAACCCAGATGATTGGCAACAGTGTCCTTGATGACCCCCTTACCTGCATGAGTTCAGCATTGAGGGAGTCATTGTTGGTCTGTAGCTCCAGCAGCTGGGAGTCCAGGACATCCTTCACTGTAGATAGGGCTGGGATGCCGCGCCGCTTCAAGGGGCTGGAAGACATAGTGCAATTCAATGATTATTTTTAGGTTTCCACTCTGAAGACAAGGGAGCATAATAACAATGCTATCATTGTGTTTAAACAGGTACTCTAAGCTGGCATAATATCATAAAACTTTTTAACATTAATGAATGAGTGAGTATGGTTTTATGCTGCTTTTAGCAATATTCCAACAATATCATGGCGGGGGACACCAGAAATGGGCTTCACATATTGTACCCATGTCGGGAATTGAACCCAGGTCTTCGGCATGACGAGTGAACGCTTTAAGCACTAGGTTTCCTTCTACAATCTTTTCCTTCTACAAATACTGCATAAAAAATTAGCCAGAGATAGTGAGTGCATTGAAATTTTAAGTCACACCAGCAGCATTTGAGCGATAATCTTACTTGAACATTTACTATTTCACATAATCATAAGATTCATTTGAAGAATGCTATTGAGGAATAACTGACACACCTTTAGAAACATGTCAAATGTCATTTATACTTAGAAACCCCAAGTCAAACAAGTTAGAAAATCATTTGGTAAATATCAATATGGTAAAGACAACAAATGCTACAAGGAGAAATGGTCAAAATTGAAGTTGACCTGATCAATAGTTACTTTTATTATATCAATTACATATATTTATAAATTGTGTATGTATATTTCTGTGACTCTCTTTCCTTCTCCCTTTCTTCCCTCCCCTCTCTTTTTCATGCCAATTTGCCCCCCTAGTCACCTTGACATCATATTAAACTGTATTTAGCCACATAAATTAATTAAGAAGCCCACTAATCAAAGAGCCATGAGATATTATCTCCATGCAGTCCTACCTTCGTGGGGTATGTGAGGGACTTGGAATGCCTCCCCGCAACTCCGACATCCGACTGCTGATGATGTCGCTTGACGTCATGAAACCACCCTTAGAAGCAAGGTACTGCCGCAGTCTGGCGTTGTTGGCCATGGCCTGGTAGCCATACATTCGCTGTGTGATTGTCTGGAGGAGTGAATACATTGGTATTTACACTTTATTAATAAGATCAATCAAGAAACGGATCTCAGTTTCGGGCACCCATTATAAGCACAGTGCAGAACATCAACTAAGGGCTTCACACATTGTGGGCATTGAACCCAGGCATCGATGAGACAGGCAAGTGCCTTAACTACAGGGCTGCCTCTACCACATCTCACTACACCAACTTTGTTGTAGCTAAGAGTTAGGTTATCAGGTAGTCAGTCACCCAGTTTAGATTAATTATTTTTGTCTGAACTTTGTTAGATTTATTGGGAAAAATATAAAGATACAACTACAAAAATCATACCAAATAAAAGTAACTACATGTGTAACATTTTATAAATGATACTTGGATAAAGGCATTCAATTTTCTACTGACCAAGTTTCTTACCACCGGTTCGTTTACCGGACTTCGCTGAAGAGATGTGGTGTAATTTTTGTCTGCGCATAATAGTGGAATTTGTGGTGGAGTTCTGGGTGGGCTACACTGCTAGTAACAAGTTAACTTGCTTCCAAATTAATACTTGCACTTAGGGCTACCTGCCTTTCAGCGGGAACCTTTCCGGGATTAACTGCTTCTCAGTGGGAACCTTGGTTTTCCTGGAGAATCGTAAAATAGCTTACGTCGGGCAACCAATTGCCACGTATATGGGCCCGGCGGCGGAAGTCGTCTTGTCAAGCGGTAGCTGACAGTTGGGCTCCCGGTGGTGGTCATGACAATGGTTTTACTAATGGGGCCGGGCAGCGGTAGTCTGACATAGGCCAGCAGCGTTAGCTGCTTATGACAGCGTGGTAGTTGCCAAGCAATGGTAGCATATAAATATGCTACCATGGGGGCCGGTCAGCGGTAGCGGTCTCAGGCCAGCAGCGCTTGCTGCTAATCCCCATTGGCCACGCTAGTGGCCATGGCAACGGTAGCATTTTGGGATACCCGACTAGCAGCTTAGTATCCCAGTAGTACCTGCACACCCTCGGCCATTTAATCTCATCTTGTGTTTTATTAAAGGCATGGGCATCGACAGCTTGGTGGCCCATGTCTCGCCTCTCCTTGGCATATCGAGGGATAAAAGTAACTACATGTGTAACATTTCAAAAATGATACTTGGATAAAGGCATTCAAATTTGTACTGACCAAGTTTCGTTTCACCCGTTTGTTTACCAGAGTTCACTGAAGAGATGCGGTGTAATTTTTTTCTGCACATAATATTGGATTTTTTCCCTTCAAAACAGAATTTGCTAGAGTGGCGTGCGCATTATACTTGGATGAGCACTATACTCAAGAAAATACGGTATTCTCTGGCTTATGCAAGCCTCTTCTAAAGCCCTAAAAACACAACATCCTGCATGTTAAATGTCATAAGCATTTACTGTTCCCTACGGGAAGCAATGACCAAAATATTTTCATGAAAAATAAAAAGAAAGAAATAATGATCTGCAACAAATCATTAATTTAATCTCAATTCAACTGAACTAACTAACTAACTGGAGAGCAAACATCTGTAGACCATGAATAAAACAAAGTGTAATCTAAGCACCAGTCTACTTCCAACATTGCTCCTCTGTTATGAACTTGCAAAAGATGTACTGCTTGTGACCTACTCCGTCCTGGAATCCAGAAGTGGTCAAAGTATGAAAGGGACCACAACACTCTACAGAATATTTCAAATTGTCTTACCTGGGTTGAGAAGTTAGTTCGGGCTGGACTGTCGACTTTCATGTCAATCATCTCCCCGATGACGTTCATCCTGTCATCAGGGTTCTTGGTGCCAGCCAGCGCCATCTCCAGGGCTGGTCTGGGACTGGATGAGCCAATCAGAGAGTGAGCTCGGCTTGTGTTCTGTGTTCTTGAGAAGAACATGTCTTGACACATGATCTTCATTGCCTAAGAAAGAAAAAAACCCCGGAGAAAATGATACATTGTTCCACAGATGTTTATATTCTAAAGTGAGGAGGCAGGATAAATCTTAATTTAACGTGTTCTGTTGCTAACCATTTCATTTTTTTCGTACACAGCATGAAAATCAAAGATGAATTATTACTGAGTTATGATTTTAAGGGTTTCCTTCTGAACTCACAGAGTTCTTTATGACTAAACACATTTTTGTAGTCACTACTTTGGTAAAGAAAACTAATCCACAAGAACATATTACACACAATGGTGTCTGCGATAGGTGAAAACACCCTCCTGAGATACCTCACCTTATAGAACTCTCTCATAAAGAGGACATTTCCATCATCTGTCATATCCCCAACCTTGATGTGAGCAAGGGAGTGCAGAATTACTACAACAAAGTCCCCGATCGATTCCATTCTTTCCTTCCTCACAAACAAAATCTTCCGAGAATGCTCATAGAATATGGAGTTCCTGAAAGCATTCCTCTCATAATTGTTCTTTGGAAGACTTGAGGCAAGGAGCAGAGTGACTTCAGGTGTTCCGATTGTCTGGTTCAAGAGTCTGATGACGAACACGCCAAACCTGTAGATGACGAACTGACTTGGACTGATGCCATTGATGTCTGTGGGCTTGAGGTCCCCGTTGCAGGACCACTGGGCATCCTTCACGTCAATGTACGGCTTGCTGTAGTCCCCACCTGGAAGCAAGGACAGAGTGAGTGAGTGAGTGAGTGAGTGAGTGAGTGAGTGAGTGAGTAAGTTGGGTTTAACGCCGCTTTTAACAGTATTCCAGTTATATCATGGTGTGTCAGCTTAATGCGGGAGGAAAGCCCGAAGTGATGCAGGTCTCAGATGTTTACCACTTCGGTGAAACCCATGAGCACGGGTATGGTGTTGACAAACCTAGAAACATAATTGGGGCGAACTGGGATTCGAACCCACAATCATAGGTTTCTGGCATGCCCAAGGGACGCAACTCTGCACAGCGAATCACGGCGCATTAGACGACTGTGCCCCCGAGTGAGTGAGTGAGTGAGGTTTGGCTTAATGTCACTTTGAACTGTATTTTCTTTATATATACCCCTTTGATGAAATCCAGGTATGGTGCTGACAAACCGAGAAACATGATCAGGCCAAATCATAGGATTCTGGCACACATAAGGGATCACAGTCTATTGGAGGACACACACAATACATAGCGCTACAGCAACAACATGGTTGACAAAAGCTATACTCTAGGTACAAACAAAGAGTGAGTGATTTAAGTGTAAGGCCACTTTGAACACTATTTCAGTCAAGGCTTGTCAGCTAAAGGCAGAGCTAAAGCCATGGAGGTCTCAGATGTTGACCACTTTGGTGCAAATACTTTTGTCTCCAGAACAAGTTTTCACAGTACATCACTATCTGTAGGTATTAATATAGGTACATGTACGTAAAAATATATAACAATCAACTGTTCATTTGCCCACTTAAAAATTTCTTATTCAAATAATCTCAAAATCAAGACCTTTCTATTTTAAAAGACATATAACTGTCATATAAAATCTCAAGTTTGATTAAAAATATATGATGAACAAATCAATAATTTATTTAATAATTACATCAGATCATAACCTACCCAGTATCTTGTCTGATGTGGCTGGACCAGATCCGGTGCCACTCGATTTGTCCAACATAGCCTCAAGATCGTTGATCTGCTTGAAGAGAGGCGAAGCCATTAGCAGATTCACCCAGTCCTGTTCCCTGTTCCCTGTACTCTCAAACCCGCTGTCAGGAACAGGATCGGTTGTTGTGCTGCCCTGCAGTGAGGTAAACCCGGACTGCAGTGTCATCTCCTGCTGTCTCTGAGCCATCTCGTTCCTCATCTCCTCATCAGCTTCTAGCTGGGACTGTTTGTCCAGTTTGGCAACCTCTGCTCCCATACGTTGCTTCTTCCTGGCATCCAGCTTGGCCTGTAAGGCAGCTCTGTGCCGTTCCCGCTCATTCTGGGAGTTAGACTCCAGTTTCTCGATGTTCTTGTTGTGTTCCCTCAGCAGTTTGGCCTTCTCCTGCTCACTGGCACTGGATTGCTCAATCTCTTGCTTCTGTCTCCTGGCGTTCTCTTCCATCTGCTGCTGGCGGAGTTTCTCTCGGTCTGCTTCCCTCTCTCGAAGACGGTTCACTTCACGCTGGTGCTCCTCCTCCAAGTCCTTCTCGAGCTGTCTGCAAACACATAAGCGTTTCAACTTGATAAGCTCCTTTTAGCCCTATTCAGTCACATACAAGCAACACACAACAATTATTTCACACATTTTACTCACATGGGGCATTAAACCATGGTTACCGTCTTGACCAGCCAGTGCTTTTACTATTAGGCTAACCTACTGCCCCAACATAATGATAATGAATCAACAACCAGAGTCTCTCATATTGTTAACTCCCTACCAATCTCGTTGTGACCATCCAGTCAACATTTTAGTTGCATCTTACTTGAACCACAGGTTGACGAAACCCTGTTCTGTCCTGAGATGGTTCTTTTATTCACCATTTATTTTCCAATAAGAAATGCATCCCGTTTCTTAATCAAATCATAATGCTTACACAAAGTAGAAACAATTACAAACAAAGTATATACACAAAAAATGCAGGCAGAAACATCACAACTTACTGAAGCTGATTGAGAATCTTGCTTTTGCGTTCTTCCTCACGTTCCTTCTGCTCTCTCTTCCTCCTCTCCAACTCTGCTTGCATCTTCTTCATCACGTCCTCCTTGTACTTCCGGGCTTCCTCTGCAGCCTTGCGTGCCTCGGCCTCATACTGCTTGGTGAGGGCCTCAGTGGGGGAATACTTCCTCATGGCATCGGCCAGGTCTCCCAGCTGCTTCTCCTTCAGGGACAGCCGGGCGTGGGTCTGCTGCACCTCCAGCTGGGGCGTCATCTGCTTCTCCGCCTGACTTGACAGTGTCACTGTCAGCTGGTCAAAGTCCTCAAGTTGTTTCTGGAAATATTCATATGTATCTAACAGTGGTCTCAAGCAGGAGGAAGACATATTCTTTAGATCTTAATGGCAGAGAAGATGCATTTTATTCGTGTGGAGGTATATGATGCATGCTGAGGGTGAGCGAATGCAGATCTATTCCTAAGATGTGAGTGGTTGCTCAGATGTGAGGGAAGAGTAGCTGTATATTCTACAGGTGTGCTGAAGAATAGGTTTAAAGTCTCCAGGGTGCCATTGTGCAAAGCAATCTTAGCGCTAAGGTTATCGTAAACTCCCATACCTTAACATAGACTTGGTGTTTATTGTCCAGGACCCACTTGCACAAAGCGATATAAGCGCTAAGATGATCGTAACTCCCATATTTTAACATATGGTTACAATAGTCTTTGCGCTAAGATCGCTTTGTGCAAGTGGGCCCCGGACTGAGTTTGCTTGAACTGACAAGGGGAATATTCACCACACATGCATCCACACAAGATACACAATTCATAGGTTAGGGTGCAGATCCTACCCTGTCCCAACATGACTCACCTCCTGTTGTTTCTGGAGCTGCTGCTTCTTCAGGGCCAGTTCAGCATGAGACATGGACCCAGCATTGGCCACAAGGTCCATCAGCTCCTGAAGCAACAAAATACAACTCACTAATGAAAAGATCAGATCTGAATAACAGATACACCTACTTGAAAATGTCACACTTCTACTTGTACTGGACCTCTCATATCTCTTACAGATCCTGAGCAAATATATCATAAATCACTCCTATTCCATTTTCATCTCTTTCTCAGTTCTCAGAAATTATTAGACTTGAGGGTTCTTTATATGAGGGTTCCCTCAAAGTATTCCCTCATACATAACAATATTTCAGTGACGATGTGCTAGTCTACACTACCTGTTCAAATGCTGATGTGAGTTTGTCTCTCTCGGCCTGTCTAGTTTCCTGGACCTCCACCAGGGCACGTTTCAGTGCGGCGTCTCGCTCCCGGGCCAGCTGTTCCTCCAGGTGGATGGCCTCCTTCATGTGCCTCTGTCTCAGCACTGTGTAGATCATGTTCTCGGCCACATGGCCGTCCTTGCCCTGAACACAACACTCCCTTATCATGTGGAAAATCATTCACAGATTATTAAACGGAAATGTTTCACTTGTTTGATGTAAAGAATGATGAGGTGGGGTGAACACCACTCTTAACAGTATTTCAGTATTTCTTATGTAAGAGGAAACCCAAAACCATTCATGACTTTGGTGAAAACCCATGAGGACAGGTATAGTGCTGACAAACAGTGACCAAAATAAGCACCTGCCCATAGGCCTGTGGGTGGTAGAACTCGTGTTGGGCAAATACCGTATTCGACGTAATAAGCGCCCCGCTCTAATAAGCGCCCACGGCGATATTTGCTTATATATTGGCTTGTGAACAATCCTAATTTGCACCCTTTCCGATTGATCAATATACACAATACTTATTTATTCGCGTATACTATGCACTCGTGTGTTATATGCACCCTTAATTATGGGCAATCAAATTCTGGAAAAATATATCTCTCGTATATAAACATTTCAGGCTGTCAGCATAAAGCCCTGGGCGCTTATTACGTCGAATACGGTAGTCTAAATTTGTATGGGTCCTTATGGCCTGCAGTAAATTTGTTTATCAATAAGTTTGTCAAAATAAGCTGCATTTTTTCAAATGCCTGTCAGTGCCTGCAGGTTCTATAGTCTATGGGTCCTCATGGCAGCCTGGGAATTTATTATATTTCAAACACTGGTCACTGACAAACCAACAATTATAATCAGGGCGAATCAGGGATTTAAACACATGATCATAGGGTTCTGTCATGCTAGGAGAAATAAGCAAATTTCATCACCTTGGACGATAGGGCCACCTGTGCCCCGTGAAGACACATATGAATACAAGTGGTAGAAAGGATTTCAGATTTTTTAACATTGTGGTTCACTACCCTATCTACTGAAGCTCACATATACCAAATATCTCTGTACTAATATCCTGCTCATGCTGTTTGTTCACTAAGAGATGCATGATAAGAATGTCACCTTCATTGAGTCCTTGAGGGCACGTCCCTCGACATCCTTGGCGATGATCTCATTGAGTTTGTCTCTGTCCTGCTGTTGCCGCACAAGCTCCTCCGACATCTCCAGGTCATGCTTCTTCTGCAGCTGCTGCATCTTCTGCTGTCGACGCAGGGCAATCTGGGCACAAACAAACCATGAACAGAGCAAGGTCTGACTGGAAAACTTGCATTAAGAATGTCAGTGAAAGAGGGAGATCCAGGGAGAGACACCAATTACAGGCATTGTCTCGATGTAATTAAGCTATCCATTAACCGTGGATTGAGACACATCATAAAATTTGAGTTAGCTGATGTTCAAATTAATGACTTGAATCAAACTTGATAGGAATAGCAGTTACTTCGTCCCACACTGACCTTTGGGTGATTTGAAAGTCATTGTGCATTTCATGTGTCCACAGTGTTGCTATTCACTATCACAGTCATGATGACAAGCATAATTTTGAAGGCTATACTTCTCACAAAAAGGTACATGTGACACACAAAAATAAAGAACACATCCAATTTAGGTTCCTACTCCACCTAATAGCCTGCACTACCAACCTTGTCCATTAATGCCTTCTTCTGTCTGTCCCGCTCAGACTCAAGGTTGCGCTCGATGGCTTCCTGTTCCTTGCGGTGTTTGCCCAGTAGTTTCTGCATCTCAGCCTCGGACAGACTGCCACCATTCACAGCCAGCTCCCTCTCATGCTTGTCCTTCAGGGCATCCAGTGCCTGCAACACACACAACAAGCAGTGGGTGAGTGAGTGAAGAGGGGTGAGGTCGGAGAGAGAGAGAGAGAGATCAAGAGAGAGATCAAGAGAGAGATCTTTGTAAACAGAGTAAGTCTAAATGCTTTGACAGTCATTCTTCTTGAACTTACAAGCCATCAAAAACTGTGAAGAACAAGAGTCATCAGAAAACGACAAATCCCCCACAAATTCGAAAGAACAAATCATCTGACTGTAACAGTAAGTTCTTGATTTTAGAATTTCTATCTAATCTGTCTGTCCGTATGCGAGAGTTGTTACTGAGCTATTAAAACAATACCATGGATTTGGGATTTGGAACTTTGTATTTCTATGTTATGGACACACCAATATGAGCACAGTCAAAGTCCAACTTGTTGCCAAGGAAACGGAAAAAATAAAATTTAAAAAAAATCTATAAATAGCAAGTTTGGATGAGACATATTGAATATTTTTTCAGTTCTGCTCTGGAAATGACACCTACCTCCATATTCGAATATAAGGCTAAGTGGTGTCAAAAACAGCATGAAAATGTGAAAATTGCGATAAAACATCGCTAGACATGATAATTAACCATTTCAATGACATTTCCTATTCTGCTAGGCATTTTTTTCTATGCAGGGATTAACATTACCATGTGTATTTGGCCGGGGGATCAAAAGTGATTGAAAGTTTTAGAAAGATGCCTCTGTTCAGTATAGCAACAATCATCGCTATACGGCACAATGACACATGTAACACATCAACTCGTCAGGCAACTTCATGTTTCTTAGTAATAAAGGAATGTGACATTAAGTGCATATATAATCAACAAATCACAGGCAAGCAAGACAGCAGTTTCAGTTCCAGGTAAATCACATGTGCTCCTGAGACTACTGTTGTGTTCAACTTTCAATTAACAAGTTAAAATAAGGATGTATTTTGTTCCCCAAACAGAAGATGATACAAAGGGATTAATCACAACTCACCAATTTCTTCTGCACATCAATCTGGTGATCCATGTTCTTTGAGTCATGGTACTTGTCATCATCAAGGGCGTTGTTCATCTTGCGGTCCTCGTCTCGCTGTTGAGTCTCCAGCGCTGCCTGTTTCTCCATCTGACCATCAATCAGACTCTGCTGCTCTAACGTCATCTCATCACCATTCAGTTTGTCACTGACGGCTGTAATCACCTCAGCAGCAGCAGCATTGCCACCAGACACCTGGACAGTGAGGAAAGCTTTCTTCAGTAAAAGTGAGTGAGTGACAAGGTGACCATTCATGACACTTTTAGCCCTACTCTAACAATGACACACCAAAGGACACCAAGCTTTCACATATTTCAGCCATTTTGGGATTCAAATCCATGCTTTCCAGCTAACACTTTAATCAGGGATACCCTGCTGCCACGTTCTCTAGATTAATGGTCATATGTCACGATGGGACATTGACTGAACTGTTTGATAGGAATTACATAGAAGTTGACGGATGACAAAGTAGACACATTTTATAGATAACAACTTCTTAAATTACTGTTAAGGCGACATATCAGTATAGATCCTTATACAAGCAAGACAGTCTTCCTTAACAACGGTATAAGGATCTATACTGAAGCGTCGCCTTTACAGTAAGTAAAGAAGATGTTATCCATAAATTGTGTCAACTTTGGGACATTGACTGCTGTAAAATTACACCTGACATTAAATCAACCCTAGCAACTAAGCTCACATGACATGTTAGTCCATACAGCTTGAGTACCTGATAGGTGTGGCCATGTTCTCTTCATAAATGTGATTCATACAACAGGAAATCATAACAATAGCAGACACTTTGGAAACCAACAAATATTTGTAACCAACTGTAGCTGAAAACCAATCATAACCGATATTATTGATGGTGATTTCCTTCCCAATTCCTGACACTAGTAAGGCTTTTTATTCAGTATGTAATAATAACAACAGAAGACCACATATGATTTGGTTTGTTGTTTAACGCCGCACTCAGCAATATTCCAGCTATATGACGGCAGTCTGTAAATAATCAACTCTGGACCAGACAATCCAGTGATTGATATCATGAGCATCGATCCACGCAATTGGGATCGATGATATGTATCAACCAAGTCAGCGAGCCTGACCACCCGATCCCGTTAGTCGCCTTTAACGACAAGCATAGTCGCCTTTTACGACAAGCATGGATTGCTGAAGACCTATTCTACCCCGGAATCTTCACGGGTCAGACCCCATATGAAACACCACATATGCTCAAAACGTATGACATCATTTACCACGTCAACAGATGAGTCTGCATTCCAAATGCACTCTCGCCTCCCTGGGAATCGTACAACAAAGTTGCCTGTTAAACACTCAGGGTTTATCATTTCTTGACTGTCGTTCAAGAAGCAGTCAAAAACAGGTGATCATGTCCAGATGAACCAATTACAAACTTATGACAGATGGTGACATCATACCGAATTATTTCTTAATCAGAACGTAATAGATTTTCTTAAAGTATTCCCAAGAAGCAGTGTGAAATCGTACATGAGCTTTGGTGATCCTGTCCAGTTCGGAGGCCACTGCCTGGTCCTTGGTGAGTTGCTCTCTCATGCGCTTCCGTGCGGCAATCTTGGCCATCAGCTTGTCATTGGCACCACTGCGCTGGTCTTGGTGCTTGGCCTCCATGCGGTGGACTTCATCATGGAACTGGGACATTATTCTGTCACGCTCAGTTGTAGTGGAGTTCTTCAGCATCTCTCGAAGAGCCTGCTCCTGGACTTTCTGTTGCTGATCCTGAATAGCAATGGTCAACCTTATAGTAATAGTAATATTACATATAAGATATTAAACACTATTCTTGTAGTCTTTAATTAATGTAAGCAATGACAACCTGAGTTCAAGACAGACAAGATGTTGATCTTGCTGACATTAATTAACTGACAACTGATTTTAAAGTATATTTATAACAAATGCAGATAACAAAAATTCAAGTTCATCTTAAAGTTGGACCTGAAATTTTCCAACAAATTAAGATGAAGTAATTTCAACAGTTCCTACATGTTGGTAATTTCTGCACTACACTGTTCAACATACAAACCTTTTCATATTTTTTCCAAGCCTTGAGTAGAGCAGCTTCTTCTCGAAGTCTGTCAGCCTCGTTCTGAGATTCAATAGCTTGCAGGTGTTGTTTCCTCTCCTCCTCGGACAGATCTTTGAGCTCCTCTTCACTCAGCTGACGCACTTGTTCCCGACCCTTTCTGTGATGCAGCTTGTCAAAGAGAGACTTGGCTGCTTGGTTAAGATTTGTCTTCCCCTCCCTGAATGACTTCAACAAGGCATCCTTCTGTTCCTGGGTCAAGTCAAGCGAGCTGACCCACTTTTCAAACTCATCATCCATGAGAGGTTCCTCCTCATCAGCTTTGGCAGCTGTGGCCTTCTGTAGCTCCGCCCTCACTTGTTCCTGTTCTCGCTGAGTTTGCATCATTTCCTTCACCATGTCCTCGAAGGACTTGACATGCTGGGCTGGGACACTCTCCGAAGGTATGCCTTGGTTCTTGGCTTCCATCATGTGCTGTCGGTAGAGATCTTTCTTCCGCTGTCTTCTAAGATCAGCCAGTTTCTTCTTTAGGTTGGCCAGCTCTTGCTGCTTGGATTTGTCAAATGAGTCACTGAGCTTCTGTGTGTTGCCAGCATGGTCAATAATAAGTCTTTCTTTGTCATGGTCAGATTTAACTTGTGACATCTTCTTCTGGAGGTTCTCTGATACTTCATCAAGCATGTCCTGTTTCTTCTGGTCATATTCATCCAGAAGTTGGTTCAGTCTGTCAATTTCCTCTGTTTTGAGTTTGTTTTCTAGCTGAGCTGCCTCATAAGCTTGTTTCTCAAAGAGATATTTTTCCTGTTGTCTCTTCTCCTCCTCGCTAAGGTTTCCAGAGCTCTTCAGTTTGCTGGGGTCACCAATCACAGCCACAATGGATGAATCACTCTGAGTGTCCCCACTGGAGGTTCCAGCAGAACTCTTCACAAGCTGTGACTGAACACGACCTGGATGCTGAGGTTGTCCTTGTCCACCTTGTCCTTGTCCACCTTGTCGTTGTCCTTGACCTTGACCACCAGTGACAGCTGCTCCTTGATTAAAGTTGACATTTGTAATGTTGGTATTTGATCCTCCGGCTCCAACCTTAATGAGATTGAGGAGTTCTGGGGACAGGTAGAAAGGGCCTCCAGATTCCAACATGGCTATAAGCTGCCTGATGAGAGGGATCAGTTCTGAGTCACTAGATGTCTCATCTGAGTCTCCATACACGCCGCTCAGCTGGGAGTCATAGTCCCCGGCCAGCAGGGCACTCCGTGTGATCACAACCTTGGCCTCTTCACAGCAGAGCTCCGACCTCTGTCTGGCATACTCCAGAGAGGAGTGTTCCTCATCCAGACCTTCTAGCTTGCTGGTGATCTGGTCCCGCAGTTCACCCTGTAGTCGGGCCTTCCCTTGGTGGTAGCGCTGGAGAGCTGTAGCCTCTGCCTCAGGATTCATGGCACCATCCAGATCATCCATCCTGTCTCTGTATCTCTTCTCCTCCTGCTGCAGTTTGGTGAAGAACTTTCGAACTGTGTCTGTGTATTTCACATGGGCCACGACATGAGCCTCTTCGTGTTCTCGTTCTAAACTGTCAGCCTCTGTCAGGATGCTGATGATTTCAGATGGAATGACCGTGGAGTAGTCTTGCTGTGATGCTCCACGACGCTGAACCTCACGTTTGGCATTCTCATTGAGTTGATGTGAAAGCGCATCAACATCTTCTAGGACTCGTTGTAGGTGTTTAGTAGACACTGTGTTCAATTCAAACATGAGTTGCTGAGTCAGTGTATGTTCCTTCTGAGTGAGTTCATGTTCCTTCTGTCGCTGCCTCCTCCAGTAGCCACGTCTTGCTATGATCTCCTCCTCTAACAGGGAAAGGGCACCGGGAGGTGGTTTCTTTTTCCTGTGGCCTCCTGTTGCCAGGGTAACAGGAATCACCATCTTGTTTTCAGGGTTTACTCTTACACCAATGACAGGACTCAGGTCCCCTGTGACAGGATCCACTGCTTTCCTGCCGATGTTGATTGGGACGAGACCTACGAGTTACAGAAGCAATTTCATAAATAACGTCTCTGCATAAATAAACCTATGATTTAACAGAGAATGCAAAAATATCTCCATTATTTATAATGGTTCACAACATAAGGATTGGTTCACTTCATAAACTTCAAGTATGGTTAACTAAAATGAAGAACACCTTATGTCATCTTTAACAAAAATCGGTTTTAAACAAGCCAGGTTCCACAATATTCAAATTTCTCACCTCCACCTTCAGGGTCCTCCATTGTGCCTCCAAGGGGAATAACTCTGCCTGTCTGTTGTTGTTTTGAGGCACCAAGTATTGGAACTCGGTGGTTAGAGCCTGCAGGGTCCATCATTGTTGTACCTATCAGGATAGGAAGTAGCTGCCCTGTCTTGGAGAACTCGTACATACCTGCCGAGGTGGAAATGCAGCAATCAACCAACACTTATTATATTCTTTATAAAGGGGACATGGGTGGCCAAGGGGAGCCAGGGACTGGTGGTCATTGCCTCTACACCAGTTTCACCCAAATATTGTGTTTCACCAAACTGATCAAGGATCTGAATCAATATGGGCTCTCCTCCAACATTAAGCATTAACACTGTGATAAAACTTAATAACTTATCAAAGCATCAAAGCCAATTTACTCATTTACTCTTTAAATAAATATGTGCGAGTAAAACACAGTCATTTTGGGACTTTTTGCAGAAACATATATTCAATCATTACAAATTGTGTAACAATTCTATCAGTCAAACTTTGGAGTTTGACTTACCAGGACATCCCCCTGTAGCTGCCAAGATGGTTGCCTTTTCCATGCGACGTGTGACATCATGTTGAGTTCTCAGGAGATGAGACTTCATTCTGTTTCTGGCTCTGTCCAGCTCCTTCACAGCGGACTCCAGAGCTGCTTCCTCATGGCGGACACTGACGTTGCTGTTCTCCTGTCCTGCAACAGAACCGGTGTCATCAAACACAGGACAGATGACTATGTCACAATGTGGAATGTAAGTGTACGACTTGCAAGGAATAATTCCCTCTTCCTTATCCCAGGATTACAATGTAATATTGTCCTACCTGCAGCATACACAGCATCCTTGTATTCCTGCAGCACATCCTGCACACGAGCCTCGATGGCCAACACGCTTGAATCCAGTAGTGACTGATAGCCGCCAGCAGAGGGCAGCACCACCACATCACGCAGGTAGCCGCTATGGATCCGCACAAGCTTCCCACTGAGGGAGTCGACAAACGAGTCCCCGGGTATGATGGGAATTTCTCCATGATCCCCCGACTTCGTTCCTCCAACAGGTACAACCACTCCTGCAGTGACAATGATCACATTAGTGATGAAATGACTCATATATGCTTCATTAGGGTGACATCAATTCTGTCAATGTAGCTTTATTGAAACCTTGTATTTGCGGCGATACTGTATCTGTCAAGACATGTTACCTTTTTAATCAAACTTTTTTTGACCAAACTGCAACATTATACAAGATAGGGTCAGTAGGTATTAAAAGCTATTGTTTTGGAGTGAACAGCAAACTTCATGGCAGCCTGTTAGTAATTGTGTAGGGGAAGGCAAGGTAATGGTTCCTAGAATTAGCAATAATCACACTCAACCAAGATGACACACCACCAGCCATGTCGCACATTTTTACCACCTTTTCTGCTCTAAAATCAAAGCAGAGTATATTACAGAACTAAAATCTACCTGTTTCTTGGTCAATGGCAACTGAGAGGATAGGTACTGGTTGTCCTCCATTGGGGTCCACCATGATGGACCCAATCTCGATGGGGATTGGCAGACCCGTGACTGGATCTGTGTGGATTCCACCAATGGGGAGCACCAGCCCAGTCTTGGGATGAATGGTCATGCCCAGTATGGGCACCTTGAGACCACAGGCTGGGTCAGAGATGGCTGCTCCATGTCGAAGGTCACTCTTGTTCTCGATTGGCTGCAGTTTGGTCTTGACAGGTTCGCCAGTGTGCGGGTTGGTTGGGTAGGGCAAGTATGGGATGTATGGCTCCTCTGATCGGGCAGATTCACCTGAAGATCAGAAACAGTGGACAAACTTGTTAGCTAGCACACAACCACATATTTCAGTTATTGAAACAATTATAGTCCTGCTGACTTATGTTATCTTTGACCCCTTTTCTGCTACATTTGTATTTGAATTGTGATCTGTTAGAGAACTATCCATCATATCCCAAGCAATTTTCTACAAGACAAACTATTTTTTTTATCATCTCTTCATGACATGATTTTCTCACTGATCAGGTTGAATTTGTTTTGTTTTTCTTATGTCATTTTTATTTTTTCTTCCTTTGTCGAAAACACTTGGAGATAAATGATATAGTTTTCCTGTGTCGGGAAAACATGTTATCATCATGTGTTTGTTTTCCGTTTGTTACAAGGATCATCTTACCAGTGGCTGAATCGACCACAAAGACGAGTCTTGTTGTGATTGGGTCGTATGCAACATTGCCCTGTATGGGCAGGACACGACCAGTCTGTGGATGCATGAAGTAGTCTGGTGGGATCTCCATCACAGTGCCATCCGCCAACAGCATGCGTGTACCAGGCTTGGGACGGATCAAACCAGTCTTGGAGTCAAACTGAAGAAGGTTTGAGGCCTTGATGGAATGGTTAGACCCTAGAATAAAAAAATATTTAAAAAGAACTAGAACCAAAACAAAATTTTATTGACATTGAGATGTTGGAAAGCAAAACAACTTCTTCATAAATCGCACATGAAACCATGCATCACAAAACCTGAAAATATCTCTTGGCTAAAAGCACACAAACATCAACCACTGAAATAGAAGGCAACCTGAAGAAACCATAGCAACAATATCTTATCATTCAATTTACCAGTAACAGCATTTCGTCCAAAAGACCAAAACAATCATCTTTTGTTTGCAACACATGAATATATGATAACATATAATTTCAACTGACCAATCAGCGCATTCCTGTTCATAGGCTCCTGGGATCCTGACTGTACAATCTGTCCACCAGTTCCCTGTCCCAGAATGCCCCAGGCTCCGATTCTCTGACATTCTGCACGGACCTCAGTTGACATCTTCTGCAGCAACAGAGTGACTCTCTTGTCCACTGCATTGTGCAGCTCTTCCATTGTCTCCCCATCTCCCTGCTGGTGCCCCTTCTGTATCCTGCTGGCGTGATCCATCAGGACACGAGTACCCTCCCTCAGACACGCTTGGTAATTCACCTATGGAAAAGTTTGGTAGAATTAGCTGACGAGGTAATTTTAATCATGAGCATGAGTAAAATTCGAAAGTTGGTCACCTCTTATTAACTTCATGACACATCTAAACCTTGGGGTTGGCAATACCATTATTTTGGTGATGCATGAGTTCTGTGATTTACAGTATACCATATCCACCCTAAGAACCTAAAAACCCTCTATGAAGTATATATTCTAGATAAGTAAGACATATTTGCTCATAGTCACACATACCTATTTGAGTAAAACATTAAAGGCAGAGGACTGAATACACAGTGAATAGGTACCATCTGTGGCAAGTACATGTTAAAATGCCCATGTAATGTTGATATAAGAAAACATAAGTGACAATAACATCATTAACATCCTTTAAATTGCACACTTTTGGGTACAAAATTTATGTTTTCTTTGCCAAAAGACTTTTGCAGCAAGTTTATTACCTGGTGGTTTTCCCTCCCTTTCTCATCATCTGTCATGAGTGTCGTCTGCTGTTCCAAGATGGCAGCAAAGCGTCTGCCGACTTCCTTCCTCCTCTCAAGCTCAATCTCCAAGTCTTCCAGCTTGGTCTCATAGCTGGCTAGATCTTCCTGTGTCGCCAGACTACATTTGCCTGACAGGTTCATCTTGGCAGCCCACAAGCCTTTGAGAGATTCGCTCTGATTGGCCATTCTTTGGTAGGACTGTTTCATCTCATCCTTGTGTTTGCCAATTGTCTGAGTGACACTTCTTGACTGTTTTGACAGGGTGTCGTAGAGCGTTTTCACATTGAATGATTCCAGGTCAACCTGTCTGTCATAGTCCCAGAATTCATCATTCTTCACTTCCACTGCTGAAGCTAAAATTAGGTCATAAAGTACTTTATTTGTAATTATTCTCCCATTACCCTCAAAGTATAAAACAGAAAACCAAGAGCTTGAAACAGAGAAACAGTGTTTTACCCACGTATCATTAATGAACTTACTTTGTCAAAATATTTAATTATTGCAATTTCAGTCGGATTAAGCATCAGGACTTAAGAACTTGTGAATTCTAATGTAATAATGAGTGCTGAAAGAGTGACAGAGCTTTGTCCTGAAGCTTGTGCAATTATCCATGGTTATTAAATATTTTATCTTTGCCTAGATATCATCTAAACAACGTTAATCAGAAGTTGCTAAGTATGTTCCTACCATCTAAGATGGCTGCATGTGAGCCCATGTCTGGCTGAGCACACGTCAGAGCCTGGAAGTTTCGGTGGTACTTCTTCACGGGATGAACAGTGGAGCCCTTGCTGGCGTAGTCGTCGAAGTTGAAGCGCTGAGCCAGATGTCGATAGAAGGGGAAGAGGTAGGATGTCTTTGTCCAACCATATTTCCTGAAGAGAACCTGCAGAGAACAATATCATGTGATCAGGATTGGAACAAATGGGGCACAGATACCTGCAGAAATACTTTTTCGACCTGACTTGCATGTTGTATACTTGCAATAAGAGCTGATTAGATACCTACAGTGACATAAACAAAATTCCTGGTAGATTCCAACAAAGTATTCTATATTCAAGAATGGAGACAGGCCTGTTTCAAGGCATTCAACTGTGGTGAAATACTTGACATTCATGAGTGCACGTCATTAATTCGAGGGCCTGTTACCCATTGCTGCCACTACTTATTTGACTGATTGTATTGAATGTTATGATAGTATTAACCTTAACCTATGTGTGAATACAATTTATTGATAATTCATTGATCTTGTGTGCTCGTTTCCTGATTTCGCGATTTAGTTCTGTAAGTACCATTTTCTGGGTGAACCTTTACATTTCAATTTGAAAATCACCTCGTAACATGAGTCACCTCTTATTGTGATTGGGTATGGAAAAGACCAGAGCAGACAGCTAGTTCCTATTCTCATTTCCACATAGCATAATCTAGAAATGACCCTGTGGAACTACCAATGCAACACCCATATTTCTATCATATAGAACGAGAACAGGAAATTGGTTATAAAACCCTGTCACCAAAAGACAGATCAAATATCAAATACCAAACAGGTAAAAACACTAAAATTGTCCATATGCATCTATCAATGTATCATTTATACCATTAAATATGAAGCCCAGTTTGGATGACCTGTGAAAACCTGATAATCCAGACTGTACTGTTCATTCATCCAGTTCAACAAATTTCAGGATGAACAAATAATGGGTTCGGGATTATTGCTTTTGTATCTGGGTGCTGTTGTACAAAACAACGTAAGTGCTACGACTATCGTAAGTCTATGTTAAGGTGTGGCAGTTACGATCCCCTTAACGCTCTGGTAGGTTGGTTTTCTTTCTGACAGGATCCACAAGTGTTTCACAGTTGTGCACAACATTTTCTGGGGGTATCTAGATTCTATATCTCTCACAGGGACACTCATCTTTACAAACCAGTGGTATTTAAACTAATTCCCTTTGGGTACAAAGATTTCTCTATCCTCACAGGTACACTAACCTTTTCAAATTTCACATCTTAACTAGTTTTCTTACCAGTAGTATGACCATGAGCACCATGACTAGGAATGCTGCTCCGAGCAAGATGAAGATGATTGTCCAATCAGGAGCCTTCAGGATGTCTTGTGACACTGAGATGCCATTCTGGATGATGTATCGGGACGTGGTCGGGAAGTAGGGACCATCCTCAGTGCACTGAGCGTCCTTGGCCATTACACGGATGTACTGGAGAGGAAACCAATGCAGGGAGCATTACAAAACAGGAAATACAAGAATATGCTCACATGCCTGTTTGTGTCAAGGTCTCCCATAATACGTACACCAATTAATAAGTTAATGCAATATAAAATTAATTATTAAATTTGAAACACGTGTTAAGCTACAGTTAGCAATATTCCAACTTTATCACAGTAGTCCGTAAACATTCAAGCCTTGGCCAAGCAAATCAGTGCTTGATAGCATGAGTAAAATCATCACCAGTTGGTTATGGTCACACAATGAGCTGGGACACAAATTGGGGGAGATGTTGGTGGGGCTTGTATAATTGTAAGGGTCTGTAGTGTACAGTATTGAAACATATAAACTATCAAACTAAATGTACAAATACTTAAAACTTGACCACATAATCACTGTCCTCAAATGAGCTCTCTCATTAAACTAGCATGGCATTGATGAGGATAATGATACAGAAGACAAATGGAGGATGGGAAGGAGTGAGTGAGTGAGTGGATTTATGGAGGGAGGTTATTGGAGGGAAGTTAATGGATGGTTTGGTGGGGTGAACAGGGATTTTCACAGCGTTTAGCTATATCACAGCAGGTGGACACCCAAAAAGACCTCACAAATTGCCTGCATGTGGTAAAGCCAAACCATGTTTTTGGTTTTATAAACCAACAATTTAACCACTAGGCCACCCCACTGCCCTCTGAAGAACTGGGAAGAGAATCTGCTGTTTCATTGTATTTACTGTACTCACCATTTTCTTGTCTGTGTTGGAGCTGAGGTAGAAGACATATACTCCAGGCTCAGTGAACTTGTATGCAAAAAGGGTTGTTGCTGTCGAAAGTTGAGCCTGGGCTTCGATCAGGGCTCGGAAACCTCCGTAGTCAAAGTCAGAGTTGGTGTTGTAGAGGTTATTCCTGTAATGAGTGAGTGAGTGAGTGAGTGAGCGAGCGAGGTTAGTTTAACACCACTTTGAACAGTATTTCGGTTATCTTGGCAAATCTAGGATGCACAATATCGCAACCAAAAATTGTTATTTCACGCAGAGATTGAAACAAGGAAACCCATACTAGTTGCATATAAGATCATAAATCACCATTCAGTCTCATATTATTGTAAAACATTGCGCAGGAAACAAGTTGGTAAAAAAAACAAAAGAACTATATGATTTACAAATTGTGTTTGAATTTATCATGGTAGAAAATAAGACAGGAGCTGAGGTCATCAAAGGGATTAACTGTAAATAACTTGTTTGTTTTTTTTCAAAATAAATTGTTCTTAGGAGGTTTGTTGGGGAAGAGTACAGGGTATTAATAAATAGAAAGATTAAGTCGTTCCTACCTGTCATAAACTGGGTAGTGGTCATTGGTCACATAGAAGAACATGATCTCTCCATAGGTCAGACAGACAGTTGGGTTGGAAACGCCAGTGAACAGTGAGCTGTTGACAGAGGAGGCCGCGAGCAGACGTCTACGTCCAAGTATGGCGGAGGAGTAGTCAGTGTCCAGGGTGATGTTGCCGGTGTAGTCTCCCTTGGTGTGGCCGTCCACCCAGTTGTAAAGCTGCACAGGGTCGGGTTCGTATACACCCAGGAAACCATTTTCACTCATTTCGCAGACATGAATGGTAATCTCGGAACCATCAAGGTTCTCACATTCGTCTTCTGTGATGGCATTCCGGGTGTTAATGGCTGTCAGCATGTTCTTCGATGGAATCTGGCTCTGGAAAAAAAACATAATTGTGATAATCATTAAGTCACTAGCATTTCCTGGATTCATATTAGGCTTAAAAAAAAGAAAAGAATTGGTTCTCGGGCAATATCTTTCGAAAATATAGTGCGGGTGTGTGGTGTTTTTTCATATTTTTAGCTTGTTCAAACTAGTATGTAACCAAATAAACAGTTGTGTTCCATCAACCTGGGAAAGGGCCAACAAAAACAAGCATACAAACTCCTATTGCTGCCATGACCATAACATGAGCTGCACAGTAAAGCAGTGTTCATGTAAAGGGAAGTAACTGTGTGCTATATTGGATCACATTGTTTTTTAGTATCACTCTTAGGATTTTTAATTGTTTTTAAAAAAAATGGAAATCAAATGAAATGTGCGACAGAACTTTATGATGATGCAGGCGGTGCCTGAGAACCAAGACTATTATTTTTTTAGCCTTAGAAGTCATAAATATATTTTTTCCACATTGTTGAGTCACCTTGTAAGAAATGGATGGTGTAACAAAAGTTCATGCCTGTGTGTAGACTTTTCTCAATCAAATGTGAAGCAATGTCTATGAGTGCTGTGGAATATTGAGAGCTTCTTACCATTAAAGTTCCGTTCGTGCTCCTTATCTCTATGTGGGTCTCCAGTGGTTTTTCTGCACAAATGAACTTGATCCTGGTGCGCTGAGCTCGCCGACACTCCAGGTTGCACAGGACCTCGAGGTCATCAGACTGACACAGGCACAGTCCAAGGCTCTTATCAAAGCCACGGTAGCTCGTCACACCATCACACACCTACAGCAGGACCATTCATTGAGGGTGTGTCAAAATACACTTGTCTTCTGTACTACATACAACTATCAAGCCTACCAAAGAAATATATACTCACCGCCACAAGAAAAGCGAATACTATACATGTTGGTTAATATAGGAAGACTTACTCATATTCAAGAGATATTAGATTGGTTCGATGCACAAACCAACTGGTATGTTGTGTGAACTGACGCTCACGAAACGCATCACATGGGACGACATAGATCCATGACTCAAGATGCACCATTTGTCTTGTGAAGGATTAGCGTGTGAAGTTTGGTAATCAAGTGAAATATCGTGATAAGAATAAAGTCACTCTGTGGTGACACCTGGATGATTGTAGGTTTGTCATTAATTGGTACACATTGGAAACATCTCTTCTTAATGTACATACTTCTCTATATGTTTCTATAGTCCGTGTTTCTTTTGGCGGTGAGTAGATATTCAATGCAGATAGAAATACATTATACATAGGTGCAGGGGTATTCTGGGACTCATGATCATCACATTCTGGTGTGAATAAGGGCCGCAACTCTGCACTCCAAATTGCCACACCTGAGACAACTGTCACCCTTGTCACCCTCAGAGGGAAATATGGTGCTATGTAAAGGTGTGGAATTGTAGCTGGGGAGGTCATTGTCCACTATATATCTCAATATACTCCTGACCATATTTCATGTTATTCCAGGAGATTCTGCTGGTTGTAAGATTGGGTGGTCAGGCCCAGTGATTTGGTCAAAGGTGGGTTATCATACCTCGACAGTGTGGATTGTTTCTCAAAACAACAATCACTGAAATACCTGACCCAGAATCTACTATTGACAGGCCAGTCATATATTTGGATTGTTACTGAGTGCATTGTCAAAAACCAAACAAACACACAAAACTTATTTCTGCATCTGTTTCTTCATAAACAAAGAAACCTATACACACTCACACAATCCCCTATATGAATTGTTTCACATAGTAATGTCAACAGTCACTAAAATGTTTAATCTGACCTGGGACCAGGGTGCCGCTGTACAAAGCAATCTTACCGCTAAGGTGATCGTAACTCCAATACCTTAACATTGACTTGCGACAGTGGTAGCGCTAAGGTTGTTTTGTACAATGGTACCCTGTTCCACAATACAAACACTATGTGAAACTGTTTGGTGGAACTAGACCCAGATCAATTTAGATGTCCATGGTCGATCCAATCTCTATTACCATACTCACCTTTTCGCTGCAGTAGGTCTGCCATTGTTCCTCTGTGAGGCACTGACCGGTCTGTGTTCTGTATGTCCCCTCCACACACAGGTCGTACACCTGCTTGGTGCAGTCCTGAAGGCCGTCCACTTCCAGGTACCCAGCCTTACAGGGGCACGTTCGGTCACTCGGCTGCAACAGCACATACACCTTTGTTATAGAACACTGTTTACATGTGTGTAACCTCTTCATCGACATTTCTTGCAGGCCATGGAAACCACCATGCATCTGATGCCATTACCTTTACTTTAGGGCAAACAGATGAAAAGACCTTGCCTCTTGATAACATGATGGAAGCTTGTTTGCTCTAATGATATCACTTCCAGTATGAAGAATCTCAAATGCTTTATGCAGTTTCACTCTAAAAGGCTGTTCATCTGAGGAATGTCATGCTTGTCTCACCTGTTCATCTGAGGAACGTCATGTTTGTCTCACCTGTTCATCTGAGGAACGTCATGTTTGTCTCACCTGTTCATCTGAGGAATGTCATGTTTGTCTCACCTGTTCACCTGAGGAATGTCATGCTTGTCTCACCTGTTCATCTGAGGAATGTCATGTTTGTCTCACCTGTTCATCTGAGGAATGTCATGTTTGTCTCACCTGTTCATCTGAGGAATGTCATGTTTGTCTCACCTGTTCATCTGAGGAACATCATGCTTGTCTCACCTGTTCATCTGAGGAATGTCATGTTTATCTGAGGTATGTCACATCTGTCTCACCTGGAATGACATGTTTATCTCACCTGTTCATCTGAGGAATGATATGTTTGTCTCTCCTGTTTATCTGAGGTATGTCACATTTGTCTCGCCTGGAATGACGTCTATCTCACCTGGTTACCTGAGGGATATCATGTTTGTCTCACCTGGAAGTCTCGGCCAGCTCCAGTACAATCACAGGTGGTGGATCCTGCGTTCACCTGGGACGCCTCGCCTCCACACACAAAGCAGCCAGTCTGTGCATCCAGGTTGTTGAAGTGATTCACTGGGCATGCTCGGCAGTCGTACACACTTCCTGCCTCTTGATCGGGTTGGTAGGTTCCAGGGCGGCAAGGTGACGGTGCGAAGCTGCCAGCAGGGCAAAAGTATCCTGTGGGGTTCACAATAAAATACTGAGTGAATGAGTAAACATCATAGCTCTTTAACTGAGTGAGTGAGTGAGTGAGTATGGTTTTACGCCGCTTTTAGCAATGTTCCAGCAATATCACGGAGAGGGACACCAGAAATGGGCTTCACACATTGTACCCATGTCGGGAATCGAACCCAGGTCTTCGGCGTGACGAGCGAACACTTTAACCACTAGGCTACCCGACCGCCCCCTCTTTAACTGAGGTCAGTATTGTAAATGAACCAGTAAACCAAGAGTGAGTGAGTAAGTGAGTGAGTGAGTGAGTGAGTGAGTGAGTGAGTGAGTGAGTGAGTGAGTGAGTGAGTGAGTGAGTGAGTGAGTGAGTGAGTGAGTGAGTTGGGTTTAACGCCGCTTTTAACAGTGCTCCAGTTATGTCATGGAATGTCAGCTTCATGTGGGACAAAAGCCTGAATTGATGCAGGTTTCAAACATTTTCCACTTTGGTGATCGAACCACAAACATGGGTATCAGGCACAATAACCTAGATCAAATCTGAGAGTTGTCCCTTCCTTGAAACCTTCGAACCCGATCCATTGTACTATCCATATCAACAGCTATTGAGGTGAGGTTTCCTTCCCAAACAATTCCAACATGGCATGCAAATAACAAACATATTTACTATACAGATATACACATAGATTCTTTCTGTCATGACTTCATGTGTATTTCTTTATGCTTGCAAATGACAACTAAAATTAGACAAAATGGGTACTCTACCTGGTGGACAGGGATAAGAGTTGGTTGCTGGGAAACCGATGGCGACTGCTAGTGCGCTGTCATTGTACACCGGCCTGTCTGTGGTGGCTTCAGCAAGGCAGACAACTCCGGCTCTACAAACATCACATACTGCACGATGTTCGTGAGCTCCATATGTGCCAGGTTTGCAAGGCTCACATGTGTCTTCAAAGGTCTGACGTGGCGATCCATCAAATTCCTTGAATCCCAGAGGGCACTTCTTCGGCTCAATAGCACCTGAAGACAAATGGCCACATTAGTACATAACAAATTAAAAGTAAGGTGAGGTGAAATGACATTTAACATCGCATTAAAGATTATTGCACTGATACATATATATATATGTTGAAGCTTATTGTTGAAAGGAAATTTTGATCAATTTCCAAGTACCCAATGACAGAGGTGTACAACTGTAAAAAATAAAAAATAACCCGTCATCATGGCAACATACTTATTGCTGATCTCTGTAAATTGTTGTCTTGAGTTCATCTGGCTTTCCCATCTCAATTTGTTTTCAAATTCTGGTAAACGCTAAACATGACTAAGATGAATTCATTGTAGGTTTATCCACTGCAAAATACAGTTGATATACCGTATTCGACGTAATAAGCGCCCCGCTCTAATAAGCGCACACGGCAATATTTGCTAATATATTGGCTAGGGAACAATCCCAATAAGCACCTCTTCCGATTGATCAATGTACACAAGACTTATTTATTCGCGTATGATACGTACTCATGTGTTATATGCACCCTTAATTATGGGCAATTAAATTCTGGAAAAATATATCTGTCGTCCATAAACGTTTCAGGCTGTCAGCTTAAACCACGAAATTTATCTTTCAACTCTGTTTTTTTCCACCAAAATGATGTTCTAATAAGAGCCCCCTATTTCTAATTTTGAGAGCGCCCTGGGCGCTTATTACGTCGAATATGGTACTTTCTTGTGTGGTTATACAGAGGGTACATTGACCCGTATTCCCCCTGGGATATAAGCTAGCCTACAACATATATTGTGATCATATCCTATCATGACTATGTCTTTGGTGTACTGCATGTGGAACTGTATAGTTATATGAAAGCTGTCACTTCTCACCAGCATCTGTCATGTTGCAGTCATTCTGGGAGCCACAGTAATGTCCCTTGGGGCAGGGCAGGGGGGAGCTGGAGCCATTGGGGCAGTAGTACCCCGGGGGGCACGGCTTCATGGTCATAGACATGTTACAGTAATAGCCTGGAAAAATGGAAGTAGTTAGAGCACTTTCTTCACACATTCACTAAACTATTTCAGTTTGGATTCCTTGGAATCAAGGTAAATTTAAGGGGAAAATGATGGAGTCCTTAAATTAAGTAAACCTAATCATAATTCAATATCAACCTTTAAACATGAAATAACATATGTTAATTAAAAGAGGAAACATGTACAATATCAATTATGCATAGAATACATCCGTTTCAGACATTTTGGATTTGCAATCATGACACTTTCAACAACTGTTATTCTTAATATGTTAGTAGTTTTATGTTTATGTCATGATGATCTTTTCACAATATATTTACAGAAAAGCCACTGGATGGCATCATCAACCATTTTGGCATCTTGTTTTGTCCCAAACAATATTTATCCTAGTGCACTGTAGTCTGTGGTGATCTCACATGTTTGAAAGCAACAAGGCTAGATTAACAGTATCCAAGGAAACAATCTGACCTCCATGACACAAGGTTTGGTTTTGGGCACCAAAGTCGCAGAAATAGCCCTGGTCGCACTGTATTCCGGAGTATGTCATGTTCTCCTCTGGACAGTAGAAGCCGGCCGGACACAGTGTACAGTCGTCCACCGACCCGGCAGCAATCGCATCTCTGGAAAGGCGGAACATAAATATTTATCTAAAACAAATACCCTTGTCAATAAAAAAAATCCACTAAATTCAATTACCATTTTCTTGTTGGCTGAGCCATCCCAAACGTCGGACGGTTTCATGACAATTCCAGTTGTTATGCTGTTATCACTTATCTCTAGTGAGTGAGTGAGTCAGCCAGTGAGTTTAGTTTCCACCACTTTCTACCAATATTCTAGCCACGGGGGTCACCAAGAATAAGGTTCACCATGACTCAAACCCGGGTCTTGATGTGATGAGCCAACAATACCCACCACCCAGGGATGAGTCTTACCTGTATGTCCCCCGTGGGCAGGAGACGGGACCCGTGGTGGCGTTGGTGCAGTAGTACCCAGGGGGACAGGGGGTCACAGTGTAGTCCGCCATCCCCGACTCATTACAGAAGTAGCCGGGGGGACACGCCTTACACCAGCTGATATCCTTACCCCCCTCCTCATCGTTGTACGTTGTTGGAGGACAGGGCTGAAAACAAAATGATTATTGCCATTCAAATTCTGTGGGATCCACAAACTTCAGTTATTTCAACAGTTTTGATATACAGTGAACGCCTGTTTGCCGGGACACCATTAGCTCAGAGAAGCTGCCTCCCAACAATAACTGTTGGAGCATTTGTCCATATTTTCAAGACCCGTGAAGATTCCGGGGTAGGTCTTCAGCAACCCATGCTTGCAGTAAAAGGGGACTCTGCTTGTCGTAAAAGGCGACTAACGGGATCGGGTGGTCAGGCTCGCTGACTTGGTTGATGCATGTCATCGATCCCAATTGCGTGGATCGATGCTCATGATATTAATAACTGGATTGTCTGGTCCAGACTCGATTATTTACAGACCGCCGTCAAATAGCTGGAATATTACTGAGTGCGGCGTTAAACAACAAACCAACCAACCAACATATATTCAAAGGGACATCACTCTGTACCATGTGTACAAGGACAGAGCATGACAAGAACACTTTTCGGCCCACAGTACTGTATTATTTAAGAAACATAGTAAACCAATCAGCTGAAAGTTATCAGATGTGTCAGTAAGAATGTTTGGGACTTACAACAACATCTAATTTTAGAGGTTTTTCAGGAAGCATTCTCTAATATTTGAACTGGAGATTGTCTCAAAATTATTTTAGGCCAAAGACTAAGACAGTAAAAACCAAACAACTCTATACAATTATTACAAAATTTTCTGAAAATCAATTATGACCTTATATACAGTCATCTCCAGATATAATAAGCTCCCAGAGTGTGTTCAATCAATCATCACATGAGAAATTCATCAAAAATCATATCAATGTTAACAAGCGTATAGATGACAAAGTCATCTATATCCCCCGCCCATTTTAACATGTTATGGTCCCAAACCAGGTAACTGACCCAACATTTCTAAATAGCAAGAGGCACCAGTCCAGTATGTGTCTGGTAAACATGCAAAGTTTTTGTTGGAAAGTATTGAATGGGTTTTGAGTTATGCTCTGGAAACAAACTCTACCCTATAGAACCTAAGTCAAACTTGTTGCAATGGAAACATAAAAAATAAAAATTTATAAAATTCCTAAATAGCAAAAGGCACCAGTTCAGTATGTGCCTAGTAGACATGCAAAGTTTTGTAAGAAAGTATTTAATGGTTTTTGTGTTACGCTCAGGAAACGAACACCACCCTTATAGAACCTAAGTCCAACTTGTTGCCATGGAAACGTAAAAAATAAAAATTTATAAAATTCCTAAATAGCAAAAGGCACCAGTTCAGCATGAGTCTGATAGACATGCAAAGTTTCGTAGCGAAATATTAAACGGTTTCTGAGTTATGCTCCGGAAACGATTTCGGGACGCATACATCCACACACGCACACACGTACACACGCACACGCACACACACGCACACACACATGGACGGAACCCATTTCTATATACCCCGCCAACTTCGTTGGGGCAGGGGATAATTATTACCTGGGAAGAGAATAAATAAAGCCTACTAGAGCTGATACAAAAACGTTGATAAAGTCTGAATTTGATGGTTAAAATATAAGCAGAAGTTGCAGCTTCTTTTAACTTTCTTCTCTAATCAGTAATTAAAAATAATTTTCAGATCGAGTTAAGCATCATACCTCCATGGGCAGGCCAACAGGACAGTAGTGCCCAGCAAGGCAAGGCTCGGAGATAGTGGAGTTCTGGGGACATATTCGACCTCCAGGACAAGCATCACATTCAGACACATCCTTGGCTCCTTCCTTGTTGATGAACCGCGACTCGGGACACTTCAGTGGCATCAACGTACCTGGGGAAGGTGAGAAGGCATTGTAATAACCTCTGTACACACAATGTCCGAAATAACTGCCTGCCCGTTTGCCAGTGGCTGGTAACTTTTCTGTCGGGCTGCATGAAATTTTTGTCCATCTACCAGACGATCTGGCAGATAATTTTAAGACTACTTACGTATTCAGTTTTATTTTAACCTCATCTAGTTTTGCAAGTAATTGTTTGCATTATTTCAACTGAATCAAGACATGATTTGTCTCTTGGTTTTTGCAATTTTTCAATACTGTTGGGTTTTAAAATTATTTCGAACACTGTGTACACGTTTTAGCTTTTGTACACTTAAGAATTGACTTTCACTTTGAGTTTATTGGGGTATCAACCTTCATAGAGGGCCAAACTGTGTGAACTTCCAAGCTTGCTACTATGTCCATACAATGTTTAGCAGGTAGATCCTTCAGAACTTACCTTGAGGACAGTAGTAGCCGTATGGACAGAGTGTGCCATTGGGATAGAGTGTCCCATTGGGAGTGGGCGTGCCAACTCCAGATAAGCAGAAGTAGCCTGCAGCGCAATCTGCCGTGATTCGTCCATCTATACAGTACTTGCCTGGGAACAAAGGGGTATATGTCTGTTCAGATTGTAGCACAATAATCTATCATACAGAAGTAGCTAAACAGAAGTCTACCATGATATATGATTAGTCAGCACCTACAAAGAATGTTAAATTGTCTAAAGCTTGAATCCACACTAGAAGACTGTCCTGGATCCAGAAACTGTCTCTCATAAATATATGATCATTATACCAATACAACCATGTTTACTTTCCCATTCTAACATAAGCTGCTTATCTCTTTGCATTGCAATAGCCTTCCTCTCCTGGGGATACCAGACAATCATTGGTTCAATGCATGTCAATGTACCCTGTTGGCATGGATCTTTGCTCATAATATCAATCACTGGTTTATCTGGTCCGGGCCCTAGTATTTACAAGCCACAGTCTCAGTTTGGATATTACTGAGTGTGTCGTAAAACAACAAGTAAACAAACAATCAATAGCCAACATAAACTTTTTATATCTATTTTTAGACAATACCTGTGCTTGAAGTGCCCTTATGTCCATAAACATGAAAAATAATTCTAATCAAATTACTTCAAATCTATTTCATGTGATCAATTTGAGTGAAAAACTGAAAAAAATGGGTTCTTTGACTCTGACTCACCGGTGATACATGGCTCACACTGATAAGGATCGGACAATCCTGTGACATTTGTGTATGTCCCATTGGGACACAAGGTCGGCGACACACTACCGTTGGGACAGTACGAGAAGACCTCGCAGGGCTCTGGAATGCTTGTGTTGAGCATACAGAACTTCCCTGCTGGACATGGCTCACAGCTGGAGGCTCCTTCTTGAGGTTGGTAGGTACCTGGCAGAAAGAGTGAGGGAGTGAGTTGTGTTTAACACAGCTTTGAACAGTACTTCATATCACAACATGTCAGCTTCACTTGAGAGTGAGTGAGTGAGTATGAGTGAGTGAGTGTGTATGGTTATACGCCGATTTTAGCAATATTCCAGCAATATCACGGCGGGGGACACCAGAAATGGACTTCACACATTGTACCCATGTCGGGAATCGAACCCGGGTCTTCGGCGTGACGAGCGAACGCTTTAACCACTAGGCTAACCGACTGCCCCTGAGTGAGTATGGTTTTAAGCCGCTTTTAGCAATATTCCAGCAATATCACGGAGAGGGACACCAGAAATGGGCTTCACACCTTGTACCCATGTCAGGAATCGAACCTGGGTCTTCGGCGTGACAAGCGAACGCTTTAACCACTAGGCTACCCCACTGCCCCGCTTCATGCGAAGGGAATGCCTCAAATATTGCAAAAAACTCTCCTTGCCTAACCATTCAGATTAATATAATTATACCGTAAGTACTATTTTCTTTAATTGCACAAGGCATACTGTAACTATTTCTATATGAGTGAAATAGTACCAGGGGGGCATCCGATCGGAACTCCGGTCTTCTCCGGACAGTAGTATCCAGCTGGACACTTGTAGGCTGATGGAGCTGATGAGTTGATACGGGCATAGTCAGGGCAGTAGTAGGTCCTCTCGCACACCCCAGTGGGTCCCAGCCCCGCCTCCAGAGCACAGAAGTAGCCTGCTGGACACGCCCAGCAGTCACTGTCACTGGCTGCTCCTGACTGATTCCGGGCGGTGCCTTGGGGACAGGCTTGTTCCTTCAGAGTCCCTGAGAACAGCGAGTGAGCAAGGGAGTTAGACTTGATGTCACTTTACGACAATATTCAAGTAACATAATAACAGGGGACAAGAATAGGCTTCCCACATTGAACCCAAGTGAGTAAATAGTTTCAGTTCTATGGCATAAAGAGTGATCCCGTAAACCACACTTCTAGCCTGTCAACAGATGTGAGTTTTGATTAGTTCTGACAGATTATCAATCGTAAATAACAATTATGTGAGAGAGAGAATAGTTTTGAATGGCAGCTAACAGAATAATGACTGCCTGTAAGGTCAACCCAGACAAACCAATGGTTGGTAGGATGGATGAACAACAATCTTTTGGAGTGGAATTACACGCAATCAGAGAGGTGATATATTGTAACCATCCAAGCAGGAGGTACGAGGGATGGCTTTCTATCCCACCGATTCAGAATGTCAAAGATTTTCATGATGACATTCCTTATAGCTTTAACTAATACTGTAGAGCATTAATTCTGTATATGGTCAGGCCTGTGAATCCAAATACAGAACCACTGGGTCTGTAATCTGACAACAACATATAACCAGATATGGTGTAAAGAAAAACAGATTAGCATAAACAAATACATATTTTATTTTACACATGACCTTTTGGATTGGTGGATGTCATAAAAAAAAGTCAATTATTCAGGATTAAGTAGCATTTCAGCAATATATTGGCACATTTAATAAAATTCTAACCTTGTTGATTCTTATTTAAGTTACAACAGATTTCCAGTCAAAGACGTAGATTGAAAGTAAGCCATCTGCCTCACCTTCTTCACAGTAGTGTCCTGGTGGACATGGTCCATTGACTCCGTCGTCAGGGGCAGGATGGGTTGCACCAGCCACACACAGGTACCCACCAATGCAGGGACCACTGGGACTACTCAAGCCGGTGTCGTTACAGAACTTGCCACTGGGACATGGCTGGCACTGATCCACTGAGCTAAGGTCATCTTTGGTATTGAAGGTTCCCAATGGGCATGGTGTGCCCTCGTTGGCAGTACCATTGGGGCAGTAGTAGCCAGGTGTGCATGGTAGTGAGGCGTTCATGCCCAACTGTGGGCAGGACTGGCCAGCAGGACATGGCAAACACTCACCTGTTGGAATCAGATCATTGTCAAACATTCTCAATACATCAAGTTTGGGTCATCTTGCAAGTCATGTATCTGTCAGTCATTTGATTTCAACCTTAAGACAACAGACAAGTATGCATGTATATTATCCTTTCCTAAGATGCTGAAACACCCACAGGCACAAAATTGGTTGTAAGAAATATCACCTTAAGATCAGACCAGTCTACTGCCAAGATTTACTTGGTCAATATTCCAAGTGGCAGGGTTTCCTATTTCTCAATTAGAAAATACATGAAATTGTGAAGTGTGCAAGTCATGTCACCTACCCAGGCCTTCTTTTGGTGCGTAGGTGCCCTTATTACAGAGAGACTCCTTGACGGCCCCAGAGGGGCAGTAGTGGCCTATGGGGCAGATGTACCCCCGTGTGCCATTTATTGGCTTGGCGATGTCAGATCCCACCAGACAGATGAAACCAGCATCGCACGGATCACTATGTCCTGAAAATATAATTCAGTAAATCAATTTCAACTCTTGTGAGACATAAAAAGAGACATCCAACAAGAAAGAAGTGAGCAAAGCTCACATACCCCTGTTATCCCCGCTGGTCAACAACTAATAGTAAATAGTTTGTTAATTAATGAAATATACCTGTTGCTTTAAGTCAGAGGAACTACCCTTTCCTTTGTAACCCCATGAGGATGCATTATGTTTGAAATGAACACATGTTTTTGCAAATATATTTCAATCTAGTGTGGGATAATCAATGCTTAGCACAACATACATTCTTGATATTTCTTAATGTGTCCATGGAAATGGCAAAAATTAAAAAATTCAGAATCTTCAAAGTAGCAAAAGGCACAAGTACTCATTGTGGTAAACAGGTGTAGAACGTTTGGTGAAGCTAGGGTGCATGGTTAAAAGTTATGGGCCGTACAAAAGCTCGGACGGAAGGACGGACGGACAGACAGAACACTATATACTCCTGATTTACTTCGTAAACAGGGGTATAATTAGCTTAATCAGTTCTTACTGAGGATGTATTTGAACACAGAATTACCACAGGGTTACAGAATTCTGACTGAAAAAGAATTCACTTTCCAGGGGAGAAGAAATGTACTCACCTGCTGCTGAGCTGTCAGGTGTACAGTACTGGCCCGGTTTACACAGTTCACAGTCAGTGTAGTTGGTGTTGCCGGTGCTGGTGGCGATTGTTCCCGCAGGGCAGGGGATGGGCTTGTAGCTGCCTTCTGGGCAGTAGTTACCAATAGGACAGACAGTGGAGGTCGGGTTTGGTTCCACTGTCCCACTCTCACAGTAGTAACTAGGAGATATTGCATACACAAGTTTATGTCTCGAATTCACATTCACACTGATATAGAGTAGAGTAGTGGTAAGATGATGTACAGTAGAAGGCATTAAGGCAGCTTCCAGCAATATCATGGCAGGACACCTCAAATGGCCTTGTACAGTACCCAAGTATTGAATAGAACACAGATCTTCAAGCAAATGCTTTAATGCCCCAACCCTTCTGTCCACTCTTCCAGTGTAGTAGAGGCTCTCTGGTTTTGGGCAGTCCAGTGTCCATATATCCCCTCACCAAGTAGCATGTTCTCTCCAGTTCCAGCAGACTGGTGCTCTAACACCAACAAGATCTGAACCTCTGACAACTCACCAAGCATAGCATACAGCAGACTGGTTCACTAATACCAACAAGATCTGAACCTCTGACAACTTACCAAACATAGCATACAGCAGACTGGTTCACTAATACCAACAAGATCTGAACCTTTGACAACTCACCAAGCGTAGCACACAGCACCAAGCGTGCTGGTACACAAACTAGATCTGATCCTGTGATAACAAACCAAGCATAGCACACTCTCACTGGTTCAGGCAGACTGGTTCACTAACACCAACAAGATCTGAACCTCTGACAACTCACCAAGCATAGCACACAGCAGACCAGTGCTCGTACACAAATAAGATCTGAACCTCTGACAAGATCTGAACAAAAATATCCACTCACCCAGCGTAGCACACAGCAGACCAGTGCTCGTACACAAATAAGATCTGAACCTCTGACAAGATCTGAACAAAAATATCCATTCACCCAGCTTAGCACACAGCAGACCAGTGCTCGTACACAAACAAGATCTGAACCTCTGACAAGATCTGAACAAAAATATCCATTCACCCAGCTTAGCACACAGCAGACCAGTGCTGGTACACAAACAAGATCTGAACCTCTGACAGGATCTGAACAATAATATCCACTCACCCAGCATAGCACACAGCAGACCAGTGCTCGTACACAATCAAGATCTGAACCTCTGACAAGATCTGAACAAAAATATTCACTCACCCAGCGTAGCAGAGACCCTCCGGTGCTGGCAGACCAGTGCTCTTACAGTAGAATCCTGGGGAGCAGTCCTGGCACTGGCTGGCGTTCACCCTGTGTGTTTTGTTGTTGAACGTACCGCTGGGGCACGGGTATTGGTTGGCTCTCTTGGTCTCAGGCGGACAGTAGTACCCGGCTGGACACTCATGGTCGGTCAGGTTGCCCACTGGGGCCAGGTTGTTGTCACAAAAGTAACCTGTGTACATTTTTAAAAGGTAGAAGTCGCCTCCACAACCAACAGTCATATACCATATAGTTTTATTTTCAGTATTAAGTAATATTTGTTAGTCATCTCCGCTGAAGATGAGTTTACAAACAACTTAAATTACAGTCAGGAAGAAAGTGAGCATGTTGGGAGGGCAAAGTAACCTTCTGACTTGTGATTAATAAAAAAAATGTAATCTTTAATTTAATTTTTTCAAGTACTTGTTTCTGTACAACACATCCTAAATAATGCAGTGGTTATATTTCCATTCTATTATAATAAATAGCATGGATCCATTTGCTACTTTGCTTCGTTCTGAGCATGATTTGTATGGAAAGACGATAAAAATATTTGTGTAATCAAATGACTCTGATATGTGAAATAGAGATGGTGACATCGTTCCAAAACAAAGCTTGGGTGGCAAGTGGGTCCAGGGTATTATCACAATAGCATGAAGTTGGGCTGGGATGAGTCAAAGTTTACTACCAAGCCAGGTACCCCTAGTGGGTACGTGGGTCCTACTCCTTACCCACCCGACCTGAGTACCAGAGTTACCCATCACAGCCCTACTATAAAGTGAGTGAGTGAGTGAGTGAGTCGGGTTTAACGCCGCTTTTAACAGTATTCCAGTTATATCACGGCATGTCAGCTTAATGTGGGAGGAAAGCCCGAAGTGATGCAGGTCTCAGACGTTTACCACTTCGGTGAAACCAACGAGCACTGGTATGGTGCTGACAAACCTAGAAACATAATCAGGGCGAACCGGGATTCGAACCCACAATCATAGGTTTCTGGCGTGCCCAAGGGACGCAACTCTGCACAGCGAATCATGGCGCCTTAGACGACTGGGCCACCCGTGCCACCCGTGCCACCCCCTACTATAAAGATATAATACTGGGATAATCAAGGCTTGTAACACTCCAAGATTCTCACCTTGAGGGCAGGGGTCACAGGAGTCTTTCCCCATCTCGTCCTGGTAGAAGCCTGGGTCACAGCGTGTGGGTGTGGCAGTCTTCTGAAGACAGTAGTGACCCTCAGGACACAGATACTCATACGGTCTGGGGATGGTCTGACCCCCGGGGCAGTAGAACCCTGGAGAGGAGTACATGCATGTGTCAGCAGAATGTTCAGAAATATTTGTGTCCTTTTTTGTAATAGTATAGATAGTCTAAATATCTGTTTATTGGTCACACTGTTTGGTAAATTGCGTGACATGCTCCAACATATATAGGAGAGGTGAAATGGGGTTAAACAGTATTGCACTTACATAGCGACATGCATGCATGTGTGTGTGCATTTGTCTGCTTGTACTACTCTGAAAAAATGCTGTTTCTTTAAAAAGTGCTAACCAAAGATTCAGAAACCGGTCTGCGTGCCAGAATTGTCCGATTGTGAATGCAAAATGTCTATATACTTGTTACTGCCCATACTTTAGTCAATATAATCCTACCACTAATCTTAAACGCAAACATAAAGGAAAGACTTGATATTTGTCAGGTCTCGCACACAAGTGTTACCCCGCCTATAGATGTTGTATTAACATATCATGAAAATTAATGAGTTATATTCATAGTTTTTACAGTCAATACATTGACTGATAGAGTTACGCAATGTATAAGAATACTGTGTGACAATGTGGCTGACAGATAACTAGGCAATACATTGACTGATAGAGTTACGCAATATATAAGAATACTGTGGGACAACGTGGCTGACAGATAACTAGACAATACATTGACTGATAGAGTTACGCAATATATAAGAATACTGTGGGACAACGTGGCTGACAGATAACTAGACAATACATTGACTGATAGAGTTACGCAATATATAAGAATACTGTGGGACAACGTGGCTGACAGATGACTAGACAATAAACTGACAGGTACAAAAAAGTGATCTGATTTCAATGGCAAAATGCCACATAATTTACAGTTTGTATTTTTTTCGCACACTCATCTAAGCCAAAATATGTTCAGACACTTTGAGTTTCTCTACCAGTGCTGCAGCTTCAAATAGAGAAGCGATGATGTGAGTTATCTCCAATGATCCGGCGTACTTGAATCCATGTTAGTCTGACCCATGCTCGATACAGGAGGGCCCTGATCATATTATATCATTATATCTTAATCTAAATACAAAGACAAGACATCTTATTTTTCACATTTCACACAAGCATGTCCACCTACCTGCATCACACTCCCCAGTGACGGCGCTGAGGCCTGTGCCATTACAGAAGTAGCCTCCATCACACGCCTCACACTCTCCTTCAGATAGCAATCTCTCCACTGGGCCATAGGTTCCGTTCCGACAAGCTGTGGGTTCTGGTGATCCGATTGGGCAGTAGTGACCAACAGGGCACCTTTCCTGTGAGAACTCAGTTGAACCAAGGGGGCAGTAGTAGCCTTCGTTACAGTCACCAGTAGGTGCAGCCAGGCCAACAGTCTTGCAGTATTTGCCAGGAGTACATTGTGTCATTTCGAAAGATCCCACGGGGCAGAAGAAGCCCGGCTGACACCGACCACCATTCGATGATGGCTGTAAGATCAGATAGGGCCAGGTAAAACACATTCACTTGTTATTCTTGTTAAGTTTCAACTGAGAAGATGCTACAGTTATATTTATCTCATTTTGAGCAGCAGAGTGAGTGAGTGAGTGTGCTTTTGCACATTCTCAATTACAATTTGGCACCAAAGCTTTATTTCAGAAGTGCCATCTCAGTCGCTGTTATAACTAAGCACAGTAGTGTTATTTGATTGGATGGGTATTCTTTGGACCATGTAATATGAATCAGGCTCAAAACACTATTGTGGAGAATGGGTCTAGGGTATTTATTGTAACAGAATGGAGAAATAATACCCTGATAAATGAGGATACAGGGGATACCCAGATTCAGATTCAGACTTCAAGCTACCAGTGTGGGGAATCAAACCTGGCTTTTCGGAGTGAGTGAGTGAGTGAGTGAGTGAGTGAGTGAGTGAGTGAGTGAGTGAGTGAGTGAGTGAGTGAGTGAGTGAGTGAGTGAGTGAGTGAGTGGGTCACGGCAGGAGACACCAGAAATGGGCTTCACACATTGTATATGGCAATATAGATGTGCTTATGATTGGGTGTTTCACTAAGGGGTTTGTGCCTGACAAAAGCTTCAATATAACTGATTTCAAAGTCAACCTACCTGTACCTCATAGGAGCCATTTATACAGTACCATCCCCCATTGCAGTCATTGGTTGGGTAGGCGTTGCCGTCTCCCGCACAGTACTTGCCCGGAGTGCAGGGGACGCAGGAAGCGATGGTCTGCTGTGTGGTGAGGTTGTTCATGGACCCAGGGGGGCAGGGGTACTGCTTCGGATCAGTGGTGTTCTTCTCACAGTAGTACCCAGAAGGACAGACAAATGGCAGATAGTCTGTCGTGTTAGCCAAGCAGTAGTACCCTGCAGGACAGATCTTACAATCCATCTGATTGGGTAAATCGTTGTAGGATCCTGGTGGACAGCCAATGGGGTACTCTGTACCTAATGGGCAGTAGTGTCCTGTTGGACAGATGTGTCCTATGATTGGATGGACACTTGTGCTTGGGCACTGGTTCTCATCGAGCATGACAGGATCTGCCTTGTCCACTCCGGACACACAGTAGAAGCCAGGGCTACACTGCCCGGATGGGGTGGTCAGGTTGGAACCTGTATGGAAGAAACAATGGTCATAGTCATGTACACTCAACATCCAATCAAATGTTATTACCACTGTGTGAGTGAGGCTGGTTTAATGTTGCTTTTAGCACTATTTCAGTTATATCACTGCATGTTGGTTTGATGAGGAAAGCAGGTCTTAGATGTTTTATACCACTTTGGTGAAACCCTTTAGTATGGGTATAGTGCTGATAATGTTAGAAACATAATCAGGGTAAACAAGGATTCACAGGGATTATAGGGAAGAATGCCCTATATTTCTGCAAATTGCACTTTATCATGATGGTAAGTTGTTATACTAACAGCAGAATAAATAGCTATTTCCAAGATATTTTGTATGCGATGAAATCAGATTGTGCATCATTCCATATTTGGTGAAGTGAAGTGAACAGGTGACGTAAAATGTCAGTCTTATTGTGTGCTTCACCCATTTCTGAGGGCATATAAATGTGCTAGCTCATGACAACAACATGAAGAACATTCATCTTGAGATAATGAGCAAGAATAGTTTAAAACCATTTTTAGCAATATTCCAGCTACATCATGGAGGGAGGACATGGAAATTGGGGTTCAAACATTGTACCCATGTGTGGTATCTAACATGATCCTCCATGACATGCAAACACCTTGTTTACAAGGCAGCCCCAACATCTTAACACTGCAGGCTGCGGTCGTACCTTGGCAGTACTGGCCCCCAGTACAGGGGGTGCACTCCGCAGCCTCCTTCAGGCCAGTCACGCTGCTGTAGGTGCCGGCGGGGCAAGACTGCCAGTCGTGACCCGTCCCATTCGGACAGAAGAATCCCTCAGGGCAGGGGTGTTTGGAGGAGGCTGCATCTCCTGCCACTGTCAACTCTGGGATGCAGTAATACCCTGGAAAAAACAACATCAGTGTCAGATAAATGAAAGGTCACATTCCAATTCCAAAAATACAGTTTTATGACAAATGACATTCCACTTTATCTCCTTGCAACATTCCAAGTAACTGGCCACGAGTGATGAAGAGACACTGATTTGAGGTCAAGATATTCCTTTCAAACATGGAGTGAGTGAGTATGTTATTACGCCCCTTTCAGCAATGTTCCAGCAATATCACGGCGGGGGACACCAGAAATGGGCTTCACACACTGTACCCATGTCGGGAATTGAACCCGGGTCTTCGACGTGATGAGCGACGCTTTAACCACTAGGCTACCCGACCACCCCTTTAAACATGGAAAGACAGGCCAAAGGAAGCAAACATTCCCAGCAGTTGTCATGTGAAGGTGTTTTACTGATGTGGGGAAGAATCAAACTGTGTATTTAACCCATTGAGTGATGGTGCAGACCCCTCGTAACTGTTGGGAGAGATATGAACCAACAATCTCAAAATTCTGCCAGCAAAAAATAGTTCCAGGTGAAAGAAAGGACCAGCAAAGTACACAGTTTGAATGGTTGGTAAATACTTTTGTGTAAAGTGGGAGTACACAATATTTCACCCTCCATTCAGACAGACAGGCTTTATTTCAGTTTACCAGCCGGTGGGAATATCAACATAAATGTTGGGACATGCTTTAGCATCACTGCATAGCTATGGTTGTAACAGGTATTACATTATTACATACACTTTACATTTGTGGCTTTCATATTTTTTTATCACCCAATAAGTTAAATCATTTTTAGCAAATGAAAATCTTTGACTAAATAATGCTCACCTTCTGGACATGGCCGACACTCAGAAGCACCATCATAATCCACAAAGAAGCCAGCGGGGCAGTCTTGAGGGGCTGCACTGCCCAGAGGGCACTGCTTGGCTGCAGGACAGACGATCTGTGTCTCCACGCTCGATCCAGCAGGGCAGTAGTAGCCTGTACAAATAGGGTTGTTTTTTTTCATATGAAGTTTGCACTTTCCTATATTCAAATTATTTGATGGTTCCTTGTAAATAATTAAGTCTGGACCAGACAATCCAGTGACTGATATTTTTAGCAATGATCCATATGATCAGCCAAGTCACAGAGCCTGACCACCAGATTCATAAAGTTGCCTTTTATGACCTACACAGGTTCCTGAGGACCCATTCTAACTCTGTCAAAAGAACTCCAGCACCCCAACTGTTACGCATGTTTATTGCCTTGTAAGTGAAGACATTGTGGCACATTGTAGAACAATTAAACCTTGTTGCCAAGAATTTACTCAAAATTTTGTTAAACCATTAATTTTCCCCATTATCTTTACATAATACTATCACTGGTCCTGACTGGTGTGATACTGACCTTCCTTGCAAGGACCACTGAGGGCCGTCAGCCCAAAGCCGTTACAGTAGTAGCCTGGAAGGCAGGGGGTACATTCACTCTCATACGCCAAGCCAGTCTGGTTGGAGTAGGTCCCATTGGGGCACTGAGCAGGGTAGTGAGTGCCAAGGCCACAGTAGTGGCCCTCGATACATACGAGCTCCGTGGCCACCTCGGACCCTTTTGGGCAGTAGTATTTCTCGTTGCATAGGCCGCTTGGAGCAGACAGTCCTGAAATCAAAGTACCTTTAGCAACAAGAAGAGCAATTTCAGGGATAAATGGGATTGATGACTAGTGAACTTCCAACATTAAGCTATATTGTGTTCCATTTATCACCATCTATAGTGCAAGTTTTTGGTACTTAGAATGAGGGGGTATGAAAGGGAATCTGGGTTGAAGATCTCACATTTTTTTCAAGCTGTTCAGGTTCCCATGGTTATGCCAACTGGCATGTGAAAGCAAGCCTGACAAAATGTGAACATACAACCACAGCAACCATGTTTTACTGTGTCTCTTCTAGGGCTGCAAGAACAGCAAAGTGTGCAATCTCTATCATTTTGCCATTACTGTATTCAACCTAATAAGCACCCCCAAACCGTGTGTGCCTCCTCAACTCCCCTCTTCCTATGTTAAAACCAAGGGGATGCACCTTAGCAACTTAAACATCCACATCTTAAATACTAGTAACTTGGGTAGTGTGCACCCGACTCTTGAGAAATCCGGGACCTGTCGCTGTCCTGGTAATGATGATGTTAAAACATGTATATTTGTGAGTATCACTATACTCCAGACACTGCCTGGCAGGCTACTTTGTTTGCCTACAGCACCTGTTTGGTTGCAGTAGGATCCTCCAGTACAGTTGACACACTGGTCCTCCCTGTAGATGTTGGTGTTTGGGTTGTAGGTCCTCTGAGGACACGGCAGAGGGTCGTCAGTCCCCTGAGGACAGAAGTAGCCCGTCGGACAGATGTCTGCCTGGACTCCTGGTGGAGGACAACAGAATGGTATTATATAAAGGTCAGTGTTATAGCAACAAGTGTTCATGTTATCGTAATATTGTTCAAAGTCATGGTAAAAAGAGCCATTTCATTGTAACAATGGTCAGTACTGCTCAATGATAAGCTAAATCAATTCTATTACAACCAGGAACATCTGACAATGCCTTCCCTCAAATATCAAAAGATGGTGTATGCAGGCACTGACAGTGATTTTAATACATAGTTTCAAATGAATTGATTAGCTTGAAACTTTTATACCCCAGTCTCCTTTACTCTTTAAAAACTGTATGCCTTTAGATATGTAAAGCTAGTCACACAATGCTGCATACCTTGACTAGGAGTTGTTGATGTTGCACCTTCTCGGCAGAAGTAGCCGTCATCACAAGGTCTGATGGGGTAGGTGAGGCCTTCCATGTCACATGCCATTCCACCGACACACACGGAGCATTCACTCACGTTGGTGAGGCCTGAAATACCAACAACTTATCAGTGATGTTCTTATAAGACCCTTCAGCAGAGCTCTGTCCATGACCCCACAGCACAGCTCTAACATAGCCCTTTAGCAATGTTCCAGCATAAGACTTCAGCAGAGCTCTGTCCATGACCCCACAGCACAGCTCTAACATAGCCCTTCAACAATGTTCCAGCATAAGACTTCAGCAAAGCTCTGTCCATTACCCCACAGCACAGCTCTAACATAGCCCTTCAACAATGTTCGAGCATAAGACTTCAGCAGAGCTCTGTCCATGATCCCACAGCACAGCTCTAACATAGCCCCCCTGCAATGTTCTAGCATAAGACTTCAGCAGTGCTCTGTCCATTACCCCACAGCACAGCTCTAACATAGCCCTTCATCAATGTTCCAACATAAGACTTCAGCAGAGCTCTGTCCATGATCCCACAGCACAGCTCTAATATAGCCCTCCTGCAATGTTCCGGCATAGACTTCAGCACAGCTCTTACCAAGGCCCCACAGCACAGCTCTAACCAAGGCCCCACAGCACAGCTCTATCATAGCCCTCCAGCAATGTTCCAGCATAAGACGTCAGCAAAGCTCTTACCAAATCCTTCAGCTATCCTTTAACTGTAGCCCTTCAGCTATGCTGCACCTAAAGCGTTTTGTTACCCCAAATTGGACTGCTACCATTTACTTGAACACGGCAAGTTTCTGCTGTCATTAAACTGAGTGAACATAATCGTAAGTAGAATGACCTGCCATCAGTGACATTACCTGTCCTGTTGTTGTATGTTCCCAGTGGACACGGATACTGGTCGGCATACTGTGTGCCGTTAGGGCAGTAGTAGCCCTCTGGGCAGATGGTTCCATCGTACCTGACCACGGGGCCTGCAGTGGCATTGCAGTAGAAGCCGGCAGGGCACACCTTACAGTCTGTCTGCTGGGGCAGATCCTACAGGAACATAGTGGGTAGAACAATGAGCATGGCAGGTAGAACAATGAGCATGGCAGGTAGAACAATGGTAACAACAGGATGAACAGTGGTAAAAACAGGTAGAACAATGAGCATGGCAGGTAGAACAATGAGCATGTCAGGTAGAACAATGGTTATAACAGGATGAACAGTGGTAAAAACAGGTAGGACAATGAGCATGGCAGGTAGAACAATGGTTACAACAGGAAGAACAGTGGTAAAAACAGGTAGGACAATGAGCATGGCAGGTAGAACAATGGTTACAACAGGAAGAACAGTGGTAAAAACAGGTAGAACAATGAGCATGGCAGGTAGAACAATGAGCATGGCAGGTAGAACAATGGTTACAACAGGAAGAACAGTGGTAAAAACAGGTAGAACAATGAGCATGGCAGGTAGAACAATGAGCATGGCAGGTAGAACAATGGTTACAACAGGAAGAACAGTGGTAAAAACAGGTAGAACAATGAGCATGGCAGGTAGAACAATGAGCATGGCAGGTAGAACAATGGTTATAACAGGATGAACAGTGGTAAAAACAGGTAGGACAATGAGCATGGCAGGTAGAACAATGAGCATGGCAGGTAGAACAATGGTTATAACAGGATGAACAGTGGTAAAAACAGGTAGGACAATGAGCATGGCAGGTAGAATAATGGTTATAACAGGAAAAACAGTGGTAAAGACAGGTAGAACAATGAGCATGGCAGGTAGAACAATGGTAACAACAGGATGAACAGTGGTAAAAACAGGTAGAACAATGAGCATGGCAGGTAGAACAATGAGCATGGCAGGTAGAACAATGGTTATAACAGGATGAACAGTGGTAAAAACAGGTAGGACAATGAGCATGGCAGGTAGAACAATGGTTATAACAGGATGAACAGTGGTAAAAACAGGTAGAACAATGAGCATGGCAGGTAGAACAATGGTTATAACAGGATGAACAGTGGTAAAAACAGGTAGAACAATGAGCATGGCAGGTAGAACAATGGTTATAACAGGAAAAACAGTGGTAAAGACAGGTAGAACAATGAGCATGGCAGGTAGAACAATGGTTATAACAGGATGAACAGTGGTAAAAACAGATAGAACAATGAGCATGGCAGGTAGAACAATGGTTATAACAGGATGAACAGTGGTAAAAACAGATAGAACAATGAGCATGGCAGGTAGAACAATGAGCATTGCAGGTAGACCAATGGTTGTAAGAGGTAGAACAGTGGTAAAAACAGGTAGAACAATGAGCATGGCAGGTAGAACAATGAGTATGGCAGGTAGATCAACGGTTGTAACAGGTAGAACAATGGTAAAAACGGTGGAACAATGTGCAGGGGCAAGGAGACCAATAGGTATCATTACAATAAGTATCAATTAGACTTATTTGGAAATTGATTTCAAAAAGGTACCTAAGGTTGTTTTTTAAACGTAAAAAATGTTTGGAGACAAATAATACCATATCAGATAACATTCTTATTCTTATTGGTGGCCTTTAATGGGTTTCAATATGTAAATAAAAGCTATAAAAGTCATTCCATAATAATCATAAAAAATCTTGGCTATAAGCAGAGTCCATTCTGGCTATATTAAAAGTAACATCAATCTTTCAAGTGAAGGATGATTAAGGACAGGTGTGACAGCAAGGCAAGGCGATGTGCTGATTGTGTACCTGGTAGGATCCGGCAGGGCAGGCAACGGCAGCCTCTTTACCGCCCACGCAGTAGTAGCCGGGTTGGCAGGAGTTGTTGCCGGGCGTCGCCACGATGGCCCCTGCTGGGCAGTAGAAGCCAGGGGCACAGTCCCCATTTGGTGTTTCTAGCCCTTCTTGTTCACAGTACTTGCCTGCAGAGAACATGGGGGAGACATGATGGACCAATGGTGTGCTGCAGAAACTCAGTGGAATGCTTAAACATGGGAACATGGAGTCCAATAATAACTGGTTGTCGAAAATGATTTTGAGACCTATAAATTACTTTTGTGAATTCACACTGGACTCACAATGACAGTTGTGGAATGCGTGACTAACGCTTGGTAATATCCTAGGTAATTTCTACTTCTGTAGTCGCAAATAAAGGTCAAGTACTGGAACCAATGGTTAGGTGAGCAAGGAAAGTTCTATTTCTATTTTTCTCTTGAAATGAGAAACTGCAGTCACAAAAAGTTTCATAGCAGCAAAATTATGCCTTAACCTCACAAAAATAGTAATTAAATCTTAAATGAAATTGCAATAGTAGCTGAGGTTCCAAAGACTATAACATACAATGACCATCTCACCTGGTGTGCAGATCTTGCAGGCGGAAGGGTCACTGTTCCGTGTGCTGTCCAGGTAGTAGCCTATCGGACATGGTACAGGCCCAGGGCTTCCCACGGGACAGTAGTGCCCCATGGGGCAGATATCCCCAGTCACTCCATCAGTGGGGCGGTAGAACTCTGCTGCCTGGATGCAGTAGTACCCTGGGGGGGTAGGACATAGCCAGCATGAGACACTTGTCAACCACATCAACGGTATGTACACCATTCAGTATTTACCATACGTACAAACATCAGGTCCAATATTACTTATTTACAATAGGTTTGTTTGTATGTTTTCTGTTGTTTTATGCCACACTCAGCTATATTACAGCTATATGACGACAGTCTGTAAATAATCGAATCTGGACCAGACAATCCAGTCATTGATATCATGAGCATCAATCAACGCAATTGGCATCAAAGTCCCGATCCCATTAGTCGACAAGCATAATAGGTTAATTTCAAGGAGATTTTAATGGAAGTACAGAGAAACATTCCGGTTAATAAATCTGTATATCATAAGTATACACATCTAAAAACAATTTTGTCTTGCTGAAGTGCTTTTTAATAATTTGTCTGATGCTGTTTGAACAGTTTGGTCCTTGACATATTCAAAATTCATCAGATCATGGCACAACAAAGGGATGCAACTCATTCTGATAAAGAATAGACACCATTGTTTACTATCAAGTATCAGCCAAAATTATAGACAACCGCTTTACGTCTTAAACACACAAAATAATTTGCCTACATTTTCCTGAGGGCATTCAAGAAATGACATGTCCTGCCATGTGACCAGACAGGGAGAGCCCCACCCACCTTGTGTACAGTTTCCTGTGGGTTCTCCCAGTCTCTCCTGCTGACAGTACTTGCCGCCATCACAGAGAGTATAGTTGGCGCTTCCCTCAGGGCAATACTGGCCACGTAGACACTTCCCGCCCTGAGCTGGGTCAGTTGGCTTAGTCTGGACAGCGCCACCAAGGCAGAACCATCCGACACTAGGACAAAACGATGGAGAATGAAGGGAGCAGAATGCTATGAGTGAGTGACTAAGTATGACTATATGCTGCTTTTAGCAATAAACAAGCAATATCATGGTAGGGGACACTAGAAATGGGTTTCTTACATTGTATCTATATGGGCAAATCATGTGGGTCTTTGGTGTCACAAGTGGATGCTTTAACATCAAGGCAACCCCACCGCTCCAGGTGCAGAAAGCAAACTTTTCATTATGACACATGAGACTTACAAAAGGATTTGGGGCAAAAAAGAACCAATTTTTTACCCATTTGGCAAATCTTTAGTGAGTTGGGTTCTCAACACTTTGAACCATACTTGAATTTTATCATGTCATATTGTGTTAAAGGGGAAAGATCATTCAGTTTTATCTATAACACTCATGAGCATGGATATGGTGTTGACAAGACAAATACTGTCAATTTGGGATTTAAACACACAATCAGCAGATCCTGATACTTCAGAGTGCACAGAGAATTTTGGTGCTTTTGCCACACTGCCCAAGGAAAACTCATTATTATATCATTTTCAGGCTTCCTTTATTAGCTGAACTAAGCTGACAAAAGGGTCACTACCTGCACTGGCCAGTAGGGTCAGATAACCCTTCTGTCTGACAGTAGAAACCAGCTGTGCATGGGAGACAAGCAGAGGCATTGGTGGAGGAGTTGTCTGGATTGAACGTTCCAACTGGACACTTGTTTTCATCCTTGCGCATGGTTCCTGCAGGGCAGTAATGACCCATGGGGCATGGTTGGTTCCGGTAGTCCGAGGAGTTGGACACACAGTAGAAACCTGGCAACACAATGGAAATATTTAACTCTGTGAAACAATTATGATTTCATCCAATTTGGTAACATATGATTAATGGTTTCTGCAGCGATGTATTGTAAGCGAGTTGAAATCAGGTAAGGGAATCTGACCTGGCACAACCCCCTCCATCTCTCCTCAACTAGGTTGTCTCCATCACGACCCTAACCATTTCCTGACAGACTTCACATGCATTGTGTCTCTCACACCCCCAACCCCTCACCTGCAGGACAGACTTTACAGGTGCTCTGTCTCTCCTCATCTATATATGTCCCCTCACACCCCCACCCCTCACCTGCAGGACAGACTTTACAGGTGCTCTGTCTCTCCTCATCTATATATGTCCCCTCACCTGCAGGACAGACTTTACAGGTGCTCTGTCTCTCCTCATCTATATATGTCCCCTCACACCCCCACCCCTCACCTGCAGGACAGACTTTACAGGTGCTCTGTCTCTCCTCATCTATATATGTCCCCTCACCTGCAGGACAGACTTTACAGGTGCTCTGTCTCTCCTCATCTATATATGTCCCCTCACCTGCAGGACAGACTTTACAAGTGCTCTGTCTCTCCTCATCTATATATGTCCCCTCACACCCCCACCCCTCACCTGCAGGACAGACTTTACAGGTGCTCTGTCTCTCCTCATCCTGGTATGTTCCTGCAGAACAACCCACAGGCTGTTCACTTCCCTCGGGGCACATGTAGCCAATGGGACAGACATCTCCATAACCTGCACACAAAACACACTCGGGTGTCAAACATGCAGTTTTTTACCTAACATATAAAGGTCTTTCTTTTAAGAAATTTGCTACTATTATTGCTTGCAAGAATATTATCTGCATATATTTCTTCAGAAAGACATAATAGATTAGTGTAGGGTGAAAATAAGAATGCTCTTAGAACAAATATGTTAAACAAGTAATTCCATTTCGGATTCTTATTAAACCTGAAATGATCTGATTGCGTTGTCTTAATAGACATAGAACCCTGCCAAAATGCTTGGGTCTTTTTGTAAGAATGAGTGCGTGAGTAGGGTTTTATGCTGATTTAAGCAACATTCCAGCAATATCAAGGCAGGGGACACCCAAAATTGGCTTCACGTACCCATGTGGGGAAACAAACCTGTGTCTTCAGTGTGAAAAGTGAATGCTTTAACCACATGGCTACCCAAACACCCCTTATAGAAGTGGATGGTGCACTACAGGCAAAGTATAAAGTCTTACACTATTGTTCCTTTTCAAGTCTGCAAAATATTGAATCTGAAGCAGACAAACCCATATGCTTATGAACCCACACCCTAATCACGTAAATGTCATCCAATAACATGGACAGATAGCACTATGTCACATGGTACCTGTGTGTCCACCAATCAGAGGACAGGATGCTGGGTACGAACTGTTGGTTGCAGCATTGTCCGGATTTGGTCGGTCCACGCCTGACTGACAGTAATAGCCTGCGGAGCAGAGGCCGGTGACATTGGTGTGCCCCTCCATGGAGCAGTAGTGGCCGCCATCACAGTCCTTGCACTGGCTCACCTGAATGGGAACACAAACACTGATCAGTTCACTTTGACAAAAACACAGTACCCAGGGTCTGTATAGCTCACCTGTATCTATGTGGAATATTTGCAACATAAGGAGGACTGACGGACTGGCGCTATTTTAACTCACTTGAACTTTCAAGTTCAAAAGCGCTAAAGCAATGACATCGGAAATGTTACCTCATACTGATTACAATTCAATATCAGTTCAGTTTGGACAAAATCAGAACTAAAATAATATTTGTCCTTCATACTGGAACATCATAAACACTCCAGTATTTAGGTTGTTCACCCATTAAAGAATTAATCATTAACCACATCAGGTATTTTAAATTCCTAATCCGTGCAGTAATCTAAAGAGACAATTTAACCAAAAATCCATTACAATGTTATCAGAGGCACAAGTAATGAAACATTTCATTCAGACAGATGTCAGACTCCTGGCTGGTGACCCACCATGTACAGCTTCGTCTGAGTGCTGTATGTGCCCATGGGGCAGGGCTTCCAGTCCAGACCTGTCCCAGATGGGCAGTAGTACCCAGGGGGACAGTCGAAGTGCCCGGACGTCGGCACGCCTGCAGTCACATTCTCCGGAAGGCAGAAGAAACTTGAAACATGTATAGTTATTATCAAGATCATTGTAAAAATACATGAAAATCCAAACAAAACCAATTCATGAAAAGCGTAACAAAACGTATGTCAAAGGGTCTTCACCTTGCCAGGTTTTATTGCCTAATTTCTGAATTTTACATGATATCATCCATGCATGCATGATTGTTGGAAAATTCTCTCAATCAACAGTTACATTTGAAAATGTTGCCTAGACACAAAGTGGGAACACCCCATCCCAGCCCTCGCTCTCACCCATCGGGGCAAATGTCACAGATCCACAGTCCTGTCCTGTTGGTGAAGTATCCTGGTTGGCAGGACCTGGGTTCATCTGATCCTGTGGGGCAGTGGAGGCCAATGGGGCAGACAACTGCTGTAGGCATGGTCGAACCTGTTACAGAGGAAATAGCAACTGAACAGAGAGAAGTCCTACTGATTACACCATTCTGACCTGGGAACAATTCACAATTAATATACGGTAAACTGGTAGCCAGGTTTTATATATTTGACACTTTCGATAAGCCTAATACATCATCTGTGCTCTCAGCCAAGGAAACATCATCACTATCCAAAGTTGAAAAACAATTGATATTTTTGGTTCTAAATAATATATTAGAAAAAAAGAATACAAATTACTGATACAAAGATATGCAATTTTTCACAACCAACAAAAAAAGTGCATACATCTAATAAATGGAGCAAAAAGAAGCCCCAAAGCATTGTTACAAACAACAAAGTAGTTGTCATCCATAAAAAGTTTCATGCCCAATTGTTCTTCAAACTTGATTATTTTTCAATATTTGGACAACATTTTTGTCTCTTTGAAGTGTATTTTGCTGTCCTAGAGTTATGAAAGAGACCCACCTGTTGGGCAGTAGTAGCCCTGGGTGCAGTTTCCCTCCTCTGCGGTGAGGCCGGCACTCTGACAGTAGTACCCTGCCGTACAGTCTGTGCAGTTCTCCACTGCACTCAGCCCTGTGGTGTTGGAGAACGTACCCGTAGGGCACTTCTCTGGTGTGTGTGTGCCTGAACATAATGGGTGGAAACTTACTTCCATATGCACCAAATTTAGTACAGATAGTGAGTGAGTGAGCGAGTGAGTACGGTTTTACGCCGCTTTTAGCAATATTCCAGCAATATCACGGCGGGGGACACCAGAATGGGCTTCACACATTGTACCCATCTAGGGAATCGAACCCGGGTTTTCGACGTGACGAGCGAGCGCTTTAACCACTAGGCTACCCGACTGCCCCTTGTACAGATAGTAAATCATCACATCATTATGATGATTAGGCCTTGAGCTAAATAAAGCCACGACATCGGCATTGTAGTAAGTAACATAATAGCTTTTGTGATATAATAGTTTCAGTAGTATGACAATAGTGTTTGCAGTCTATCCCAATACTATCACAATTATGGAACAACTGTTCCAATAGTATAGCAACAGTGTGTGAACATGTATTTTGAACCTGGCTGATGACGACATCCTGAAGAAAATTCATATTTACATGCACATGCACATTCACATTTACATTAAAATTGTTGTTGTTGAATCTCACCTTCTGGACAGTACCGTCCCGCTGTGCAGATATCAGGGGCCTTGTTGTCGGAGCCAGACACACAGTAGAAGCCTGGGGAACATTTGCCTGTGGGTTCTGTCAGCCCAGAGATCTCACAGTACCAGCCTGAAACAGACCACTCACATGACAGACCTTCATACATACATGGGCCTAAAGACTGTAGAAGACCTGTGTGTTGTCATCAAAACAGCTACAACATGTGAAGGATTTTCATGAAATCTTGTTGATGGTCTTTTTGACAGTTTATGGCTATTAGACAACCTGAATGAACCAGTGATGGTTTACTGTCTCTAAACCTAAACATGTTACACAGAGAGACAGATTCACACACACACACACACACACACACACACATGCACAGAGACAGTCAGACCCAGACACACAGACATAGACAGGCAGGCAGACACACAGAGACAGATGGACAGACACAAACACACAGACAGATGGACACACACACAGACACAGAGGCAGACAGACAGAAACAAACACACAGATGGATGGACACAGAGACAGGCAGACAGACAATCAAGGTTGTAACTGAAGCAAACAGTCTAAAATGTGACCAACAATATTTCACAACAAAGATCATGGATCTGCTTTCTTCAATGTTATATAAAGTGGACATGAACAGTGGATCATGGATCAACATTTTACAAAGAAATGATGAAATGTTTTGAAAACCTATTCTTGCCTTTTGTACAGGGCGTGCAATCGGTGACGTTCATCAGCTGTGTGTTGTTGGAGTATGTCCCTGGGGGACACTTGATGGGTTCTGTGGTTTGTTCAGGGCAGTAGTGACCAACTGGGCAGCGGTCCGCATCAATGCCCTGTGTTGGAGCTGCGGTCATACTTCCTGTGCGGCAGTAGTACCCCGCAGTACATGGGAGGGATGGGTACACTGTCCCCGCTGGGCAGTAATAGGCACCTAAACAGATGGAAATGAATGAGTTAGTGAGGGAACTGATTTGGTTGATGCATGTCATCGTATCACAATTGCCTAGATCGATGCTCATGATGTCAATCACTGGATTGTCTGGTCCAGGCTTGATTATTTACAGACCACTGTCAAATAGCTGGAATATTTTTGAATCCGGCGTTAAACAACAAACAACAAAATACAAATAAAAATAACATCCTGTTATGTCAATACATAGTGTTTAAGCTATTCATATTGTGCAGGTCAGTATGATATATAGTTACCGAGACAGGAGAAACCAACATCAAGTAGGTCAGTATGATATATAGTTACCGAGACAGGAGGAACCAACATCAAGGAGGTCAGTGTGAAACAGTTACCGACACAGGAGGAACCAACATCAAGTAGGCCAGTATGAAATATAATTACCGAGACAGAAGGGACACTCAGTGTCAGTTCTCAGTCCTGTCATGTTGTTGTAGCTGCCGCTGGGACAGGGGAACTCCGTTGCTACCTTTGTGCCGTTGGGGCAGTAGTACCCTGCAGACAAATGAGAGCATTATGTACACACAGAGTATTTACTTACACCTCCCACAGATAACTGAAGTTATCATTTCATGTTGTCTGTAAGCCACCATCAGTTTTAGCTACGCACCTTGCAATTATTCCATTTCAAGTGGGCATGCTTAGTCATACTGGGGGGGGACAACATTTCAATGATATGACATATTGCCATTTGTGTTTCTACAAAAATGTTTAAAGCTCTGAGTTCATGGGAGACCTAAACAATATATTTTCTTGTTATACATATTTTCAGATTGCAGTAGAAAATAAAAATAAGATTAAATGTGTCATGATTTATTTGAGGTTATTTTCTAAAAAATAAACAAAATCAACATCATAATTTTTTCCAAAGTTCTATTATGAATCATATGACATATCACATGGACATGGCTTTGGTTAATATCACATAACTGAATATAACTGCCGACAAGGGTTCCTGTCCTACCTTCTGGGCAGCTGTATGGTGTGTACGATGTGATTGGTCCGACAGCATCATCACAGTAGAATCCAGCCACACATTCCTTGCAATCCCATTGGCCAGTGAGGTCCTGGTAGGTGCCAGACCTACACATGATCTGATTACTGGATCCTGTTGGGCAGTAGTACCCACCCTGGCACTCGTACACACTCGGGTTGCGCACATTCTGACCCTCAGGGCAGTAGTAGCCTGGAAACAATTGTGTCATCATCACTTAGCCATTCATCCTTACAACTTGCAGTGTTTCCCAAGCCTTCTTTACACATGCATCTCATACGAAATTATACACTCAGCCATGAAGCATCACAACTTTCAACTTAGCCTCTGAATGATTATTTTAGCATCTTGTGCCATAGTCTGAAATATTTGTTGTTTCAGTCTGCAGTCACTAACAGTCAGATACTGATATCATTTCGATGACATATGATCAACAAAAATCATCAAGACTGACACCCTATCCAAATAAGCTGCCTCAACAGGCCATAAGATGCAGGGTACTCCAAGCTGCTCTGGTTACAGATGGATACCTACCTCTGCTCCAAAGCTGCTCTGTCTACATATGGTTACCTACCTCTGCTCTAGGCTGCTCTGTCTACAGATAGTTGCCTAACGGTCACATTCACCATCAGGGGCCTCCAGGCCACTCGCGTTACAGATAGTTACCTACCTCTGCCCTAAGCTGCTCTGGTTACAGATAGTTTACCTACCTCTGCCCTAAGCTGCTCTGGTTACAGATAGTTACCTACCTTTGCTCCAAGCTGCTCTGGTTACAGATAGTTACCTACCTTTGCTCCAAGCTGCTCTGGTTACAGATAGTTACCTACCTTTGCTCCAAGCTGCTCTGGTTACAGATAGTTACCTACCTCTGCTCCAAGCTGCTCTGGTTACAGATAGTTACCTACCTCTGTCACATTCACCATCTGGGCCCTCTGGTTACAGATAGTTTACTTACCTCTACTCTAAGCTGCTCTTGTCTACAGATGGTTACCTACCTCTGTCACATTCACCATCGGGGGCCTCCAGGCCGCTCTGGTTACAGTACTTCCCGGCTGTACAGATGATGCACCAGGTGACGTTCTGAGCTCCCAGACTGGGCTGATAGTAGCCAGGATCACAGGGACTGGGGGACCCTGTGCCCTCAACACAGTAATGCCCAGTTGGGCAGCGGTCTCCTGGAACAAACAATACTCAGGTGTCACTTCAAGCTCTCTGTATCAGTCCCAGTCACAAGATGTTATTCCACCTACTGTACACCATCAAGTTTGTTCTTGGTAGATCGATGTTTAACACCACACTCAGCAATATTCCATCTGCTATAGGCTATACAATAAGGTTTGGTTTGGTTTGGTTTGTTTGTTGTTTAATGCCGCACTCAGCAATATTCCAGCTATATGACGGCGGTCTGTAAGTAAGCTATAAAATAAAGAGTGAGTGAGTACTTATTGCCTTTTCAGCAATGCTGCAGCTATTTGCAGTGAGGCAATACAGTGGGTTTAGCTTTATCATATAAGCCAGTAGTATTCATCTCTAAACCTGGAACTGATAAATCCGATTTTTAGCACTACAACAATGAGGTGAGGTGAAATTGGGTTTAATGTCGCGTCCAAGATTATTACACTTATATAGCGACGTGCATGCATGTGTTTGTGTGTGGCTGCTTGTACTAGTCCAGACTGATGCTGATTTATAGTGCTAGCCCACTGAGATACCATGCCGCAGTTTAAAATGAATACCCCACTCAGACACAGTATACTGACTCCGAGCCGACCAGTCCTTGTTTTAGCCCCTTAATGCCGAGCGCCAGACAGGGTAACAAAAAGTACCATCTTTTAACGTCTTTTGGTATGACGCGGCCGGGGATCGAACCCCGGACCTTCCGCTCTCCGGGCGGACGCTCTACCACAAGACCACAGAGGCGGTTACTACAACAATGAGGATGCAGTAGATGAACATGTGAAATACATTTTCACAGTGCCTGGAGCTTACAATTCAGAGATCAATATTGTGAGCATGCATAAAGATTAGATTAGATTTGTTGAACGAGCCCTTACTATTTTCTAGACTGTAATACTTATTTATTCATAACTATTGAAATGAGTGAGTGAGTGAGTGAGTATGGTTTTATGTCACTTTTAGCAATATTCAAGCAATATCACGGCGGGGGACACCAGAAATGGGCTTCACACATATTGTACTCATGTCGGGAATCAAATCCAGGTCTTCGTCGTGACGAGCAACTGCTTTAACCACAAGGCTATCCGACTGTCCCACTATTGAAATGAATGTAAACACCTACTGAACTAAAAAAAAACTGTTAACAAATATGAATAAAAAATAATTAAATAAATAAATCACAAAAACTAAAAATAAATAAATATCAGCATACAATGCTATGTATGATTCGGTCTTCCATGATGGTAACTCATCCACATCATGTGGATGACTGGTGGCCATTGTGTCCACCGAGTCCAATCTTAGTTGTTTATACTACCTACTATGGTGTACTGGGGACACATCCTGCTTCTTTGGAAACATGAGCCCATAGACTTTGATCTATGCAGGACAAAGTGTAGAGTGATGGTACAGTGGGGAAGTTACCTCCAGTTCCAGTTGGTCTGTCTGTGGTTGAATTTGAATCACAGAAATATCCTGCCATGCAAGGTCCTCTGGGTGTGTCCATCATGTTGCTATCGCAGTACTTTCCATGGTCACAGCCCAGTGGCGCTGCACTGCCCCTTGGACAGTAGGTTCCTGGTGGAGGGAGGGTTAAAAGCCATGTAAACAATACGTAGGCAGTTTATTGTGCCAGATAAGTCTTGTTTCTTTGTTTAATGCTGCAGTCAGCAATATTCCAGCTTTATGACATTGGTCTGTAATAATTGAGTCGAGTAGTTGGGATACGATGACTTATGTCAAACAAAGCAAGTGAGTCTGACCACCCAATCATTAGTTGCCTCTTACAACAAGCAAAGTCGCTTTTTACGACAAGCTAGGGTTGCTGAAGACCTATTCTAACCCAGATCTTCACGGGTGCTGCCACATAATGGCTGTCAAACATAAGGCTTATCTAGGATATGAAATATGTTTAACTGCCATTAAGTTTACATATCTTTTCAAAATTTTGTCAGTGATTGAGGGTCTGAACTCAACTTGCATGTGTTTGATTTAACAAACTTAATGAAATAGAAGAAAAATACACATGAAGACTGTTTGTAATTGAACAGTTTTTCTGATAATTATGAAGAAAGGTATGAAACAATTCATATTTTGAATAGACCACATCTTCATTTGTATAATGAGCATTTGATAAAAATGTGCACCCCTTTTCTTGGGTACAAGTTACAGGAAGAATTGCACATCTCCTATATAATGTTCAGTAAAAACTACAAGTTGCTTCAGGTGAGCAAACAGTGATAAAAAACTTGCTCATGTAAATGTAAATATTCCAAAAATAACTACCTGCTAAGCACTTTCCACCCTCAGGGCTTGATGGTGTGGGTAGGTCTGAGCCTGAGGTACAGTACCAGCCAGGGTCACACTGGTCTGTGGGGGTGGAGAGCCCTGGGGAGCCACAGTACCACCCTGGGGTACAGGGGCTGCAGGAGGTCAGGTTCTCTTGGGCTGATCATGAGGAACGGGACAAGGAACATTATCTTAAGAACTTTCTCAACAAAATCAATAATCACAAGAAAAGAAGCAATGGTGTTTAGTGGCAAGACAAGCATATATACTGATCTGGATTCAACATCCAAGGAGATTCAAATATTTTCATCACTAAAAGAGATCATAAGAATTGTTTTTTTCTTGAAGGGTAAATATTCTAGAAAATGGTTGACCTTTCAGCCATGCCAATATAATAATGTACAATGTTGACACACACTGCCATGACAAATAGTCCAAAAGTGACATTGCCTTGTGAAATGTCATGACAAAACATCTTTCACTTTCACAGTCTCTGGTTACATTGACAATGACCCCCAAGTCCTACAAAGACCATTCACAAGCAAGAAGTATACAAGTCTGACCTGTGAGGTTGTTGAATGTTCCCTGGGGGCAGGGGTACTGTATGTCATACTGTGTCCCATCCAGACAGTAGTAGCCGGAGGGGCAGGGCTTGTCGCTGTAGGTGGTGCTGTTGGCGATGCAGTAGTAGCCTGCGGGACACGTCTCACAGGATGCCTGGGTGTCCTTGTCCTGGAATGAAGGTCAAATTCAACCTCACATACACCTTCAACCCAACTTGCTCTGAGGGATTCTGATATTTACTGTTTATACTTCTGGCTTAAAAACTCATATCATAGGCATCATAGTCAAGATATGTAATAAGCCATCACTCTCATATCACAGCAACTAGAGAAATAGATAACTAAAATGCCATCTTATGAACCTATAGTGACATCATTCTATCGATGTTATGGCTTTGTTGAAGTGACTTATATTTAACTGATAATAGGACAAACAAAGACGAAGAAGAGGCATTGTACTGAAAGCAGTGTTAAATTACCTCTGAATTTAAGAAAATAAAACCTTTACAAAAATCCAACAATTTTCAAAAATAACGACTTTTTCGCAATTTGCCTATTATTTGTCTGCTTGTAATAGTCTGGACTAATGCTGATTTTATAGTGCTAGCCCAATGAGATACCATGCTGCAGTCATGAATACCCCACTCAGACACAGTATACTGACTCCCAGCTGACCAGTACACGTCTTAGGCCCTTACTGCCAAGTGCCAGGCAGGGTAACAACAAGTATAATCTTTTAACATCTTTTGGTATGACATGGCCAGGGATCGAACCCCTAACGTTTTGTTCTCCAGGCGGACACTCTGCCACTAGACCACAGAGGTGGTTGGAATTCTAGATACCCCCCACACTAGGATGATAGTAACCCCCACACATCAACACTTATGACAGTTATAGTGCTAAGATCGCTCAACAGAAAACACAAACCTGATATGTTCCAGCCTCACAGCCCTCTGGGATGACTGTAGCTCCAGGACACTTGTGTCCAATAGGACAGATGCCACCAGTACCAGTATGGCTGCCGGTGGGTGTGGGGGTGTCAACGCCCGTCGTGCAGTAGTAGCCGGGGCTGCAGTCGCCAGTGGGGGCAGTGAGGTTGGTGGTGTCGCAGTATTGTCCCCCAGTGCATGGCAGACACTCGGACACATCGAGCAGACCCAGCATGTTGCTGTAGGTTCCAGCTGGACAGGCTGTCCAGTTCCGTCCGGTCCCAGCTGGACAGTAGAACCCACGTGGGCAGAGCCGATGTCCAGAGGTGGAGTTTCCTGAAAGGAAAACACACAACATAGCAGTGTTCACATTACATCATGTAGAATCGGATATTTGCAAAATAAAAGACCAATTATTTTCTACAAGTCTCTTTCTGATTCGTTTACTTTCCATCTGTTTTTCACATACAAATGAATGAGTGAATTGTGTCTGAAGCTTTGGACAATACTTTAGTCACATCATATAAATCTGAGACTAAAAGTGATGTAGGTCACAGATTACCACGTTGGTGAAACCCACAAGCATATGCCAAGGTTCATAAACAGGATCCAAACCATCAGATCCTATCATAATCAGGATCCAAACCATCAGGTCCTATCACCTAGGGGACACAACTCCTGAATCTCACCTGCAATGACTTCTTCAGGTACACAGTAGAACCCTGCAGGGCAGATGAGACACTGGTCGGCCTGGGTAAAGTTGGTGTAGGTTCCTGCATCACATGGGACGGGCTGACCACTCCCTCCAGGACAGTGCAGACCAATCGGACATGGGGTCTCCACAGGGTTTCGGACATGGTCCCCTCCAGGACAGTAGAATCCTGGGTCGCAGTCATCCACCGGTGCTGACAGACCTGCGCAACACAGGAAATATATTCATCTTCTATTAGACAAGATTACAGATTGAACTAATTTGTTACGACAGATCAATGTCTGATTCTCCCCTCAAATCATTTACCTTAACAGCCCATATCTAAATAGTATTTAGATTTTTCAAATATATTGGGGGTATAATTAACCCTCTGATATTTATGGTGTCCAATATCATAAGCTTTCATATTAACTCAACTAAGAGAGAGATATATTTACCTGTGTCGTTGCAGTATTTCCCTTCATCACAGTCCGTGCACTGAGTGACATTGGCTAAGCCCTCTGTATTGGTGTAGGTTCCAGCGGGGCAGGGGGTCGGGGCTCCGGAACCCTGAGGGCAGTAGTTCCCGATCGGGCAGATGGCTTGGCGGGAATGGTTAGAGCCCAAGACACAGTAGTAGCTGAAGATGAATCATCATTACAATCATATCTCCCTTCATCATCAACATTTACATCATCCTTACCTTTGTTGAAGGGTGAATACGGCTTTTTATTACCTACGAGGGCAAACATATCGGGGTTCATAAAAATCGTATGTGCCCTAGAGACAACAGTGTATTGCTTCCGTCATCTAGGTGTATTGTGACGTGAGGATGGAATGATGTCACACTAGAAACGACATCATAGCTGATGATTGTTGACATCATTCAACAAATTGTGGTTCTGCTGCTGTTGCGTCTTGCTGTCCTTATAGGTAAACACTCAAATTTGTCTCTGTATGTAGACATCTTCTTAGGTAATAAATAGAACATTATAATCAAGTTAATGTCATATTATGTTTACGACACTCCCAATATATTGCCCCTTTTAAAAAGTTTTTCAGTGGGATCTTGGCAGGGAGATACTAATGTGGTTGGAAAGCCCAAAGTGATGTGGATGGAAGCATGTTAACTCACATTGGCAAATGATAGAAGTCACGGAGAACCTGAGATTCGATGCCATGACTTGGCAGCTAAGGAATTCAACTATGAGTTGAATTTGCCAATCTGACCTACTGATGTTGCTGCTAATATAATAACTGTCTTTGTTCATGTAATATATAGTGTGAGAAACATCTTTTGGGATATTTTGTTTATGATTTGCAAAGTTTCAATGACAATGACATTCACAACCAGAGTGAGTGAGTATGGTTTTACGCCGCTTTTAGCAATATTCCAGCAATATCACGGCGGGGGACACCAGAAATGGGCTTCACACATTGTACCCATGTCGGGAATCGAACCCAGGTCTTCGGCGCGACGAGCGAACGCTTTAACCACTAGGCTACCCGACCGCCCCTTCACAACCAGAAATGTGACAAGTGCTCACCCTGCTTCACATGGTGCACTGACTTCAATCATGCCAGTATCCTCACAGTACGCGCCTGCCGTACACAGAGTACAGTCCCCTTCCTTCTCCAGGCCAGTTCGGTTGTTGAACGTCCCCTTTGGACAGGGGTAGGGGTCTGCTGTGCCCTCCACACAGAAATGGCCGACAGGGCAGATATTTGCGTCTGCTCCTAAAGAAGGGAGAAAGTTGTGTAAGGGAGTGAATTTGTTTATCGCAGCTTTGAACAATATATCACTTGATATGAGAGGAAAGCCCAAATTGATGCATGTCATATACATTTTACCACTTTTGCAAAATCCACAAGCACATGGGCATTAGATCTAAACAACAGCATTTGTTTTACAAAGGCACTGAATGACAAGGTGAAACAAGGCACCGAGTGAGATGGGCTCACTAATACCCTGACCAAGACTCCAACATATTTCAAGTTCAAAACATGAAAAAAGCAATAGTTTCTCAGAAAATCCACTTATTGAAAAACCTTTGCACTGCACCTCTCCTACTGGCATAGAAAGTGTTCACCAAGTTTGAAAAGACTCTAAGCAGTAGTTTTCAAGTTATAGGCTGCACCAAAAATGCCCTCGGAAGGATAGTTGGACGGACGGACGGACGGACGGACAGACTTGGCATAACTATATATCCCCGCCCTATTAGGTCTATCCTATTGGCATAGAAAGTGTTCAGTAGTATTCAAGTTCTAGTTCGCACACAAAAATGCCCTCAGTAAGGATGGACAAAATAGAATAACTATACACCCAAACCCTTTAGGTCGGAGGTATCACAAACCAACAACAATATCTCCTCTTTCATACATCAATATCGGTACACATGTTGATTGTTACCTTGATCTGGAGCAGAGATGTTGGCATACTGCTTACAGAAGTAGCCAGCCGAGCAGAGGTTGGTGGGCTGGGTCATGCCTGGGCCGGGACAGTAGAACCCTCCAGAACAGGGGGAACACTGACTCTCTATCGACAGGCCTGCAACACATGCAACAACACTTCCACTAAACACCATAAATCAGTGGACAACTTCTAACAGCACACCCAAAAAAGTTGGCCCATAAATGTCATTCAAATTCTTACTGCAAACCAATATAATTTAGGGATGAGATGGATGATTTCAGCATTGACATTGTTACCAGTGAGGTTGTTGTATGTTCCCACTGGGCAGGGGAACTCCTGATTGAAGCGTGTTCCTTCTGGGCAGTAGTACCCCATGGGGCAGATGGTGGTGGAGTTGTCGAGGACGACAATGCTCATGGTGTTGTCACAGAAGTAGCTGGCAGGGCAGGTCTTGCAGGAAGACTGGATTTCCTGGTCCTGGTAGGTTCCGTTCTCACACCTGATGGCGGCGGGGCTTCCCTCGGGGCAGTAATGGCCCACGGGGCATCTGGAGAAAGGGGTTGCATTTAGGGGGACTATTGCCACCATGTAATTTTTGTAATTTGTATACCACTACCTCAGTACTATTTTGATGGTCAGATGAGTAGCCTGACCTTCCGATAAATTCCTTGCTTTGTGAAGCATTACGTTGAAGCCTAACAACTTGATCCATTTATAGTCTCACAAAGTTTTGAGAGAGTGAGTGAGTTGGGTTTAATGCCGCTTTTAACAGTATTCCAGTTATATCGCAGTGTGTCAGCTTAATGTGGGAGGAAAGCCCGAAGTGATTCAGGTGTCAGACGTTTACCACTTTGGTGAAACCCATGAGCACGGGTATGGTGTTGACAAACCTAGAAACATAATTGGGGCGAACAGCGATTCGAACCCACAATCATAGGTTTTTGGCGTGCCCATGGGGCGCAACTCTGCACAGTGAATCGTGGCGTCTTCGATGACTAGGCCACCTGTGCCCCCATTAAGATTTGAACGTAGTCTGAACAGAAACTCATAAGGTATATCTTGGCCAAAAGCTGATGTTGTTGATAGTAAATGTCATTCAGTGGGAATCTAACATTGCAACTTGCCTGTAATTTTTTAAAACAATTTAACACAACAAATTATGAAATGTTCCTGTTTAGCAAAAAGTAAAATAACAGATTCTTAGCTTTGAATATTTAAAATTAATCCCTTACGATCTTCCTCTCATGCAACTCACCTTGTATCATATGGGGTGGATGAGTTGTCTCCCCCTGGGCAGTAGTATCCAGCGCTGCAGCTCCCTACAGGGAGTTCCAGCCCTGAACCTGGACAATACATCCCTGCTGTACACAGCTTGCAGTCTGACTCGGCATCCTGCTCTGTCACATTCAGGTAGTATCCCATCATGCATGGCTGCTTGGCTCCACTTCCTTCAGGACAGTAATGGCCGACAGGACAGATGTTCCCAGTCACATCATCAGAAGGGGTTGGAGATTTAGCTTGTAGGGTACAGTAGTAGCCTATTGCAACATAGGAAACAGGTCAGTGAGGGGGCTACGATTTAATCAGTAATATATCAGATATACCCCAACATCATTCGATCAAACCTGTGGATGACAGTGTGAGCACCATGGTGTCCATAGATGAAGACTTACAAGATCATCCAGGTTGAAGGTGGTCCTCCCACCCATGTAATCACCATTTATTGTTTGTTTGTTGTTTAACACACCATTCAGCAATATTGCAGCTATATGATGGCTGTCTGCAAATAACTGAATCTGGACCAGACAATCCAGTGACTGACATTAACATTGATCTAGGCAATTGGGAAACGATGACATGCATCAACGAAGTCAGCGAGCATGACCACCCGATCATGTTAATCGCTTCTTACGACAATACAAGCATGGTCACCTGTTATTGTTAGCATGGGGTGCTGAAGACGTATTCTCTACCAAGATTTTCACGGGTCCTGATCACCATTTAGTGATGAAAGGTTAACATAAAAAGAAGGCCGACGATCCAAGGGTGAAATTTAATCAGGGCCTCAGAATGCTTTGTACTTCTCAGGGGTTGAGAAAAGAATGAATTTCAAACATTGTACAGATGTGGAGAGTCGAACCCAGATCATTGTCGGTAGAAAACACTGAATGTAGACACTAGCCCATGCATGTATGCACCCCAAGACTTATTGTGCATTACATAGATCATAGATACCATAATAGTATGGAACATATACTCACCACCAAAAGAAACATGAATACCATACATGTTGGTTAATATAGGATGACTTACTCATATTCAAGAGATATTAAATCGGTTCGATGCACAAACGATCATACAGAACGCATCACATGTGACATCATAGATCCATGTGCAGGATCAGTGTGTAAAGTCGGAAACCATGTGCAGCTTATCGTGATAAGAATAAAGTCACTCTGTGGGAAGACTTGACTGTTAGTTTTACACAGTTAGTACACATTGGAAACATCTCTTCTTAACGTACATGCTTCTCTATTTGGTTTTATGGTTTGCATGTCATTTGGCGGTGAGTTCATAATGGTAGGGGCAGAATACAAACAAACACTGACCTGGAGTACAGTTCCCAGTGGGCATGTCAAGTCCGGCAACCTGACAGTAAGTACCTGGGTCACATGGTATTGGTGCGTACGACCCGAGTGGGCAGTAGTCCCCGGGCTGACACTCCCCACCCTCAGGGGCCGTGGGGCTCTTGGAGGTGGAGTTGCTGGTGCAGTACCAACCTGGAAACATTAAAACGTGTCAAGACAACCTGGTCGATCTGTTTTATTGCAGCTGAAGGATTGAAGTGGTTTTCAGGCAATGCCTTTTGAATAATTGTGCAGGTGGCCTACTCTATTTAGTTCACAAGGTGTGTTAAATGTTGTCAGGATTTCCTTCAATTTGTCACACAGCAAAAATTGAAATCGGGTCTATGATGTGGTTAACAGTGAGTGGGTATGGTTTTATGTCACTTTTAGCAATATTCCAGCAATATCACGGCCGGGGACACCAGAAATGGGCTTCACACATTGCACCCATGGTGTAGTTAACAAAACCCAGACCAGGCTATTCAACCATACCCACATAAAAGTGAATACATAAATTCCCTTGATGAACCCTCCACTATACACTCCTCTTCTTCACTCTTCTTCAAACACTGTATGTAATCTATATGCAAAAAGCCATCATATTTAATCTTACTGACTTACACATTAACAGATATCTGACAAGCCAATACATAAACAAAAGCGAGCCATGTTAAAGAGGTGTCTCAACACGTTCCGCACGAACCTTCATCACATTTCCCGGTGGGGAAGCTGAGCCCATCAGTCTCACAGTACTCTCCCCCTGGGCAGGGGAGACAATCCATGACATCCCGTGCCATGGTCAGGTTGTAGTAGGTTCCGGCCGGGCAGGGGTACTTGTGTGCAGAGGTGGTGCCGTCGTGGCAGTAGTAACCAGAAGGGCAGGGGGTGTGCCAGTAGTCGTCTGCTCCTGGAGAGACGGGAGACAACAAGAAGTTAAGGTACAAGTGATTTGTAACATAGTGATGGTTGTCATAGTTACAGATGTAGCAACTTGTTGCCAATGTTTGCATTGGTTTGGTCTGACTATCCATAAATTGTTAAAGATGAGACATTGTATGTATAGAATGACTTGACTGCTCATATAATTAAGTGCCCATCTTACCTTCCAGACAATTAATGTCTTTTTTCAGGCCACCCACAAATAAATAAGTAGGGGTGTCACAATATTCCTACCTCACATATCCAGCCATGTTGCCATACTGTCGTTACAAAATGACACATATATCATGATATGCAACCTATGTTGATGAATAACAGATTGCTATCAACCAGTAAACAGTGGAATCTGTCCAATTCGGACTCAGTTGGGACGAGGTCCGGATTACACAGAGTACAAAAAGCCTGGTCTGGTCTGGTCTGGTCCAGGCCAGTCCGTTTTAGACAGTTTCTTTTCAATAGTAAATTGGTTGTTGGGACCGTAATGTTATTCCGAAGTGTAAAAAGTCTGAATTAGAGAGTTGTAGGTCAGTTTGAGTAAAGATAATTTATTAAGAAACTGAGGGGAGTGGAGAAAATTTCCCATTTCATAGAAATCCGAATTTGACAGAGTCCAATTTAGACAGATTAGTAAAATCTAAATATTTTTTACATTTGTATACTTATCCTGCATTACTCCGTATTGCATTTACTGCTATGTTTGACAGAGAGACGAACTGTGTGAGATCCAGCTGCTGAAGAAAGTTGTCCCAACCAGCCCAGGAGGCAGCGCCCTCTCACAGTCGGCACGTGACCCGGAAGTCATGACGTCACACCAAAAGACATAACTGCTTTAAACATAACATCTGAAACTTCGTGGGGAGGTAGCGTAGCGAAAGGGAGGGAACTTAGACTTCGTAATGCAGGATAAGTATACAAATGTAAAAAATATTTAGATTTTACTAAATTTTTTAACTTATCCTGCATTACTCCGTATTGCATCTTTATCAGACGGCTTGGCCGGTGGGCATACTTGCAGATGTGAACCATATTAAACCCTCGTCAAGGTCCGATGAATCCGCACCGCATACAAGTGATGACCGGAACATCTACGACCATTCCTGTCTTCAGGAAACAAGAGTCGATGCAAAAACGAAACGCCCGAATAGGTAACCGAAATACAATGAGGCGTGTAGCCAAAATATATAACTTACCGAAGAGCGAAAGCGAAACGCAGTAGAACCTAGAGCTAATCTGAGGTGATAAACACCAGAGAGTTCGACGGGCCCCGCTCGGGGAATCGAAGAATCAGCGGCGTCGGCGGCAAAATCTACGACCAATCCCAAGAGCGAATGCGAAACGCAGGAGAGCCCTCTAGGCTGGAGGCAAGGAACACCGGTGAGGTCGACGGGCACCGCTCAGGTACCAGAGAAGCAGCGGCGTTGGCGTCGGCGCCGGTGACCACATCTACTACCATTCCTGTCGTCAGGAAACGAGAGTTGATGCAAAAAGTAAAACCCGGATAGGTGACAGCAATAGAATGAGTCGGGTAACCCAAAACTAAAACTGACCTAAGAGCGAATGCGGAACGCAAGAGAGCCGTCTCGTCTGGGGTGATAAACACCAGAAAGGTCGACGGGCCCCGCTCAGGGTATCGGAGAATCAGTGGCGTCGGAGATAGATGACCTGTTGGGCTACAACCAGGGACCAAAACTGTGAACGCCGGCGACAACTTTCAAGGCTACATCACGGAAGTAGTGGTTGGTGAAGGCGGTGTCCGATCGCCACGAGCAGGCTTCCCTGAACGACGGGATGGAACAGTATACCGTGAAGAACCAGTGTAAATACGATCGCCCTGATCTCATTTTATTTCAGGTAATAGCCTTTGGGGGGAGGGTCCAATCCGGCGGCTCATACGCTTTAAGGATGACCGCCCGGAGCCACAGGGAAAAGTATTCCGGCTGACCAACGACAGCGACGAAGGGGAGACCGGCAGAAAAAGGTGTTTCCTAGACTTGCGGCAGTCTTTAGATCGTAGAATAACCTTCAGTGCCCTTACTGGGCATAATGACGCTCATCCTCATCCTCGGCACCCACACTGGACGAGGGGGGAGGGGACAAGGAATGATCTATCAGGCTGTCCTGGGAGTTGAATCTTTACGCTGACGTCCCAGTACGGTCCATGATGAACGGCGCCCTGGGTACCGCATTCGAACCGGGCATGGGAGGCGTCGAGGGCGTGCTGTACATGGACTCGAGCGGCAGTAGTCAAAACCAGTAGAAACACCCGTCTTCTACTTAAGGTCGAAGAAGGAAGACGAGGGGAGTGGTTCGAAGGGTATTGAAGACCACATTCAGATCCAACGCAGGCGGTCCGAACTTGGTCTTCAGGTCTTCAAGACTGAACGAGCGCAGCCAGGCCCGTAGGTCGGGAATTTTCGTCTTTCTCCGATCGTCCGGGATGGCCAGAACGGAGTAGATGGCGACCAGGTATGTGGGGGTGGTAAGCCCTTCAACCGATGGGTGCTACACAAGTACAGAAGGAACTGATCCAGGATCTGCGGTGACGCTGTCATCGGATCCTGGTGTTTGTCAGAACAAAATGCCTGGAACAAGCATCAGTTATCAGCATACAGTCCCCCTGTAGATGGACGGTGGGCTGAAGCAATAGCCTTGGTCGCTCTAGCCGAATAGCCCTTGGCTTTCTGCATGTGTGTCAGGCGTGCAGACGATAACATGCGGGTATGAGGGTGTGGCAACAGACCGTGTGGATGGAGCAGAAGGTTGGACCACACCGGAAGTTCCAGGGGTTGTCTCTGGCTATGTTTCGGAGGTCGATAACCCAACTTCTGGCTGACCAATAAGGCGAGACCAAAGTCAATGGCAGGGGTCGAGTGGCCTGGATCTCTGAAGAACCGTGGGAGGGAGAACCGGAGTCGGAAAAGCGTACGCGCGTAATCCTTCTCAGGAACGATGGAAGGCTTCGACTGCCACAGCGGTCGTATCCGGCACAGGTGGAATGGAAGACGACAGCTGGCCACATTCAGATATGAGGCAAACAGATCTAGGGTTGGGGTGTCGACCGTTTCACATAGTCTGGCCCGAGGCGCCGGAGAGCGTGAGGCGTCGGAGAGCTTGAGGCGCCTGGAACGCCGAAGATGGTGATTCTCGGGGGCGCCGGTCGAGTTTGTGGCGCCGGGAGAGGGGCGAGAACTCTGGGTCCGCAAACACCACACTACGGTGACGTCGTCAGTGGACACGATCAACAGGGCGTGACCGAGAATGCACTGTCAGCAAGTGCCGTCCTGGATAAGCATTTATCTCGAGGCTGTTGCTGTGCCAATGGTGTTGATCTCTGGATCACAGGTGGTCACAATGTGGGCTGGCGTGGGCCACTAGCCACTGACAAGGTGGCAGGGGAGGTAGTCAGCAACAGGGGTCTGCGATTGCGTACCGTCGGTACGATTCGGAAAAAAGGTGTGATCGCCTGCGAGCCAACCTCAAGTAGACGAAGTAAACCAGCTTCACAATCGACCGCCGGGGCATCGACGTAACCGGGTAGTAGGAAGTCGAGGCAATATGGCCATTGCACGAAGTAATGAGATCGTTTTCATCCCTGAAGCGGCGTATAAGTACTCCTGTTCTTATATCGAGGTGACGATGGAGGACGACAACACGATACGAGGCAGGTATGCAACAGGGGTCAGTGGGACGGCCGAGGGACTTTAAGTATCAAATCGACACTGTGTCCGGTAGTCAAGGCGGAAGATAGGACTACCTGTCGTAGTCGAAAAGATCAAACCGGACGAAGGAAGGCGATCTTTTCCATCCCTTGAACGCCTATAGGCACTATCGTTCTTATAGCGAAGGGTTGATGAAACAAGGTTCCTCGTGACAGCCGTGTTGGTAGAGGAGGTCTATTGTTTCCAACATCCGTGCATGGATGGACTGCGACAGGCGCCTGGTTGAGTGGTATCACCAAGCGTACAGGTAGACATGGAAACCAATCTGTAGAAATACATGGCACCCCTTGCCATGGTAAGTTGACCTAAATCCGGTCGGAGTTGTTGACAGTCCGAGTACTTGACACGTGACATGTAAATCACTCTGCGCAGTAGCCGAGAAAACCGCCTTGGAGTCGGAACTGAGGTGCAAACTCCACACACAGACAATCCTCAATGAACTGTGTGAGAGACGATCAAGTGGTGTACCCGAGTTTTGCGATAAAACACGGAACCCCATGGGCGTCGTGGAAAACCCGGGGAGCGCCGAGGAAGAGTCTCTCTCAGGAACGCTGGCGCTAGGGTAGGGTAGAACAGCGTTGATGTCTGCGATGTCGACGAAGTAAACTCTTTGTAAGTGGATGTCGTCGTCGAATCTGATACAGACGCTGTTCACATGACGCTCTGTTTCGATGGAAACCCGCAGGTTATCTCTCCGGAATCATAGCGCTTTAAACGACGGGATTATGGATAACGTCTCAGTGGGCAAGTTGAATCAGACCAACTGTCTATTGGTTGAAATGATTCCACCCAGGAAGTAGAACGATAGTCACGATCCCGAAGACCGACGGGAGAGTAGCGAAAGGAGCGGCGACAGTTGTTTCACCATGCTTCTCCGTGTGACGAGTTATGAGACGGCAGCAAGAGAAGAGGGCAGTGGCGCCGGGGAGGCGATTGCCGATGGTGCCCCTTAAGCCGCAGTAGAAGATCGGATGGTCGGCTCGTTGATCTGAGCTTGATAAAGCTTGTTGATCTGAAGCTTGTTGAGCGCCGAAGACATCAGAGGATGCGGAGGCGCCGGAGCGCGGAGACATCAGAGGCGCCGAGACATAAGCGGCGCCGAGTCATCAGAGGCGCCGAGTCATCGGAGGCGCCGAGTCATCAGCTTGTCATGAACAAGTCATGAAGCTTGTTGAGCGCCGAGACATCAGCGGCGCCGAGTCATCAGAGGCGCCGAGTCATCGGAAGCGCCGAGTCATCAGAGGCGCCGGGAGCGCCGGGAGCGCCGTGTCATCAGAGGCGCCGCGTCATCAGAGGCGGCGGGAGCGCCGAGACATCGGAGGCGCCGAGTCATCAGAGGCGCCGCGTCATCAGAGGCGCCGTGTCATCAGAGGCGCCGGGAGCGCCGAGACATCGGAGGCGCCGAGTCATCAGAGGCGCCGTGTCATCAGAGGCGCCGGGGGCGCCGGAGACATCAGCGTTGACGGTGTTGGAGACCGTGAACGGTCGTATGTCGTGCCAGGGGAGGCAGACTCTACGTTGGGAGCGCTGGAGCCGCCGGTGGAGTAGGAGACCGTGAACGGTCGTATGTCGTGCCATGGGAGGCAGACTCTACGTTGGGAGCGCTGGAGCCGCCGGTGGAGTAGGAGACCGTGAACGGTCGTATGTCGTGCCAGGGGAGGCAGACTCTACGTTGGGAGCGCTGGAGCCGCCGGTGGAGTAGGAGACCGTGAACGGTCGTATGTCGTGCCATGGGAGGCAGACTCTACGTTGGGAGCCGCCGTGAAGCTCTGCTGAGCGCTGCTGCCGTCAACGTAGGTGGGGGTCGACGAGCACGTTGAGTGAGGTGTGTCCTGGATACTCGCATGAGCTGAAGGATCACAGCGACGAATGACTGCAACATCGGCACTGCCTTGTGAAAGTACAGGGCGTCGTACAATCACGGCAGAAAGGGGCGGCCCCGACCAGATTTGTTCCCGCGGAAACAAGTGCAGCGAGGCAGAAAATCTGGAATTTAAGCAAAACATAACTATGTGGCAAAGCCACAAAGTGCGGGAAGCATAATGTGTGGCCAATCACAAAGTATGGGAAGCATAAAGTAACTCAAAAACAGTATATTTTATTAAAGTTTATGAGATAAACAAGTACGCTAAAAGGGAGCGAAAAGGCAAAGCCTTAAGCAAACACGTAACCATGTGGCAAAACCACAGAGTACGGGAGACATAATGTAACTCATAAACTTCGTATTATATTGAAGTTTATGAGAAGAAACAATTACGCTGAGAGGTAGCGAAAAGGCAAGGCTTTAAGCACACCAAAACAACATACATAAATGTAATGTATTACCCAAGCCAAAGAGAGAATTCAAAACGCAGAACACGACATTACGTGGCCACGTGGTGAATGGCCAAAATGGCGGGAAAGAAAACAAAATGGCGGGAACAACATTGCGCCCGTAAATTACTGTGACGTGAGCCACAGACGAGCGATAAACGTTACAATTTACGAATGGGAAGACCCTAAGGTCACGGCCCATAACAGGTAACAATGTAGCAGCATATAATGAATGTAGAAACACGCAAAATATAAAAAACAAATAATAAGCTTTAATTTCCACAAGGGATACAAAGTACGTCCGTCCGTGGAGGTGACAAAGCAGTTATGTCTTTTGGTGTGACGTCATGACTTCCGGGTCACGTGCCGACTGTGAGAGGGCGCTGCCTCCTGGGCTGGTTGGGACAACTTTCTTCAGCAGCTGGATCTCACACAGTTCGTCTCTCTGTCAAACATAGCAGTAAATGCAATACGGAGTAATGCAGGATAAGTTAAAAAATTTCCACTGTATACATAATTGGTTGATTAATCCAGGCTTGTGTTTATCGTATTTATCTTTCTTTCTTTCTTTGTTGTTTAACGCCGCACTCAGCAATATTCCAGCTATATGATGGCGGTCTGGACAAGACAATCCAGTGATTGACATCATGCGCATCGATCCACACAATTGGGACCGATGACATGCATCAACCAAGTCAGCGAGCCTGACCACCCGATCCTGTTAGTTGTCTCCTACGACACGCATAATCGCCTTTTGCGGCAAGCATGGTGTGCTGAAGACCCCAGATCTTCACGGGTCTAGATTGAGCATTTTGCTTTGTGATAGGCGGTAATACAAACTGAGTTGATATCAAGCAAGTTATTGCAAAACTTTGTAAACAATACCTTTTGAAAATCGATACATAATTAAAACATGGGTTGGCATATTGTGCATTGTAGGATCGGGTGTAAATATGTGAATCATGACACCGTTGATGAGCAGCAATGATTACCTTCCAGACAGTAGTACCCAGCTGGGCAGGTGTAACACAGGGCCAGGCCGGTGATATTGCTGTATGAACCGGGGCCACACGGGATGGGGTGGGACGTTCCCTGGGGGCAGTAGTGACCCACGGGGCAGACACCGCCCACTCCAGTCTCAAGACCTGGGGAAACAAACACAAAGCATCAAGTGTTGGTCCATACAAACAAAATATCACAGCATTAATGCCATGTGCAGTGAATTTCAGCAATTAGTTTTACAGAGTATGGTGTGGAGGAACTATGTTTATAAAATACTATTGAGGATCAACTTCAAAGTTATATAAAGAGTGTGAGTTTGGTTTATCGCAGCTGTGAACAATATTTCATTCATATTATGGCATGTCAGCCTGAAGTGGTGGTGAAGTCAGAAGTTAATTAGATGTTGACCACTTTGGTGAGTGGTAAGTTGGGTTTAACGCCGCCTTATATTCCAGTTAAATCGCAGTGTGTTAGCTTAACATGGGAGGAAAGCCTGAAGTGATGCAGTTCTCAGACCTTTACCACTTCAGTGAAACCCAGGAGCATGGATATGGTGCTGACAAACCTAGAAACATAATCAGTGTGAACCGGGATTTAACCCACAATCTTAAGTTTCTGGCGTGCCCATGGGGCACAAGTCTGCACAGCCAATGGTGGCGCCATAGAAGACTGGGCCACCCGCGCTCCCCCCACTTCGGTAAAACCCACAAGCAAGGGTTTGGTGCCAACAAACCTTGACACATAAACAGGGCTGACTAGGATTCAAACCCATTATCAAAGTATGCCAAAAGAATGTAACTCTGCACAGTGAATGGCAGTGCCTTTGATGACTAGTGCACACATGGCAAGACGCAGACATATACAATGTAGATGGAATCTGGACAGCATCTGATCCATGGAGGACTAAACATATCACAAACCTGCATCAGCACACGATCCAATAACAACTGCCGAGTTGTTTCCACTTGGTCTGGCACGGTCAAGGCCATATTCACAGAAGTATCCCTCATCACACTGGGCGGCAGGAGCAATGGCTGCATGTTGGTTACAGTAATAACCACCAGTACACTGCTCACACTGGCTCTCATTGGCCAGGCCGGTCGTGTTGCTGAATGTTCCATGTGGACATGGCTGCCAGTTGATTCCTGTCCCTTCAGGGCAATAGTAGCCTTCAGGGCATTCCTGGACCAGGTCACCCTTGATACAGTACCTGGAGGAGCATTACAAGGAAACATTATCTCTGAGGAGTCTAATGAGGTGTGAGGTCAAATGGGGTTTAACGTTGCGTCCAAGATTTTTGCACTTATATAGCGACGTGCATGTACGTGTGTGTGTTTGTGTGGCTGCTTGTACTAGTCCGGACTGATGCCGATTTATAGTGCTAGCTTACTGAGATACCATGCCGCAGTTAAACATGAATACCCCACCCAGACACAGTATACTGACTCCGAGCCGACCAGTCCTTGTTTTAGCCCCTTAATGCCGAATGCCAGACAGGGTAACAACAAGTACCATCTTTAAACGTCTTTTGGTATGACGCGGTCGGGGATCGAACCCCGGACCTTCCGCTCTCCGGGCAGATGCTCTACCACTAGAACACGGAGGCGGTCGAGGAGTCTAATGAACTTTGCTGATGAACACCTTGGTGCAGTAAGGTGTGGAAAAGTGGGCTACACTAAAGTCATGTGTTCATTGTAATCTAAAAGAAAGAAAATGATTTCAGTAAGAGAGTAGTTGAGGTTTGGTATATTCCAGCCATGTCATGACAGGGGACACCAAGAACACACATTCTATCCATGATGTGTGGAACTGATGCCAGACCTTCAATATGCTGGACTGGTGTTAAAAGGAGTAAGGACTAGGAGTGTTAAAAGGAGTAAGGACTAGGAGTGTTAAAAGGAGTAAGGACTAGGAGTGTTAAAAGGAGTAAGGACTAGGAGTCACGTTATGCTCCTTGAGCTATATCACAATCAGTGGCTTACTCTCCTCACAACACAGAAATAAAAACAAGTTGAAGTGAGTATTCTTACCATCCGTCTGGGCAAATGTAGCACTCAGAGGCCATTGTGTGGTTCATGTAGGTTCCGTTGGCACACGGCACAGGCTGTGAGGAGTTGAGTGGGCAGTAGTGTCCGACAGTGCACACATAGTCGGAGGGTCTGGAAGCATTCTGACCAGGTGGGCAGTAGAACCCTGGCTCACACGCTCCGGATGTCACGTTAAGGCCGGCCAGGTCACAGAACTCACCTTCTGTACAGGGAGTACAGCCATCGGTGCTGTTGATACCAGTGTAGGGGTTGAACGTACCCTGGAAAGAATTGAGACATTTCAGAAAAAAATGTCATTACCAATACCTGCAGCTGACAAAGGCTTTGCAATTTAATTGAAATTTCTGTAATCATTTGCACATGTACTGAGTGAGTATGGTTTTATGCCGCTTGTAGCAATATTCCAGTAATATCACGGCGGGGGACACCAGAAATGGGCTTTGTCTGTGACGACCAGACACTATAACCACGAGGCTACTTGACTGCCCTTTTTGTACATGTAATTTTTCTGTTTTTCAGATTGGATCAATCAATCATTTCCAGGTGAGAATCATTAGAATAAAAAATTGTCAAATGTGAAGATCCCTTGGCTTTGAAACAGACAGAACATCACACTACCTCTGGACATAGTTCGGGCACTCCAGTTCCTTCAGGGCAGAACCTCCCTTCTGGACAGATCTCACTTGTCCTTGAACTTGACCCCACAACACAGAAGTACCCAGCAGAACATGGTCCTGGAGGAGAAGCAGACATGGTACAAGTGAATATACAAAATCACGGTAGATCTTGAGAAGAAATTTGACATTTTGTTTCTGAACCAAGATGAAAGAACATGGATCAGTCAAGAGAATAATGTTGACTGAGACTGGAATTAGCAACATCAAATTTGGAGGACTTTTAATGGACAAAAATTGGTAAAAAAAATCCATTATTTTGTTCCTAATTGGACTCCAATTTTCTTAAATTCAGAGGCATTTTAACATTGTATATTAAGATCGCAGTCAACTGTGAAACTAAGAACAAAGAGCCTCTTCCTCTTTACTTGTCCTGTCATCAGTTGAACAAAAGGTACCTCTTCAAAGCCATATCATCATAATGTGTTATATATATTAACATCAATTGTGAAATTTGTAATTCCAATTTGGTAATTTCTAATGACATTGGCTGCAGACTTGGGAATAAATATCAACCAATGAGCAGTTACAGAAAAAATCCATGAAAACTGAGTGATTTCTTATTAAAATCATATCACAGAGTGTCAGCTTCACTGCGAAACAAGCCAGAAGTGGTGCTCTAGATATTGACCACTTTTTGGTGAAAACCTCAAGCATGGGTAATGACATCCTTTAAGACATAATCAGGGAAAACAGGATTCAGTGTATTAAAGACAAGTATCGTGCACAGTTACCTTCTGTATCGGTGAGTCCTGGAGTCTCACAGTACCGCCCTGAGAGGCACTGAGTACAGTTGGGTTCACTTTCCAGACCGTCTGTTGCACCAAATGTTCCTGGTGGGCAGGGCACGGGGTCCGCTGTACCTTCAGGGCAGTAGGAGCCTGGGGAGACAACAACAGAAGACATAAGCAATATGACACTGATGAGTGAGTGAGTGTTTGGTTTCTGTTTAATGCCATACTCAGCAATATTCTTGCAATATTCTAGCAATAAGATGGAGGTCTGTATATAAATAAGTCTGAGACAGACAATCCAGTGATTGACATAACAAACATTGATCTTTGCAAATGGGATGTAATGACATGCACCAACGAAGTCTGCGAGTCTGACCACCCGATAACGTTAGTCACCTCTTTCGACAAGCTAGGCCAATTCTAACCTGGATCTTAATAAAAAGAAGAAGCTAAAAACAAACTCAAAAGAAACTCAGTCAGAATGTCCATAACTGTATTTCTAGTTACACCGAGTCTGGACCAGACAAACCAGTAATTACTCCTCCAGACTGAAAATGACTCACAGTGTCTAGATTGTCCGAGTTTTCATCATTCTCAGCAGTCATTCCAAGTCAAGCATTTTAAAAGGGATCCATCTGCTGCCTCAGGATGACCACTGCTTAACCACAATGAGCATGACTGACAAAAACACTATCTTCTAGCCGACTATTGTTTGTTTGTTTTGTTTGTTAATTAATGCCGCACTAAGCAATATTCCAGCTATATGATGGCGGTCTGTAAATAATCGAGTCTGGACCAGACAATCCATTGAATGACATTATGAGCATTGATACATGCAATTGGGATACGATGACATGCATCAACCAAGTCAGCAAGTCTGACCACCCTATTCCGTTAGTCACCTCTTACGACAAGCATAGTCGATTTTTACTGCATGTTACTGAAGACCTATTCTACCCCGGATCTTCATGTGTCTATCTGACTATTGAGGCAGTGAGGTTACCTTGTGGGCAGACGTCAGCATCTCCGGTCTGGTTTGGTGTGAGGTACATGGCAAACCGCTTACAGTAGAAGCCAGCAGCACAGAGAGCCGTGGGCTGTGACTGTCCTACGATGCCACAATAGTAGCCTCCAGAGCATGGTGTGCACTCGTTACTTGACTTGAGGCCTGTCAGGTTGATGAAGGTGCCGAGGGGGCAGGGGTACTGGTCGCTGCGCTGGGTACCTGGAGAAACACATCAACAGTCAGCGAGTTGGGGATATTGATTGTTGGAGTGAGTGTCGTTCAATGCATCTTTGAACAGTATTGCAGTTATATCAAGACATATTAGCTTGATGTGAGAGGAAAGTCTAAAGTAATGCAGGCCTTTGCCGTTTACCACATTGTTGCGTATTGTGCTGACAAACCTACACATAGAAATAATCTGGAATCGCACCAATGATCATATGTTTCTGGTATGCCTAAAGGATGCAACTCTAGACTTGTGGCATCTTATTTGAAGTCAGATTCAGCGTACTTCTCAGGCTAAGATACAAGGAAAAACATCTCAAAACAATAAGTGTCCTTCAAACACTACTATAGACAAGTATGGCCCCTAACTTTAGATACAGTAGGTCCTTTTCCATTTTTGCTGGCAAAGGGTCAAAGACACAAAGATTTGAATTACATCAAAAGGAAATTCATGTGCAGGACAAACTAATGTTTTGTAAAGCTATTGGTTGTCAAATTCTTCTATCTTAGATCTCCTTTACAAAGAACAGCAAAACTTTGTGAGGCAAGGTAGCCTTGTGGTTAATGTGTTCGCTTTACATGCAAAAGGCCTGGGTTGATCACAAAATGGGTACAGTATGTAAAGTCCATTTTCTGTTCTCCTTTGGGCATTTGCTTTTCAGTTGGAAGGATATATTACCAAGTAACTTTTGATTTCACCCACAAGGGGCGGTCAGGTAGCCTAGTGGTTAAAGCGTTCGCTCGCCACGCCGAAGACCCGGGTTCGATTCCCGACATGGGTACAATGTGTGAAGCCCATTTCTGGTGTCCCCCGCCATGATATTGCTGGAATATTGCTAAAAGCGGCGTAAAACCATACTCACTCACTCACTCACTGATTTCACCCACAAAATATTATGAAATCCATCAAATGCTTGCAGTAAATCTCAAATGTTGGTGAAAATAGGTTCTCGAAGTCCAATTTATTATTCCTTCAAACATTTCATTTCTCAGTCTGCCAACACATCATGAAACTCACCTGCTGGGCAGTAGTACCCTTCAGGACATTTGATGGTGTCGTTGACGTACACGACACCGTAGCTGTTGTCACAGTAGTACCCCTCAGGGCACTCGTCACAGGTGGACTGGCCTGTATTCTCCTGATAGAAGCCGCTGGGGCAGATGGTAGGGGAAGCACTGTGTTCAGGGCAGTAATGGCCGACTGTGCAGAGGTAGGGATCAGGAGTTCTCTCCCCTTGGGGACAGTAGTATCCAGCACTGCAGTTTCCTGGTACAGTGAGATTTAGATTTTTGGCGTTTAAATGACTAATATGCAACAAAAGAATGAATCAATGTTGTTTTACGTTGCATTCAAACATATTCTGGCCTGTGATCAGTCATGGGCTTTACAATCCAGTGACTGACAGCATGAGTCAACATCCAATCATCAACCAGATCACATTCTAGTTAACTTTTGTTACAATTCTGATTGGAAAGTAAAAATCAGCAAAGCCAAAAGTGACAAAGTGTTGCCTAGGGAAACAACGCCAGCAACTGACCTGATGTGAGAGTCAGATTGTAGTCTCCACAGTATTCCCCGAATGAGCAGGTGACACAGTCCGCAGGGTCGGTGTTGTGGGTGCTGCCGCTGTAGGTGCCGGGGCTGCATGGAGAGGGCGCTGCTGATCCCGACACGCAGTAGTAGCCTGCAGGACACAGGTCTCCAGTTGTGCCGTCAGTGGGCGTGGCGAGTGTTGCCTTCAGGATACAGTAGAAGCCAGCAGTGCAGTTGTCTGTTGGAGCAGCCAGACCAGCCATGTGACAGTACGTGCCCCCGGGGCAGGGCTGAGGGTCCGAGGAGCCTGAAGGATAGGAAGAAGTCATTTAATGTTGATCATAGATTTGCAGCAGTTTCCTTCCTGTTACATTTTGGAGGCCAGACCACTTCCTACCATAAGCCTTCCTACTAACGTTGTCAAGAGTAAAACAATATATAAAAAAATGCATTAATACTGTTTGAAGAAATGCATACTGAATTTGAACATAATTTCAGTTTAACTATTCATAATATTAACACTGACCCAGACAACTGCTTTCTGCATCATGGCATGTTGGTCATTCAGAGAAACACCCCAAGTAGCAGTTTTCCTACATTTAACTTTCTAATATTTCCCTTCATTTTAAAGAGTCTTCTCAAAATATATATATAAATATTCTCACTATTACATTTTTCTTTCGACCCATATGGTTTTCATACCAAAACCTGTTGACCAAATGCTCAATCACATCATCAGAGTCCTTTAATAGCACTTTTGAACAAAGTGATCTTAATGATACACTAAGTCTTCATTAACATATATAAAATAGCTATGCGATAAATCACGAAGTACAATAAAGAACAAAGCGTGGTTTATTTCACGATAAAACATTGTTTCATCATGACATCATTTCTGGAGATTCGAACATGCGCTCGCAACTTGATGATGTCGTAAATTCAACGACATTAATTTTGAGAGGGGAGTGTCTAGTGAGTTGTTCCCTGTAGATGTAGCTGGGCTACACAGATAAACATAGTGGTTGAACGATCGCATCCAAAAGTGGGAGAGATATGACAATTGGTATTTGAAGAAAAGGTACAGATAATTGACACGAGGATTGTGAGAATATGGGGGAAATACCAAACTTAACCCACCTCTTCGTAAAATGGACTTGTCCGACATTTCCGAGGACAAATTCTATTCAGGGAGTCATCATTATTAAAATTTTGGTAAATATTTTAACGCTTGTACATTTTTATCAACATCCTTCAAGAGGCTGTACATAATGTTGACATCTCATATAAGAAATATATGACGAGTGGGAGGTGTTTATCGCACAATAAACCACTAATAGCAATTAATGATCGTCTTAGAGCTAAGAGCAAGGCCCATTACTCGCTGTCTCACCTTCAGGGCAGTAGTACCCTGCCTGACACTGTCCTCCACTGGTGGTGGTGTTGGGGGAGTCGGAACCCCCCGAACAATACCATCCCTCACTGCAGTTGCCCGTGGGTGCAGTGTTGCCTTCACCCTGGCAGTACTTGCCCCCGGGGCAATCCAGGCAGTCCGTAGGTTCTGTGGCTTTATCCACAGGGTTGTATGTGCCAGCAGGGCACTTGTACTGGGTGTCAAATTCAGTGCCATTCACACAATAGTGGCCTGAAATGAAAAAAACAACAGTATTTGATATTTTCTGAACAGTAAAATTAGTTCACTGCTGCTCTTTACAACATTCAAGCCACATATCCTGACAGCAACATCAATATTTTCATACATTGTACCTAATTGGGGAATCGAACCCGGATTTTTAGCATGTTCAGCTAACACTTCAACCACAAGGCTATCCACAGGCCTTATTCACAGGTAGCACACACAGCAGAAATAAACTAACCAAATGGAGAGTTCATGTGAGGGAGTCCATGGGTGAAACACAATACGAAGTTTAACCATTTCTGTATGCACAAAAGAATATTATCCTACCCTAAAGGGTGAACATTTAGAAGCTTGTATTTCAAAGTTACATGTACTGTTTAACTTTAGTATATCCGCTTACATGAAATTCGGACACTCATAGCTCTTTCACTGTTGCCATATTAAATTTACATGTTGTTAATGAATGTTCATGTGTCATGAGTGAGTGAGAGAGTTAGGTTTAATGCTGCTATGAACAGTATTTCAGTTATGTCACGGTGAGTCAGCTTGATGTGGGAGGAGTGAGTGAGTGAGTTGGGTTTAATGCCGCTTTTAACAGTATTCCAGTTATATCACGGCGTTTCAGCTTAATGTGGGAGGAAAGCCCGAAGTGATGCAGGTCTCAGACGTTTACCACTTCGGTGAAACCCACGAGCACGGGTATGGTGCTGACAAACCTAGAAACATAATCGGGTCGAACCGGGATTCGAACCCACAATCATAGGTTTCTGGCGTGCCCAAGGGACGCAACTCTGCACAGCGAATTGCGGCACCTTAGACGACTGGGCCACCCGTGCCCCTCTTGTGGGAGGAAAGATGGAAGTGATGCAGATCTCAGATGTTTACAACTTTGGTGAAATCCACAAGCACAGGTATGATGCTGACAAAACTGGAAACATCATAGGGGCAATCAGGGATTCGCACCCACAATCATAGGATTTTGGCATGCCCAAGGGACTGAACTCTGCACAATTAATTGCAGTGCATTTGGCGAATGGGACAATGGGACACGGTTAACGACTTTCAATGGAACATAATAAGTGTAGGGTTATCAGCACTGACCCATTGGACAGGGAGAACTGAGGAACTCTGATGAGTTGGCGAGACAGTAGTATCCCTGGGGACACACACTGCAAGCTTCCATGCCAATCCTGTCTGCGTAGCTTCCTGCTGCACATGGCAGGGCCTTCTCGCTCATCTCGGGACAATAGTGCCCAAGCGGACACACACCACCGATGCCCTTGTGGAAGGCCTGTTCTGGGCAAGTGCAGTTGACTGCAGTGCTGTCATTACTGGCTCCAGGCATGGGACGGTCAACTCCAGATGTGCAAAAATATCCTGTAGAAACAAGAAGACTTGTTATGTTCATATTCATAAATATCTTCTCATCTCAGTCTGTGCTTAAGTTGTTACCTTTGCACCTTTAGTGGTATATTCATACAGGTGTTAAAGGGAGGCTAGGCTCAAGACATTCACATTCCGAGCAAGTTTGATTTAAATTGTTCGAACATTACTTTGTTTTTCAGGCAACAAAAGTTAAGCTGTAGATCAACCTAACAGTTAATGATTACACTAATACCATAGAGACGATGTTTCAGTTTTTGTTCTACATTACTACAGAGAGAGACTGTACCTGCAACACAGTTTCCAGTGGGTGTGGTGAGGTGCTCCCCAATGCAGTACTGCCCTCCCAGGCAAGGCGTACACTGTGACAAGGCATACAGCCCCTCCTGGTCACCGTACGTCCCGCTGGGGCATGACATCCAGTCCGGACCAGTACCTGCACACAGGAAGTCATCATTAACACCTCTTACAACTTCAAAATAAAAAAAACCCTTTAATCAACACTGTTTCACCTTAATTATAATAAAAAAAATTAACATATATAGGGCAAGAAAATATTTTATTTTGTCTCCTGGAAGAGCTTTTGCAAAATGAAAAACAGACTGTTCCAAGTTCAAAGTATTTGTTTGTTTATATCAACCCAACTAATCAGAAGTTTCGATACTTTGTTAAAAAACTTTTTTCAAGGAAAATACAATGTGTACCCTTATAACATACACACAACAATTCACACTTTATAACTAATTTCAAGTCTTATTAATATTCTGAATTGTGAGCCTTAAAATTGGTAATTTGTAATTTTAGTCAAATTAAGACTTAACTAAAAGCAGATATAATCTACCTTCTGGACAATAGTATCCTGCAGGGCAAGGCTGGGCATTGAGGGTTGCGTTCTCTGGTTGTACAGGGAGGCAGTAGAAGCCCTGGGGGCAGGGGGAACACGCTGATGCTCCCGTGTGGTTGGTATATGTGCCGGGGGAACACTCCTGGAATGCAATATGGTGGGCATGAAATATTTTATCAACACCCGCTAACAAATCATTGTCATCACCATTTTGACAGAAACTTTATCTCATTTTGTCATAGTTGAACCTTCCTCTTTTCACAGGTTCAAACTAAGCAGACCTTGAGACTACCTGATCCCCATGTCAGTCATCCCTTAATATCACAAAAAAATACTGAGACCTACATAAGCTGCCCAAGACTTTCCATTGGGTAAAAAGTTGTAACTCATTTGTCAATCATTCAATATCTTCTCATTCCCAATAACTTGATACTTGATAACATCTTAGAATTTCACACTTTCCTGACTGGCATAAGTGTCTGGTCTCAGGCCACCTTTAACATCACCTTATCAACATTAGCCAGACTATTGGTTTCAGTATCGAATCATACATAGAATACTTGCAACTAATTCTTTGTTGTTTAAAATGAATATTTCTGATACCACGCTTTGTTCTTTTTGCAAATGTTATGATGAAACTATTGTACACATTTTTTGGGAATGTGAACTTGTACAAGTATTTTGGAAAACCTTCTTAGATTGGATAAATAAATGTAGCCATATACATCATATGAAATTAAGTGCTGAACTTGTTTCATTTGGTGTTAAAGAAAATATTGTTACTGACAAAGTTTTTGATTTTCTTATTTTAATAGCTAAATCTTTTATATATTTTTGCAGATTAAAAAAAAACAATTCTTTGCTTCGCAATATTTCAAAAAGATGTTAGTCTGAGATACAAAATTGAGAAGAATATAGCCTTTACAAATGGTAATGTAGCTACATTTTATAAATCATGAATCTTTTATCACATATTGTTTGAAGAAGCAGAACAGCAATAACATATGTATCTCTTTCTCATATTTGTTTCTTGCCAGGATCAGTGTTTGAATAATATTTTGAATGATTGACTGTGTGTATGTTTTGTTATATTTCTTAAAAATCACCTTGGCACCATTTCCAATACTTGTATTTAATTTCCCCAAATGTATACATACATTGTCTTCAGAATGTGAGGGTGACCATTGCCCTGGATGGCCATCCTCCTCATGTAACGGCCGGGAAAAGGTGAAATAAAATGTTTAAAACAAAAAAACATTAGCGAGACTGTGCTAATAATGGGATGATCAGTATGTGTCCATGTGATAGTAATGAAACAGTTCTGGGAATATCTCTTAACAAATGTTACATCCTTTCAGAAGTGAGTAATGTTGGCTGAATATGACACCCTACATGTGACGGTGTGTCAGGTTCATGGGAGCTGCGTACCTTGTATATCTCACTTCCATTAGGACAGTGCAGACCTCGGGGGCACAGGTTGTCCACAGGGTTGGGTACAGACATGTTGTTAGGACAGTAGTAGCCGCCCCAACACGTTGCTGTGGCTTCTGTCATACCTGAACGAAACAAGATACAACAGAATATGAAGTATGGGTGGGTAGTAGATGTCAGCTTTCTAAAATAATCCAGCTTTACTTCTGTATGATTCAAACACAACAATCTGAAAACCAACACAAAACACAAATGTTTCTTCGATGGTCCTCTTTTTTTGGTGGAAATATCCAGTTGAATTATTTGCATTTGGAACTGGTCTTCATTTTCAAGAGACAGAAATCATTAATGCTGGTCTGGATGCTTCACTCACTCATGCTTCACTTCTCCAGTAGTGACAATTTAGAAGTACTGATGATGATTGGCCAATTAAAAAATATACTGCGTACAACTGGCAATCTTCATGCATAGTGTTGATGGGGCTGAATACAAATTCTTATTCAAGCAAAATGCCAACACTATCTGACCACAACACACAAAAACTGTAAAAGCAACATATATCTGAAAAGCTTTCCATTCAAGTTACTATCTGCATCAAACAAGAGATGACCCAGAAACCAGAAATAAGAAAATAAGCACAAGGCCCTAAACATCAGACTGATTAGTTATGTCAGTTAGGAAATGAATGTTTTAACAACACAGATACACCATTGTACAAGGAGGTAGTTTACCTGGGTCAGGGCAGTAGTAGCCTCCTAGGCAGAGGGTGCACTCAACAGAGCTGGTCAGACCGGTGGCATTGGAGAATGTGCCTGGTGGACACTGTCTGGGCAGGTCAGTTCCCTCGGGGCAGTACGAGCCTTCTGGACACAGCATGAACTTGGCGGAGTCCGCTCGTGTTGGGCAGTAATAGCCTGTGAATGGAGGACATCATACATGAAGGACTATCGAGATATCAACAGGAGTGAGTTAGTTGGGTTTGATGCCACTTTTAGAAATATTCCAGCAATATCATTGGAGGGATGCCAGAAATGGGCCCGACATATTGTAAATATGGGGAATATGGAGAACAGAGAGGTCCTGCCTTACCTGGAGAACAGAGAGGTCCTGCCTTACCTGGAGAACAGAGAGGTCCTGCAGCAGTCATGTTGTAGTCAGGGCAGAAGGAGCCTCCGGTACAGTTGGTGCACTCGGCTTCACTCTGCCTGCCTGTGGTGGGGTTGAAGGTGCCCGGGGGGCAGGACTGGGCTACAACACTACCCTGTGGGCAGTAGAACCCTGTCGGGCAGATGTCAGCCTTGTCTCCCATGACTGGCGTGGAGCTGTTGGATCCTGATGTACAGAAGTACCCTGCATCACATGGTCCAACTGGCTCAGCCAGACCTTCTGCGCTACAGTGCATTCCTCCAGTACATGGCAAACAGTCGGCCACTTCTGTCTTCTCTGTGACGTTGTTGTATGTCCCGAATGGGCAAGGGAACTCATTCGCCCGTGTTGTGTTGACGGGACAGTAGTAGCCTTGGGGACAGGAGGACGAGTTGAAGAGGACCACAGGTTCCTTTACACTGTCGCAGTAGAACCCCACTGGGCAGGACTTACAGAACTCTTGGCCAAGTTCATCTTGGTATGTTCCAGAAGGACATCTGAGCTCGGCAGGACTTCCTTCAGGGCAGTAGTGTCCCATGCTGCAGTTGTAGCCAGGGGGTGTGGGCGAGTCTTGACCACCCGGACAGTGGTAGCCAGCACTACAGAGTCCATCGGGGACAACATTGCCACCCCCAGCGCAGTACTGTCCTGGCAGACACTGGATACAGTCCAACTCTGCATCATTCCCGGTACTGTTGAGGAAGAAGCCAGCTTGACAGAGACTTGGGGAGGGGCTGCCTTCAGGGCAGTAGGCGCCTTGTGGGCAGATATCACCTGCACAGACAGTAAAACATGTTATAGCATATTGTACTGTTCATACATCTCTGCATCATCTACATAAGTTATAGAATTACAATTTATTGCATAACTTTACAGATATACATTAGCATTTCATGACAATAGGTACATAAAGCTTAAACTGTAACTAATAATCATATTGTACAACAGCAAACCAGTACGAGCAAGTTTCTCTCTTCATATGAATGAATAATGATAATGATGTCTTTATTTACAAAGAACTGCTTCATAAAATTGCAACTAAAGTCAGAAATGATAGCACAAAAGTAGAAGACAATGTTCATTAAGAAAATAGGTGTCACAATAGCCATACTGGTTCAGAGTTAACATTGTCATAATTCTCGATGTGGATTCAGCTGTGCTCACATCTTTAGAGGATAAATTATAGTAAATAATGTAAGCATTAGCATCATGTTGTTGAGATTGCAAAACAGTGAAGGTTGTGGTTAACCAAAGTGAGTGTGGTTTTACGCCACATTTAGCAATATTCAAGCAATATCACGGTAGTGGACACCAGAAAAGGGCCTCAAACATTGTGCCAATGTGGGCAATCGAACCCAGGCCTTTGGCATGATGAGCAAACACTTAAACCACGAGGCTAACCCACTGCCCTGTTGATTGATTGATTGATTGATTTAGTAAAAATTAATTATTTCATGTATATGACATGAAGATTATTGCCATAGATCAAAGTGTACCAAACAGTATTTCAGAACAAAATGAATTCAGGTCCCTTACCTGTGGTTCCATCGTTGGGATTACCAACTGTGGCGAGAGCTGTGCAGTAGTACCCAGGGTCACAGAGCCCTGACGTGTTGCTCAGCCTCTCCGTGGCACAGTAGTGGCCCGGGGTGCAGGGGGTGGGGTTGGTGGAACCCTGTGGGCAGAAGTAGCCTGCAACACACTGGTCACCACCCACACCAGAGGGCGCTGCTGTCTTCGAGCCGTTGATGCAGTAGTATCCAGAATCACATGGTCCTGATGGTGTGGAGAGGCCAGTCTGTGCACAATACTGGCCACCTGAAATGTTAGGCCTTATTAATACATGGTTTAGGGGTTCATTGACTACAAGTTTACAAATATAGAATAATTTTTTTTCATCACCAAAACTGTTGAACATGAAAGTATCATTTTGACCTTCAAGAGAAATGTCAAACAGCATGTTAAATTCACACTTTGGCCAGAATAAATTCCTTATTAGACTTTTATTCAAATTTCTAAAATCTAAGGAGGTAGGATTTTATTTTTTTTAAACAAATAGTTCATGGCATCCTTGTACATTAACATCAACTGTTGATGGATGTGATTCTTCTAACACATGTACATATGTTTGGAAGGAGCAGATATATGGTGTATTTTACAAAAAAAGAAATGGAGGGAACACCACATCATTTTTTTGTTTTGTTTGTTGTTAAACACCACATTCAGCAATATTCCAGTCATATGACGATGAGATGTAAAATAATCAAAGCTGGACCAGACAATCCAGTGACTGACATCACAAGCCTTGATCTATGCAATTGGGACAATAATATGCATCAACCAAGTCAGATTGTTTGCTTCTGGCATTAGTTTTTTAGGATATCTGCGTTTGATCGCTATGATCAAACTGTTCTACACTTCCAGCAGGGATATCTCCTTGTGATATATTGTACAGTCCTGCATGTGTTTGATTAGCATTATAAGTGTTTCAGGAGAAAATGTTTGCTTAATCATAATTTCCCCTAGCTACACACTTGAATGCAGTGATGTGTGGTAGTTTTTAGGAATAGTTCAACAAATAATACCCATGGTTATTTACACAGTATAACTGGATCTTACCTGGGCAGGTGAGACAGTCAGCTTTCTTTGTTCTGCTTGTGTCGTTGTTGAAAGTCCCAGCATCACAAGGGAACTCATTCCAGCGTTGTGTGTTGTTGGGGCAGTAGTGTCCACTTTCACATGGGTAATCGGTGTAGTTGGCCGTCCCAGCAGGGCAGTAGTAGCCTACACACCACAGGACACATTGTACAGGCATAGAGCTTACAGCCACAACCACAATCACCAAGACAAATGAAAACTGGTAGCAGACCATTGAACACTGGTAACATGTCATTGAACAGATCACAGCACACAGGTATCAGATATTTTGACATTTGTTTAAGATCACTGATCATTGGTGCCAGAAACTTGGACATTGTTTGTTTCTTGTTTAACCCCACACTCAGCAATATTACAGCTTTTTGAAGGCGTTCTGTAAATAAGCGAGTCTGGACAAGACAATCCAGTGACTGACATCATGAGCATCGATCCAAACAACTGGGATACAATGACCGTTATTCGCCTCTTATGACCAGCATAGTCGCCTTTTACGGCAAGCATGGACTGCTGAAGACCTATTCTACCCTGTATCTTCAAGGGTCGAACCTTGGACAGTGGCACCAGCACCAGACCATGGACAACTGGCTTCAGAGAATTGATCACTGGTGCCAGATCATTTACCAGATCAATGAACACTGGTAGCAGAGCATTGGTCACTGGTATCAGGCCATTGGGAACTGGCACCAGATCAATGAACACTGGCATATCATTGAACACTGGTAGCAGAGCATTGGTCACTGGTATCAGGCCATTGGGAACTGGCACCAGATCAATGAACACTGGCCCATCATTGAACACTGGTAGCAGAGCATTGGTCACTGGTATCAGGCCATTGGGAACTGGCACCAGATCAATGAACACTGGTAGCAGATCATTGGTCACTGGTATCAGGCCATTGGGAACTGGCACCAGATCAATGAACACTGGCATATCATTGAACACTGGTAGCAGATCATTGACAATTGTATCAGGACCTTGGACATTTGCACCAGGTAGGACACCTAGTAGACTTCATCTTTAAATCTTCCACAACACTGCAAACTGTATTTTCTTACCTTCTGGACAGGAGATGCACTTGTCGAGCCCCTCCACATCAGCGTATGTTCCGTTCTCGCAGGGTATCGGGAAAACGCTGCTCACCCCTCCTGGGCAGTAACTTCCCACAGGACAGAGACCACCGGACCCTACCTGGCGGTCATCGTAACACGTGTTGTTGAGAGGATCTGTCTTATTGACACCATTTGGATATTCACGATCGATGCCTGACACACACCAGTGTCCCTGGGCACAGTCCCCAGTGGGGGCATCTAGATGTTCCCCACCACAGTACTTCCCCCCTGGGCAGGGCTTACACTGGACCTCTGCATACAAGCCTTCCACATCACTGTATGTTCCTCGGGGGCAGGACAGCCAATCAAGGCCTGTTCCTGATGGGCAGTAGTATCCGATTGGACAGATGGCATTTTGTCCTTCACCTTTACAGTAGTAGCCTGCCGGGCAATCGTAGCATGTCACAGCATGGGTGTGGTTTACCTGCAACAAACATATTTAGAATTACATGATGCAGTCTAACAAAATGGTCCTGATCAGGCATGAAACCTGTTTGAAAAAAGTTTTCCAATTTTGATTAGAGTGAGTGAGTTTAATGCCGGTTTTAACGTTATTCCAGTTATATCACGGCGTGTCAGCTTAATGTGAGAGGAAAGCCTGAGGTGATGCAAGTCTCAGACCTTTACCACTTTAGTGAAATCCACGAGCAAGGGTATGGTGCTGACAAACCTAAAAACAAGGATTCGAACCCACAATCATAGGTTTCTGGCATGACCAAGGGACACAACTCTGACTGTGCTTGCAACACGGCAGAATACTGACATTAAAGATCTGACAGATGAATATTGAATATCACTAATCCAGATTCCTTTAGACTAGAGATTTTTCCTACCAAAAACTCTTCATTTTAACTTCTCAATGTATCCAAAGAAACATCACTGTATTCTTTTTATTACTTTTATTTGGATAAATTCACTGGATTCGGGGCGAACCAGGATTCGAACCCACAATCACAGGTTTCTGGCATGCCCAAGGGACGCAACTCTGCACAGCGAATCGCGTCGCCTTAGATGACTGGGCCACCCCTGCCCCCTTTGATTGGAGAGCTCTTGCAAAAGCCAAAACTAGAAATGTAATCAGGCAAACATGGATTCAAATCCACTATGACTGTTTTAATGCTTTAGTGACTAGCCATCAAAATTTCAGCCACAATCAGCAAGATTATCCTCAGTCATTTCTAACGAAAATGGGTATTTCTAATGAGAGTGGGTATTGCAGACATGTTCCAAATGATTCCCCATATGGTTTAATTATAGTGAGCATCACTTTGCTTCTGACACTTGTCTGTAGGTGAAAGCCTCCCTGAACTCACATAGCTGTTGTTCCTGCATGGAATGGCTGCAGCCACACCCTCCGGGCAGTAATGTCCGATTGGGCAGTAGGTGTCATTGGGCTCCTTGTAGATTGACCCCACCGGACAGAAGTACCCTGAAACAATGAACATACCCAGTTCTTGTATATCAAAGTATCTATATATCAAAGTATCTATATATCAAAGTATACTATGTCCAGCCTGCTAGTCTCTGATTACATACAAAACACATTTATAAACTTTTTGCAAACTGGTTGAACAGAATGTCCTCAACTACATATATAGAGGCTAGAGATGTTGAGCTAGTAGTAAGGCCATGAGTGCACACATCCATTTCAATTTCACAGATAACTTAAAACTGCAGGATTGAATTCATTAGCCTAAATGGCACAGAAATGAACATGTGCATCCAAAACACTATTTCTATATCAATATATTTTAATTTTCGTCTGCAGGCACACATTCTAGATATGTGAAGGTATTTAACTCTTTCAACACCAGTCAACCAGAAGTGTTTACTGCTGGGACACCGAGTTCCCAGAGACTCTTGTGTGATAGACGAAGCCAACATTTATCAAAGAAAATATCTGCTTGTAAAATATATTTGCTACTACATGTTATACACCATTTGAAAGGTCTGATCCTATGGTTTATAAACATGAAAGTTATGTTTCACATTATTTAAAATAATGCATTTACAACTTAATTAAGTTTGTTGTAAATAAAAAATGTAAGCTAACACGTTGTTAACATCCAGATTAAGGACCAAGGAAGCGAAAACTTGACGATTTTCGGCAAATATAAGATTTCATAAAATCCACTTACCTATTTCTGTTTTATTTTCATTGTTTACGTAATTGGAAAATCATTTTAAAAAGAATTATAAATAGTTTCTGTCATTACCCATTTCCCGATAACAGCGGCTGTCCGCTCAGTAACATGAAGAAATACTGCCGTTTTTGAGGCTTCGTATGAATAACACGTTCGTCGAAGAATGGCATATGACACATCGCTAGAAAGCTTATTCCTTCATCTACACGCTCATAAACACCGCCTGTTTTTTTTCCATAGTTATAGCAAGCGATTTCATTGGATTAAAATTGGTTTCTAATGACGCTTTCTTGCCGAAATCTGCTACAAGTTTCGTGATTGGTCAATTTTGAGCCCATGACCTAATGCAGCCAATCATATTACAGCTGTGATACCAAGCTCGTGTTTGAAAAATTTCTGAAGTTGGCGAAAGATTTTTGTTAAATCGTGTTATTCTGAATGTTTTAAGCAGGAAATCACGATATATATTAAAAATATAAAACTTTGTGAATGTATCGTGCTAGTTTACGAGCTGTGACAAAGATTTTTCATGCATATATTTTTGCATTAAACATCGTGTCCGAGCCGAGAATTCAAGGCGATGAAAGCCGAGATGTCATTTGACTTACATTACACGCGATTGCACGAAAAGATGGAAATAATAACTTAGATGTAAGTTTGATTGCTTTTAGATATATTTTTGTTGATTTTATTTATTACTTTGTATAATATATTTAAAGATTTGTTTAAAATGTCTTTATTTTGCTCTTTGACATGTTCGATGTGGACCCGTTGTCGAAATGTGTGTCCGAGAATTTTATTTTCAATAACATCTCGGGAAATAGTGAATAATTTTGTAATTTATCGATAAAAAATGATAAATTGAATTGGAATACGTATTGTGAAATGTGATAGATTTAATAAATGAATGATATCACAGGTAGGTCCATAAAAATATATATTATTTTGACGTGACTACGGCTTGGCCGGTTAACCGGCCAACGGTGTCTGGGGACTCGATGCTTCTTGGCCGGATAACCGGCCTACGGTGTTGAAAGAGTTAAGTTGTAGACTTATGCCATTTCTCAACATGATAAATTGTCTGTTAGATGATAACAGCCCTCACCTTCTCCACACAGCCCAGTAGGTTCCGAGAGTCCATCTGTCTCGCAGTACGATCCTCCCGGACATTCGGAGCATTCATTCTTTGTCTTCACATTCGTAAAGTTGGAGAATGTTCCTGAATAATAATAACACTGACTACTCATGTTGAAGGAATCAGGACTCAGATAATACAATGTTGTAGAGCAAGAGGATACATATGCAGGCATGGACGGGGGTCTTACTCTAGCTGTTACCAAATTGCAACTACATGTCAGTATTAGAGAAAGGAAAGGTGGAGACTGCCATACCACAGCAGACACATGGATCATATGACAAACAGAAACAAGAATATAGTAAATATTATTGAGAGTTTATCAGTTAAAGTGATGCTCACTGGAGCTACTAATTACTAATCATGGTGACACAGATATTGAGGGCTATACAGACTTTATGACATGGTGGTGCTACTGGCCTTTAAGACATGGTGATGCTACTGACCTTTAGGACATGGTGATGCTACTGGCCTTTAGGACATGGTGATGCTACTGGCCTTTAAGACATGGTGATGCTACTGACCTTTAGGACATGGTGATGCTACTTACCTTTAGGACATGGTGATGCTACTGACCTTTAGGACATGGTGATGCTACTTGCCTTTAGGACATGGTGATGCTACTGACCTTTAGGACATGGTGATGCTACTTGTCTTTAGGACATGGTGTTGCTACTTGCCTTTAGGACATGGAGATGCTACTGACCTTTAGGACATGGTGATGCTACTGACCTTTAGGACAAGGTGATGCTACTGACCTTTAGGACATGGTGATGCTACTGACCTTTAGGACATGGTGATGCTACTGACCTTTAGGACAAGGTGATGCTACTTGCCTTTAGGACATGGTGATGCTACTGACCTTTAGGACATGGTGATGCTACTTACCTTTAGGACATGGTGATGCTACTTACCTTTAGGACATGGTGATGCTACTGACCTTTAGGACATGGTGATGCTACTTGCCTTTAGGACATGGTGATGCTACTGACCTTTAGGACATGGTGATGCTACTTGTCTTTAGGACATGGTGTTGCTACTTGCCTTTAGGACATGGAGATGCTACTGACCTTTAGGACATGGTGATGCTACTGACCTTTAGGACAAGGTGATGCTACTGACCTTTAGGACATGGTGATGCTACTGACCTTTAGGACATGGTGATGCTACTGACCTTTAGGACAAGGTGATGCTACTTGCCTTTAGGACATGGTGATGCTACTTGCCTTTAGGACATGGTGATGCTACTGACCTTTAGGACAAGGTGATGCTACTTACCTTTAGGACATGGTGATGCTACTGACCTTTAGGACATGGTGATGCTACTTGTCTTTAGGACATGGTGTTGCTACTTGCCTTTAGGACATGGAGATGCTACTGACCTTTAGGACATGGTGTTGCTACTTGCCTTTAGGACATGGAGATGCTACTGACCTTTAGGACATGGTGATGCTACTGACCTTTAGGACATGGAGATGCTACTGACCTTTAGGACATGGTGATGCTACTGGCCTTTAAGACATGGTGATGCTACTGACCTTTAGGACATGGTGATGCTACTTACCTTTAGGACATGGTGATGCTACTGACCTTTAGGACATGGTGATGCTACTTGCCTTTAGGACATGGTGATGCTACTGACCTTTAGGACATGGTGATGCTACTTGTCTTTAGGACATGGTGTTGCTACTTGCCTTTAGGACATGGAGATGCTACTGACCTTTAGGACATGGTGATGCTACTGACCTTTAGGACAAGGTGATGCTACTGACCTTTAGGACATGGTGATGCTACTGACCTTTAGGACATGGTGATGCTACTGACCTTTAGGACAAGGTGATGCTACTTGCCTTTAGGACATGGTGATGCTACTGACCTTTAGGACATGGTGATGCTACTTACCTTTAGGACATGGTGATGCTACTTACCTTTAGGACATGGTGATGCTACTGACCTTTAGGACATGGTGATGCTACTTGCCTTTAGGACATGGTGATGCTACTGACCTTTAGGACATGGTGATGCTACTTGTCTTTAGGACATGGTGTTGCTACTTGCCTTTAGGACATGGAGATGCTACTGACCTTTAGGACATGGTGATGCTACTGACCTTTAGGACAAGGTGATGCTACTGACCTTTAGGACATGGTGATGCTACTGACCTTTAGGACATGGTGATGCTACTGACCTTTAGGACAAGGTGATGCTACTTGCCTTTAGGACATGGTGATGCTACTTGCCTTTAGGACATGGTGATGCTACTGACCTTTAGGACAAGGTGATGCTACTTACCTTTAGGACATGGTGATGCTACTGACCTTTAGGACATGGTGATGCTACTTGTCTTTAGGACATGGTGTTGCTACTTGCCTTTAGGACATGGAGATGCTACTGACCTTTAGGACATGGTGTTGCTACTTGCCTTTAGGACATGGAGATGCTACTGACCTTTAGGACATGGTGATGCTACTGACCTTTAGGACATGGAGATGCTACTGACCTTTAGGACATGGTGATGCTACTGACCTTTAGGACAAGGTGATGCTACTGACCTTTAGGACATGGTGATGCTACTGACCTTTAGGACATGGTGATGCTACTGACCTTTAGGACATGGTGATGCTACTGACCTTTAGGACAAGGTGATGCTACTTGCCTTTAGGACATGGTGATGCTACTTGCCTTTAGGACATGGTGATGCTACTGACCTTTAGGACAAGGTGATGCTACTTACCTTTAGGACATGGTGATGCTACTGACCTTTAGGACATGGTGATGCTACTTGTCTTTAGGACATGGTGATGCTACTTGCCTTTAGGACATGGTGATGCTACTGACCTTTAGGACAAGGTGATGCTACTTACCTTTAGGACATGGTGATGCTACTGACCTTTAGGACATGGTGATGCTACTTGTCTTTAGGACTTGGTGTTGCTACTTGCCTTTAGGACATGGAGATGCTACTTGTCTTTAGGACATGGTGATGCTACTGACCTTTAGGACAAGGTGATGCTACTGACCTTTAGGACATGGTGATGCTACTGACCTTTAGGACATGTTGATGCTATTGACCTTTAGGACATGGTGATGCTAGGGACCTTTGTGGCATGGTGATGCTACTGACCTTTGGGACATGGTGATGGTGTGTGACTGAGAGCCGGACAGTAGTAGCCAGATGGACATATGTTCTCCTGGGAGCTGGTGGATCGCACAGGACAATAGTAGCCAGCCTCACATGGACCACTCTCTGTTGTTGCATTCAGCTCACTACAGTATTTGCCTGCCATAGTCAAAAAGAAGGATTAATACACATTTATACAACATATGGAGGATGGATATACACATTTATTATATACTTCAGTGTGAAAGACTGAGATTCTGAAGTGGAGAAAAGTGGTATTTTCATTTGCAGTAAACATAACACTTGATATTTCAATGCAGTGAACATAACACTTCAACGGAACTATTGTCATACAAGGGTTAACTTCCCCAAAATTGTCTCCCCTTTATCTTAAGTGTCTATCTCGTACGCAAACTGTTGACTTCCTTTTATCGTTGCCTTTCACATTGACAAGGCAAGATAATGACTGATGGTCATTTATGGAGTTAATGTGGCTTCTTGCCGTTTGTTATTCTCTTGAAAATGTTTCGTTATAACTGTATATTTCATATTGAACTTGTCAATCAAGACTGTTCGCAAAGCTCCATTTTTGTTACTTGACCAGCATGTTTTCTTTCGTTTCCAACAGTGGTCTTGTAGATTTCAAGAATATTTTTCGTTGATGATGATTTTGTATATAATCATATCCAAATGTATGCTAAAGAATATTATTGACCTCGAATATGCTTGTTACTTTTGTTTATATTATTTAAGATTATGCAAACATTGAACTACTTTTTAAATTGCAATTACAATGGGAGGAGAAATGTCCCTGCGTGTTAGGTAGGGAGAATTTACGTAGCAAGGTTTTACATTTGTAATGAAATAATTTAATTTTCCGGTAAACACTTTGATGACCTGTTGGCATCATGGCCTGAAGTCTCACCTGCAGTGCAGTTGAGGCATTCCTCCTCAGCTGTCAGATTGACAGCGTTTGAGTAAGTCCCTAGTGGACATTTCTGGGGCTCGGACGTTTGTCGTGGGCAGTAGTGACCTACTGGACACAGGTCAGCATCGTAGCCTTGAGATGGTGTGCCAGATGTGGCGTACTGACGGCAGTAGTAGCTGAAGAAAGATGACATTGAAGTGAGTGAGTGAGTGAGTGAGTGAGTGAGTGAGTGAGTGAGTGAGTGAGTGAGTGAGTGAGTGAGTGAGTGAGTGAGTGAGTGAGTGAGTGAGATCTGCTTTCAGCAAAATCACGATGGACCCAAGAAATGAGAACTGTCAGAAGTGAGTTGTGCAATGAGTTTGTATTTTCTGAAATAAGTCATCCTCATGCAAACTCTATTCTGATCCCGTCAGTTGATAGACAAGACTCATGCTCCTAGGTATTCTTCAACTCATTTACTAACCCTTGCTATAGTTAAGGGCTCTTGTCCTGAAATAAATACTCATTTTGCCCATACATTTAAGCAATATTTGTGAATAAAAAGCAATTTTGCAATGTTTTTAATAAGTATCTTGTGACAAATTAATGACATAACTTCCTGAAAGCCCTCCAAAATAAACATTATTTCATTTACCTCACAGCCTTTTCACTTAATGCAAAATGAAAACTCAAATTAAGTAACACGTATCATAGAAGCTTGTGTGATGTTTGTGGAGCCATTGGTTGCAAAATATTTGCAACCATCAATTGTTTATGACACATAAACACTTTTTAATGACATCACAAACACTTTTTGTGATGTTATTCTTAGTGTGTCTGAGCACATATCTCTACTTGTGATTTTGAAAGCCATATTTTATTACATTTTCCCCCCGAGAAGAAAAAAGTTATTGTAATAAATTATTTTGGAGTACTGTTGGAGGTACCAAGCTAATGCTGAGGAAGTTAATTAATACACTCTTGACATAATGTGTCACTCCTTGTAGCTCCTTGGTTATTCTTTCAACATATCATTCGTGACCAACTCGGGACAAGCCGAATAGCGACTCGTTCCCCTATCGTGGCCATTTTTGCGACCGGGTTCCGTCTTAGCGCAAACGGGCATACCTAAAATAATTGTCAACTCGTTGCGTAATGGTTCACACATATTTCTCCATATATTATATATATTTCAGATGCAATTTTAAAGCACATGGGGACATGCGGAATTATACAGTATGATTGAACACATTTAAGTGTGTCTTTGGTATATTTTTAGATGCAAGACATATGTAAAATCAAAAATTATTTCTGAGGGATTCTTTGACGAGGAACTTGAAATCATAAGCACATTCTGATTGGTTTGTCATATTTTCGCACATAACAGGTAACGGAAAGGGGCGAGTGGTGATGAATGTCAACACATCTGCCAGTGGAACTCACCCTGCCTCACAGATGCTGGTGAAGGTGGTCTGGGCAGGCATGTCACAGTAATAGCCTCCTGGACAGGGGAGACAATCTGTCTGTTCCTGTAGCCCTGTGCGGTTGCTATATGTCCCTTTTGGACACGGATGTTCCACGGCATACTTGGTTTCCGCTGGACAGTAGTACCCTGAGGAAGCAAGTATCAATACTATAATGAAAAAGTCTCCAAATGCCTATGAATGTATGGATCATTTGGTTGCTGTAGTCACATTTATACGCTTCAATGATGACATGTTTCAAGACTTGATTATGATAAAAGAGCCTATGCCGAAATGTCACATTGAAAAAGTAAGTTGAAATCTGTGTCCACCCTCTCTTTATAGACAACTACATAACTGTATAGGCTACTATATACAATACATTGATAGAGGCTGAGAAGCAGACAATCTGAGTTACATATCTTACCCATAGGACAGTAGCTGTTGTTGAACAGGACGACAGGGTCCATGGTGTTGTCACAGAAGAATCCTTGTGGGCATGGTTTACACTGGCCCTGGCCGACCTCGTCCTGGTAGGTGCCGCTGACACAACGCACGGCCTCATGGCTGCCGAGGGGACAGCTGTGACCTGGGAGGACACAGTTCATATATAGACATGTTCCACAGAGGGAGTTGTATAGAGACCCAATTGAGGAAAAAGGGGACATTGTCAAAAAAAAAAGGGGTACAAAAATAGTACTTTAAAAATATACTATATATATTTTTTAACCCGCTGACACAACGCACGGCCTCATGGCTGCCGAGGGGACAGTTGTGACCTGGGAGGACACAGTTCATATATAGACATGTTCCACAGAGGGAGTTGTATAGAGACCCAATTGAGGAAAAAGGGGACATTGTCAAAAAAAGGGGTAAAAAAATAGTACTTTAAAAATATACTATATATATTTTTTAACCCATGTTCATTGTTATAAAGAGTAGAGTTCACATAATTTAGATTACCATATGTCTTGAAAATATGAATAATCACATAAATTTTGAGCAACTATTGGCTTCTCTTTATCAATCATATGGTTTTATTTCCAGAAAGAGCACAGGCATATGAGATACATAGAAGAGCACACACTTTGATAAGACTGTGAAAAGGCAAATCTCTTCTTTGATATTTTATATACTGGACCTTCACTTCAGATAAGGCGATAGAGGGAGCCACTTCCATTCAAAAGCCTTAGTCTTATTCTTTTTGTTCGCAATACATTTCTCAAAGCTGTAAGTCAACATTTACCCACAATTCAAGTGTTTTGCGTAGACGCCGTCTGCCTTCGATAATCACATAATCAGACAGCCAGATAATCACAAAACACTGATCTGGTATCCCCTCTACATTCATCCTTAATACAGTTGTATCTCACCATCTTTCACGAATTCACAACATATTTCAGTCTTCAAAATCCACAAATGATTTTGTTGGTTTAACATTATTTTTAACAGTATTTCAGTTCTATCACAGCATGTCAACTTGATGAATGAAGAAAGCCTGAAAGCCTGAAGTGATCCAGGTTTTAGACATTTAAACTTAGGTGAAAACAATGAGCATGTGTGTTGACAGACCTGAAACTTGGATTCAAACCCCTGATCATATGTTTCTGGCACCTATGGGATGCCAATGTTAATTGCAGGTGTTTAGACAACTGGGTCTACCTAACATGCCACCCAGATCATTCGGACAATTTCATCTTGCCTAAATCTCTAAATGCCAACACCAATAGTGAAATGATGTGCAGCTGCTCCAGGGCCCACTTGCACAAAGCAATCTTAGCACTACGACTATTGTAAGTCTATGTTAAAGTATGGGAGTTATGATCATCTGAGCGCTGAGACTATTGTAAGCCTATGTTAAAGTGTGGGAGTTACGATCATCTTAGCACTGAGACTATTGTAAGCCTATGTTAAAGTGTGGGAGTTACGATCATCTTAGCGCAGAGACTATTGTAAGCCTATGTTAAAGTATGGGAGTTGTGATCATCTTAGTGCTAAGATCGCTTTGTGCAAGTGGGCCCAGATAATACAGTCTAAGACGTCTCCAAAGCAACTTGACACAATGAACGCAGGACCAACCTTGAGGACATGTGTACTCAGCAGGGTTGGAGATGTTCATGCCAGGGGGGCAGTAGTAACCCGGGTCACACTTCGTGTCTGCGTCGACATTGCCATAGCCTGCGCAGTAGAAGCCTTGTAGACAGGTGATACAGTCGCTCTCAGACCTTGACCCTGTTGTGTTCAGATATGTTCCTGGAGGACAGAATGTGCCGTTGGCGCTTCCATCATGGCAGAATTGACCAAGTGGACATAGGTCACCTGAAAATGAAAATGGTAAGATGGAAAAATGATTATTAACTTGGATGTCGAAATTAGTGAGGAGGATCGTATGCCAGTTTAAACACAATGATAGTCAGGTCCCAACTTAAAGCACAGATAGGGGCTCTTGTCCATTACCTTCCTTTTCTTCCAGATAAGAAAAACTTTACTGACGTTTATAATTCCATTCCTTTCATCCTCTCTCCTGGTGATAACCATTCACTCTTCATTATCAGAAGTGGTTCAGTTTTTCACGGGTTGTAACATAGACCTTATCTGTACCTGACAAGAGACCAGTGATGCCACAACACTGGATCTAAACCTCACCATAGCCTTGTCCGACTGGCGTGGGTGTTGAGGAGCCACCGGAACAGTAGTAGCCTTCACTGCAGTTGCCAGTTGGTGTAGACAACTCTGTAAGAAACATTGTACAACACTTGAACACTTCCATTGACCTCCTCCTGTTGCCAGTCAAGGTTCCTCAAACTACAGGACAACCTTATACTGGCCTTGCCCTGTGCTTTCCGCTGGTGTCTGGTGATTAAACACCTGCAAAGCTGATAAAACACCCAAAAAACTGTATCTGTTCTATCATAAATGCTTTTATTTTTCTGAGACAGTGACCCACACATGGGAATTGATTCCACAGCACTTCATGACTCTAATGTACCAGCTACTGAACACACGGCCTTATCAACAGTGTGGAAAGGATTTGAAAGCGGGCTTTTCTCTTACCTGTATATTTATAACACTTAATTCAGAATGAGATTATCAAAGAATATCAATCTTCGTTAAAGCTGGCACTCACCAACTGAAACAAAATCTATGTTAATCTCCTTTGCCACAAAAACATCTTTGGTGGTTGTTCCTGTATACTCACCAACATTGTCACAGTACAGCCCCGGTGTGCAGGGGATCTCGAGGGAGCTCCCTCGTGGACAGAAGTGCCCCTGGGTGCACTGTCCGCCCTCCAAGGGGGTGGTTGGCTGAGCAGACTTGGCCCCACCTGTGCAGTACCAGCCCGGGTCACACTCATCAGTAGGCACAGCCAGGCCCTGGGAGGCACAGTAGAACCTGTGGGGTATACATACAGTTAACCATGTGGGGTATACATACAGTTAACCCTGTGGGATATACATACAGTTAACCCTGGAGGGTATACATACAGTTAACCATGTGGGGTACACATACAGTTAACCCTGTGGGATATACATACAGTTAACCCTGGAGGGTATACATACAGTTAACCATGTGGGGTACACATACAGTTAACCCTGTGGGATATACATACAGTTAACCCTGGAGGGTATACATACAGTTAACCATGTGGGGTACTCATACAGTTAACCCTGTGGGATATACATACAGTTAACCCTGGAGGGTATACATACAGTTAACCCTGTGGGATATACATACAGTTAACCCTGTGGGATATACATACAGTTAACCCTGTGGGATATACATACAGTTAACCCTGTGGGATATACATACAGTTAACCCTGGAGGGTATACATACAGTTAACCCTGTGGGATATACATACAGTTAACCCTGTGGGATATACATACAGTTAACCCTGGAGGGTATACATACAGTTAACCCTGGGGTGTATACATACAGTTAACCCTGTGGGGTACACATACAGTTAACCCTGTGGGGTACACATACAGTTAACCCTGTGGGATATACATACAGTTAACCCTGGAGGGTATACATACAGTTAACCCTGTGGGATATACATACAGTTAACCCTGTGGGGTATACATACAGTTAACCCTGTGGGGTAAACATACAGTTAACCCTGTGGGGTATACATACAGTTAACCCTGAGGGATATACATACAGTTAACCCTGTGGGATATACATACAGTTAACCCTGGGGGGAATACATACAGTTAACCCTGTGGGGTATACATACACTTAATCCTGTGGGGTATACATACAGTTAACCCTGTGGGATATACATACAGTTAACCCTGTGGGATATACATAGTTAACCCTGGAGGGTATACATGCAGTTAACCCTGTGGGATATACATACAGTTAACCCTATGGGATATACATACAGTTAACCCTGGGGGGTATACATACAGTTAACCCTGTGGGATATACATACAGTTAACCCTGGAGTGTATACATGCAGTTAACCCTGTGGGATATACGTACAGTTAACCCTGGGGGGTACACATGCAGTTAAACATATGGAGTATACACACAGTTAACCCTGTGGGGTATACATAAAGTTTACCTTGGGGCGTATACATGCAGTTAACCATGTGGGGTATACAGAGTTAACCCTGTAGGGTATACACAGTTAACCCTGTGGGGTATTCAAGTTAACCCTGTAGGGTATACACAGTTAAACCCTGTGGGTATACACAGTTATCCCTGGGTGGCATACACAGTTAAACCCTGTGGGGTATACACAGTTAAAGCATGTGGGGTATACACAGTTAACCCTGTAGGGTATACACAGTTAAACCCTGTGGGGTATACACAGTTAAAGCATGTGGGGTATACACAGTTAACCCTGTAGGGTATACATATTTAAACCCTGTGGGGTAAACACAGTTAAACCCTGTGGGGTATACACAGTTAAACCCTGTGGGGTATACACAGTTAAACCCTGTGGGTATACACAGGTAACCCTGGGTGGTATTCATGCAGTTAACCATGTCGAGTATACAAGCAGTTAACCATGTGGGGTATACATACAGTTAACCCTGAGGAGTATAGATGGTTTGGGACAGTACAACCTGTGGGTATATACAGTTAACCCTGCAACTTAACCAATCACTTGTCGTAAGAGGCGACTAACGGGATCGGGTGGTCAGACTCGCTGACTTGGTTGATACATGTCATCGATCCCAATCACTGGATTGTCTGGTCTAGACTCGATTATTTACAGACTGCCGTCATATAGCTGGAATATTGCTGAGTGCGGCATTAAACCACAAACAAACAAACTTAACCAATCAATGAGATGGTTTGGGACCATAGAACCTGTGTGGTATACATAAGTTAACCCTCCACTGTAACCAATCTATGTGATTTTTTGGCACCTTAAAACCTGTTGGGTATACACAGTTAACTTCCACAGTAACCAATCTATGAGATGGTTTGGGACAGTAGAACCTGTAGGCTACACACAGAGTTAACCCTGCTATATAGCAATTAGTGAGCCTAGACTTTTGTTGCTCATGGAAATATTGTTTGATTATACCACAGCAACATAAATGACATCATTGCTTGTGCAAGTGATATCAGTTTAGAGAGAGGGCATTTACTTCACTGTCACACAAGGTTACTGGTATATCATTGTTTAGTATGCAAGAATATATTTTGTTGAGCTGTACAAGGGAGTGAACACTTACCCTGGCAGACAGGCAAGGCAGTGTGACGCGGCACTCATCCCGGTGGCGTTGTTGTAGGTTCCAGACAGACACGGTGTCTGGTAGGCCGTCTTGTACTTGGGGCCACACCAGTAGCCCTCGGGACACAGGAAGGGGTCGCTGGTGTTAACGGGGCAGTAGTAGCCAGCTGGGCAGTCCAGGCAGGTAAAACGCCCAGTCTCGTTGGAGTAGGTTCCAGCATCACACGCTGTAGGGACACTCGACCCAGATGGACACTTGTATCCTGGCAAACAATGTGTCATCCTTACAAGGAGTGCGATTATGTTTTTGATTATATATGACTTGACCTCACCTGTGTTTTGACAGGAACAGTCTACCAACTCAATTTGTTTCAAACTGAATTTTGCCTTTGTTACTGGCAATGTTCAAATTCAATATTTAAGGCTATAAGAACAAAACAAACAAGTGTTAAGTAGGACTAAATAAATTGAAGACTGGTAAGTGTCGCACATTATTTCAGTAAGGGGACATTTTTGGTGAGGAGATGCCTCAAAACTGGTTACCAATACATTCGGACCACACCTATAGATAAGTATGGTTTAGCATTTTCTCATATCCAGGGATATCAAGGATGGGCTTTACATATTGTGAATGAAAATATAACAGGGCCCCAATTCCATAAATCTATCTTAGCATTATGATGATTGTTAGCCAATGTAAAATATAGGAGAATCATCTTTGAGCTAAGATCGGTTCGTGGAATAGGGCCTTGGACTCCCGCTCCACAAGGCAATCTTAACACTAAGACGATCGTAACTCCTATACTTAAACATAGACTTATGATAATCGTAGTGCTAAGATGGCTTTGTGCAATGGGATCCTGATCTTTTTAGCTGCGACAAGCAACTGCATCAATATCAGATTAATGTCATTATCTGCTCACCAGAGGGACAGATGTCTCCGTAGGTCTGGTTGATGGGTGATGGTTCCGGGGACCCGAGGCTGCAGTAGTGGCCAGGGCTACACTCCAGCGTCGTCTCCGTCATGTTGTAGTAGGGGCAGTAGAAACCAGGGTCACAGAGCTCACACTCATCCTCCTTCGTCTTCCTGGCGTACTTGCTGGAAATAGCAAATAATAGTTGTCTCATAATCAGCTTTTCTTACTTACCAATACAGGGTTTCATAACCGATGACTCATGGTTTATTGGTTTGTTTGTTGTTTAATGCTGCACTCAGCAATATTCCAGCTATATGACGGTGGTCTGGAAATAATCAAATCTGGACCAGACAATCCAGTGATTTATATCATGAGCATAGATCCACGCGATTGGGATACAATGACAAGCATCAACCATGTCAGCAAACCTGATCACCCAATTCACTTCAGTCGCCTTATTTGACAAGAATAGTCACCTTTTCGGCAAGCATGGGTTGCTATTCTACCCCAGATCTTCACGGGTCCCATGACTCATGGCAAAAGTGTACATTTGCACTTTTCCGTTTAACGGTTGGCCCTAGCTGTTTCAACCCTTAACTGCATGGGTAGGCTTGTAACATTCACAACACTCAATTTGACATGGATTTGATCCTTGGTTTGTCAGCGCCTTAACAAGCCCACTGAGCCACCATGCTGCAGTCTTAACATGAATACCCTACTCAGACACAGTATACAGACTCTGAGCCAACCAGCCCTTGCTTTATCCTCTTAATGACGAGAGCCAGGCATGGTAACAAAAGTACAATTTTTTTTGTATCACACAACCATGGGATTAGACTTCCAACCTTCCGCTCTCTGGGCAGATGCTGTATCTACTAGACCTGCTGTGCTGAAACTGAAGCACTGTTCAAAGCGACATTAAACTAACTGTACATCACCTGCTACTTAGACATGAATCATTATTGTATATTGAAAGAGAGTGGAGTAATTACCCAAGCCTTCCCCGAGGACACGCTGCAGGGGAGATACTTCCTTCTGGGCAGTAAAAGCCTTTGGGACAGCGCCCTCTGTTCTCATTGTCTGTGTCTTCTGGCGTGGGTGTAGATGACCCAATAATTGACCAGTACCCAGCTGTGATCATCCCAGTAGCGTTGGTCAACCCTAAGTAAGGCAACATGTAAATGTGTAAAGTGAAGCAATGGCTTCTTGGAAGAAATATGCTGATGAAAGGCAACATTATTACTTCAACATAGTGGTTAATGCAAGGAGAATGCTATATTTTGTTTGTTTGTTTGTTGTTTAACAGCGCACTTAGCAATATTCAAGCTACATGACGGAGGTTTGTATATAATCAAGTCTGGACCAGACAATCAAGTGATTGACATTATCAGCATCGATCCTTGCAGTTGGGATACGATGACATGCATCAACCAACTCAGTGGGCCTGACCGCTCAATCCTGTCAGTCACCTCTTGTGACAACGCTATGTATAAGTATTCGTCCAGTACACACAAATCCATGGTTTGGAAGCAGAAAAAACAACTCCTTTTATGAGAGGTTGAACTGTCAGTCTCTTAAATCCTCAGTTAATTTTCATAAATATGACTTTTATCTGTCATATCTACAAATAAACATGTTCCAAGTTTGATATGCCATTGCCTGTTATAGCTGGATCCTTTGAAACTCTTACATATTAGGGGGTCTTCTGTATCTCTTGTTTAACAAAGATAAAACCCTGCATTACAGTTGTACACACCTTCTGAGGCACAGTAGTGCCCTGCATCACACAGGGTACAGTTGGCTTCGGCCTCTAGACCATCATCCTTCCCATATGTCCCGATTGGACACGGAGTCCCCTGCTTGGTGGGGATGCTGGCTGTACTGGCAACACAGTAGAAACCTAGGGAGAGACATCATTAGCATGGTCACATGGAGTGAGTGTGAGTGAGTGAGTGAGTGAGTGAGTGAGTGAGTGTGAGTGAGTGTGTGTGAGTGAGTGTGTGTGAGCGAGTGTGAGTGAGTGAGTGAGTGAGTGAGTGAGTGAGTGAGTGAGTGAGTGAGTGAGTGAGTGGGGTTTAACACTGCTTTTAACAGTATTCCAGTCATATCACGCCATGTCAGCTTAATGTGGGAGGAAAGCCCGAGGTGATGTTGGTCTCAGACGTTTACCACTTAGGTGAAACCCACGAGCACAGGTATGGTGCTGACAAACCTAGAAACATAATCAGGGCGAACAAGGATTCGAACCAACAATCAAAGGTTTCTGGCATGCCCCAGGGACACAATTCTGACTGTGCTTGCAAATCAGCAGAATACTGACATTAAAGATCTGACAGATGAATATTGAATATCACTAATCCAGATTCCTTTAGACTGGAGATTTCTCCTATAAAAAACTCTTCTTTCCGACTTCTCAGTGTATCCAAAGAAACATTACTGCCTTCTCTTTATTATGTTTATACAGATAAATTCATTGGATTCACACAACAGTTCTGTTTGGGTTAACACTTTACACACAATGTCATTTGTTGTAAGCAGATTTTTTAATCTAGATTCAATTATGGATAAAAAGGCTTACCTATTTGAAAAATACTAACACTAAGATCAACCCACTTAAAACAAAACAAAGTTGTAACAAAATTATGAAATGACCAACAACTGAAGGACATTAAATCAGTAGAACTGTGTAGCATGAATCAAAGGTGATTATTAAAACAGAATTTCAAATCATCTCTCCAAATTCTGGAACTGAAATAAAAAAGGAGGGCATGTAAACATTTTGGCAGCTACACAGGCCTACCTTGTGGACAGACTCGTGGAGCTTCCCCTGGCAAGCAGATGAACCCAGCCAGACACAGCTCGCACACAGAGAGGCCTGTGTTGTTAGCATAGAAGCCAATGGGGCACTGCTTGGGCTGGTCTGTCCCCTCCAGGCAGATGTGATGCATTGGGCAGATGGCGCCGGTGTCGTTGGAGACGCTGGAGTTGATGGGGTCAGGAATCCATGAGCCACCAGTACAATAGTATCCAGCACTACATGATCCTGCAAACAATGGAATAATGGGGTATAAATGCAATATCAGTATACCGACACTACCAGTACGTGGTCCTGCAAACAATGGAACAATGGAATAATGGGGTATAATGCAATATCAGTATACCTACACTACCAGTACATGGTCCTGCAAACAATGGAATAATGGGGTATAATGCAATATTGGTATACCTACACTACCAGTATGTGGTCCTGCAAACAATGGAATAATGGGGCATAATGCAATATCAGTATACCTACACTACCAGTACGTGGTCCTGCAAACAATGGAATAATGGGGTATAAATGCAATACTGGTATACCTACACTACCAGTATGTGGTCCTGCAAACAATGGAATAATGGGGTATAATGCAATACTGGTATACCTACACTACCAGTACGTGGTCCTGCAAACAATGGAATAATGGGGTATAATGCAATATTGGTATACCTACACTACCAGTATGTGGTCCTGCAAACAATGGAATAATGCGGTATAAATGCAATACTGGTATACCTACACTACCAGTACGGTGTCCTGCAAACAATGGAATAATGGGGTATAAATGCAATATTGGTATACCTACACTACCAGTACGGGGTCCTGCAAACAATGGAATAATGCGGTATAAATGCAATACTGGTATACCTACACTACCAGTACGGTGTCCTGCAAACAATGGAATAATGCGGTATAAATGCAATACTGGTATACCTACACTACCAGTACGGGGTCCTGCAAACATGGACCTCCAAATAATGGAATGAGGTACAAAATCCATATTGGTATACCTATAGTACCAGTACATGGTCCTGCAAATAATGGAATAATGGGGTATATATGCCATATTGGTATACCTACACTACCAGTACATGGAGTACAAGGATCTCCAAATAATGGAATAAAGGGGTATATATGCCATATTGGTATACATACCTACAGTACCAGTTTATGGTCAGCAAATAATTGAATAATGGGGTTATAACTGGGAGGAATATCCAAAGTGATATTGTAACAACTTGGTGAAACCCCATGCTTGGGTATGATGCCAACACACCAAGAATCGTAGTCAGGGCATATGAAAATCTAACCCATATCTGCGCGCCCTGACACAAAAAAGAGACAACTGCAAGAAACTCTTGCACCTTAGAATCCTTGTTGTATTCATAACATTGTGGTACAGTAGATAGTGGAACAGCAATCTTGATTTCTAACACCATCGCTGTACAATGAACTGACTTTTAGATGCCCTGTCTATCAACATGAATGTTACAAACCTGTAGGTTCAATGAGGGCAGATCCATTGCAGTACTTCCCAGGGTCACACGGTTTACAGGCTTGTTCCTCCGACCGGCCCTGGCGGTCTGGGTTGTATGTGCCCCGGGGACAGGGGATCATGAAGGCCACGCCCTCCGTACAGTAGTACCCAGCTTCACAGGTGTCCCCCCACAAGATGAGCGTCTTGTTGCCTGATGTGTCGTTATTATACACCGGGTCATCATCCAGGGCACCTTCAAAGCAGATATGACCAGCGAGGCACTTCCCTTGTGGCGCCGTGGCACCTCTGTCCTGGCAGTAGTAGCCGCGGGGGCAGATGATGCAGTCGTCGATACTGTCCTGGTGGGTTCTGGAACAATAGTTTGTATCTTACTTTGTGGATGAGCTAGGCATCTGTATATAGCTAGGCTACTGAGGAAGTGACTCAAAGTAGGTTAGAAATGTAAACATAAACAGCCCTGTTAACCTAAGGCAATACTTTTATTTTATTGTTTAAAGTTTCAAAATGGACTTGTGGATTTGAATTATTTCTATTTATTTGACATAAAACTGTGAGTGTCTCTTGATTAAATAACACAAAATAGAAGTTGATTTTAGTACTTGTAAAATTTTAGTGGACAAGCTTATCATGCTTATGAATATAAATGGCAATTATTTGTTCATTTTATTTCTATTCTTTTTTCTATCATGCCAAATTGTCAATTACTCCTGGATCCAAAATTACACAAGGATTCTTGTTTTCTGCCTTTCAGAAATAAAAAATGAAGAGAAAAAAGAGTTAAAGTAAATTTGGCTACCAACTATATGAACACAAAATGACAATGCTGTCTTATCTTGCAGAAATATCTTAAAGAAGAATGCAAACACATAACTTCATTGTTAGTCCAGGTATGTCAGGAAAATTAATAATTAATCACATTCTTAGTCAGGACGGTCAGTAACTTACGCATTGGAGAAGTATCCCGGGGGACAGTCGAGGGGCACGATGCTGCCGTTGCCGCAGTACTTGCCAGCAGGGCAGGGGTACTGTTCCGTCATCTTCTTCTCGGGGCAGTAGAAGCCAGGGTCACACACCATGCAGGATGCCGACGCATTCTTGTCCTGGTACGTCCCCAGGGGGCACTCGGTCTGCGCCACTGAGCCGTTCAGGGAGTAGTACCCTACAAATTGTCATCATAGCATTATTGTTCCTGTTACAGCTGTCAGGCTGGTTATGCTAGGAGTAAAGTCCGCTCTACTTCCATGCTGAGTGTAATGAAGTTTAGTACATGTATTGAGTTATAATAGCGAAAGCACGAGGATGATTCATAGCGGATTTACGTGAAGTATGCACATTGTTTTCTCCGTTTATATCTCCAGAAATGCAAAAACATACTTAAGTCAATTGTCATAAATAGGCATGTCAACAATAATAGCTTCACAGCTTATTTATTCATTAACACACCCATAAGACTGTAGATAATGCAAAATCAACACAAGTCCCATTCTATTGTCAGCCAATCAGAAAACAGTAGTCCATTAGTGGGTGTGGCCTTCTTATTTTTGGTGGGGGGAGGGTATGGTAACCACCACAATTGCCAAGTTAGCAATCAAATGCCATGGCATCACTTGCAATTTATTTATATACCTATAACATTCCAGAATCCCAGCAATAACATTCATAACATAACACCATATCAAGTTGGTACCAAGTGGACTTTCACCACAAACATGCAACATGATTTTAACCATCAATCTCACCTGGCTGGGACACATGTTGGCGGGAATTGGTAGCTTGACCAGTGCAGAAGAATCCTCCCTCGCAGGGCCCTGTGGGGGCGCCACCAGCGGCGGTAGAGCAGTAGTAGCCGGGGTCACAGTCGTGGCAGTCGTAGTTGTTGACAGCGCCAGTCACGTTACTGTAGGTGCCAGCTGGACATGGCTTCTCTACCCAGGAACCTGAAGCAGACAAGAACACAGTTTTAGTTGACATGAAAAATTAAAAGTCAGATTCAGAAATAGTTAATGGACATCCTACTGCACAGTCATGAGAGATAACTTGTTCCAGACTGACTTTTGTTTGTGACTTTACACTGTTCTTAGCAATATTCCAGCAATATCAGCAATAAATGAGTTTCCCACAATTAACCAATGTGGGGAATCAAACGAAGGAGTGAGTGAGTGAGTATGGCTTTACACGGCTCTTCACAATATTCCAGCAATATCAGCAAGAAATGGGTTTCCCACAGGTAACCCATGTGGGGAATCAAACAAAGAAGGGGCAGGTCAATGATATTTACCATTTCAAATAAATCCTTAAACTTGAGCATTGTTCTGACAAACAAAGGACCAAAATCACAATGTATCAGGGATTCAAACCCACACCTAGCTGCTCATAGTTTCTAAGGGATGTGACACAGGATATTGCAGCCCCTTCAACCAATAGGTTACTCATGCCCACAACACATCCAGATCAAATCCTTCATGACATCAGCCAAACCAAAATCTTGAATTGTGTGAGTGAGTGAGTGAGTGAGGTTTTATATTCCTTTTAACAATATTCAAGTAACATATGAGGGCATGTTTGTTTGTTGTTCAACAGCTCACTCACCAATATTCCGGCTATATGACAGTGGCCTGTAATAATCGTGTCTGGACCAGACATGTGATGCTGTGAGCAACTGGGTATAACGACACATATCAACCCCAGGTGACTGGAACCTGGAGTATCACACTTTTTATTCAACACGTTATCTCAGCACCACCAATCAATGTGTTTTTAACTGGCTCACCTAGCACACAGAATCCTCCAGCCGGGCACACGTCTCCTGTTACTCCGTCAGTGGGTTCAGCTGTGGTTGCCCCTCCTATGCATATGTATCCTGGGTTACAGGGAGCCCGGGCCTGAAGGAGCCCCGGGGCGTCACAGTACCAGCCTGGGTCACACTGGGTACACTCATCCATGTGGCCGAGTTCTGGCAGTGGAAACATATAAATATATACACTCACAAACATCCAGGTGCCCTGAGTCCTGCCAAAGGATTATGCATTTAAAACTTTTACATATGACATAATGTGTCATCAGTCTCTTGTGAATTAATGTTCTATGGAGTCTTATATAATACAAATATGCTCAGAACAGATTACCAATAATTCTCCATTGCTTGTTTGGTACTCCTAATTAGGGTAATGTTTTAAATATTATGAGGTTCTATAATACAAAAATTACCCTTAAAGTGCTCTGTGTTATTTAGATGACTCTGGTTATTTTCTTTTGTCATTATTATTATTATCTTGAAGGTAAACTATCATGTAGACGATGCATGCAAAGATTTTGATATCAGATGAGCAAATATATTTGCTTTTAAGAAAGGCATGTAAAGAAGGACTATATGATCAATGGTGTGTTCCATTTGCAGTCCATGGTGCCGTTGTACAAAGCCATCTTAGTGCTAAGGTGATCGTAACTCCTATACCTTAACATAGACTTCCGACAGTCGTCGAGCGAAGGTTGTTTTGTACAACAGCACCCAGATGTTGTAATCAGTGCCAAATGTGAAACAGAGACCTTGTTTCTGTGTAACTCGGGTAATCATTACCCTCAAGATTTATATACAACATACCCAAGTAATAAACACGAAAATGGATGTTCCAAACTTGCTATAACTGCCAATCAACCCAAGAATATTTTCTCGTTAATACATGACACTTCAACTGAACACACCTGTGCGGTTGCCGTAAGTTCCAATGGGGCAGGGCTCCGGTTTGATTGCACCTGCCTCACAGTAGTATCCTCGGGGACACGACTCTGGGTTGCTGGTGGCCTGCTGACAGAAGTGCCCTGTGGTGCAGACCTTACAGCTGGCCAGGTCAGGAGTGGCTGTCACATCGCTGTAGGTTCCTTCAGGGCATGGTTCCTGGAGAAGAAGAGTGAGTGAGTGAGTGAGTGAGTGAGTGAGTGAGTGAGTGAGTGAGTGAGTGAGTGAGTGAGTGAGTGAGTGAGTGAGTGAGTGAGTGAGTGAGTGAGTGAGTGAGTAAGCCGCCTTTAGCAATATTCCAGCAATATCACAACGGGGGACACCAGAAAAGGGCTTCACACATTGTACCCATGTCGGGAATCGAACCCTGGTCTTTGGCGTGACAAGAGAACGCTTTAACCACAAGGCTACGCGACCGCCCCTAAGGGACATCAGAACAACACTGTACCCTTGTGAGGAATACAGCAGTTGCTACTACATGTAAAAGGGTCTGGAATCATCCCACAGATGACATTCTTATCCTGTCAAGGATAGGGACAAGGCATCCTCCGACCTTGGATCAGGTCTGTGGTTCAAGTCCCTTCTTCGGACTAAGATATTTCATGGCTGCTACATAGGTGTGACTTCTTGATTCAGTTCTCTGAAGGAATATTTGTGTCCATTGCAATGGGACAGCTAAGTCTTTGATTGGTTTGGGTTCAGGGTGAGATAATACCTACTAGACAACATGAAATGTATACTTGATGTTATAGACTTACATTAAGTAATTAAGGGTTGTTTTGATTTTGAATGAAGGACTGTCACAAAATAGGATAGCGGGATAGCTGAACAATATGACAGCTTCATGTGTGTGTGGCTGCTTGTACGAATCAGGCCTTGTGCCAGTTTTATAGTGACATTCATACCATGGTTAACCATGGTTAACCCACACAGTATACTGACTCCAAGCCAGCGAGTACTATTTTTATCCCCTTACTGACGAGTTCTAGGCAAGGTAACAACAAGTACCCTCTTTTAATGTCTCTTGGCAAGACAGCCAGGGGATAGAACCACAATCTGCTGCTCCCCAGTCAGATACTTTATCCACAAGGCCATGAAGGCAGACTGGTAAGAGAAAAACACCCTAGCACTCTGGCAATTGACCAGGGCCCACTTGCACAAAGTGATCTTAGCGCTAAGATGATCGTAAGCCTATGTTAAAGTGTGGGAGTTATGATCATCTTAGCGCTTTGTGCAAGTGATCACAGGTCAGAAACAGGGGGCACTTAATGGGATAATAAGGTTTTGTCAGCTATCGTAACCAACACCTTTCAGGTTCTACTACACCAAATCAGAACCAGTTTGGACAGTGCGGTTTTCGTAGGGAGCCTTCAGTGTAGATCGAGAGATATCTGCAGGCTGTGATTGGAGCATATTCTGTAAGATTTTTACATCCATCCAGTTATTAAAACTGACCATGTTTTTCTATATTTAGTACTGTCTTTTTCAACATGATGACTTATGCTGAATGTGACCACAGCTATTTTCAAGTAGGTGACATTTGGTGCGAAACTGGGGGTGGTGTGTTTAGCTTCCGGTACTCGGAAAAGGAGCTGACTAAGCTAGTCATTTTTATTTTTTTTTATTGCTGCTCTAAGGCCAAACTGTGCACACACATACAGGTAATAGCTGTTGAATGCTTAGTTATTTAAAAAAAAATCATAACGTTACTATAGAAGTCTATGGGAAAACATTTGGTTGTGTGTAACCTTCATAATCAGTATTGTGGATCTTTTAGTGTGGAAGCACTTATTATGTGTATGACAGTATTCCCAGTGTGACTTAATCCTGAGAGAAGAAGCTGTCACTCACCTGCTTGTCACCTTGACTTCCAATGAGAGCTGGTGTAGCACCATATGGGTTGGGCAAGTTGGTTGGACAGTAGTATCCTACAATGCATTCTCCTGTTTCTACAGACGATCCTTCCTGGCAGTAGAAGCCAGCTGTACAAGGGGCACAGTCTGTGATGGCACCGGCTCCGACAGTTTTACGGATGGTACCAACAGGGCATTTCAACTCTTCAACAGTTCCTGAGAATGAAGGATATATAAACTGCTGAGTGCTGAGTTAGCGAGTGTCTCAGTGATATCATGTCTGTTTTATGTGGCCAGGCGGAATTCAAGCTTGAAGTGACAAACGTTTTTGATATTTACAACTAAAGCCACAACCTAGGATTCTAGCATGCATTGCAAAAAGTTGTGCCTCAGGTGACAGGGACACATATTCACCTATACGACAGAAAAGGATAAACCCAAAGATTTACAAATTCTTGTAGATCAGTTTCCTTCCAATAATGTTTCAGTTATCACCCATGCTGACACACGAGACCTCTGATGGTATAAGCACCCCCCTCATGTTTAATAATGTTTCAGTTATCTCCCATGCTGACACACGAGACCTCTGATGGTATAAGCATCCCCCTCATGTTTAATGATGTCTTCAAGTTCCCTTTATTATGATAATATGTTGACATGTCCTTCACTTCGTCAGTCATAAATATTTTCATATGGTAATGAAGTCTTCTGAATCTTAACTTGGTTAAAACCTACAGGACTATAGGAGGTATTAGGTATCATCTACCCTTGGAAAGTGTTCAGGTGCTCAGGTTTGCTTAATATGTCAAACAAAATATTCTAGATATTGAAGCAAACATGGCCCACGGCACCCTTTGTGACTTGTATGACTTTACAACAGTCCATTACAAACGCTTGTCATTTTCATTAAGCTACCTATGGAGTTAAATTGACAAAACAGATTAAAGACAAAAGGGAAAGAATTAGAATGGTCCTGACCTTCTGGGCAGTACCTCCCGACGGAGCAGTCTGTGGCTGCAGGTTCTGAAGATAGGCCCGCAAGGCAGTAGCGGCCAGCCGGGCACTTCTTGGTGTTGAGCATGGCATCCTTCGAGGTGGTCACATTGTCACAGTAGTGGCTGGCAACACCAGAGGAGACATTGCATTACAGTAAGGTACAATGAGTGAGTGAGTGAGTGAGTGAGTGAGTGAGTGAGTGAGTGAGTGAGTGAGTGAGTGAGTGAGTGAGTGAGTGAGTGAGTGAGTGAGTGAGTGAGTGAGTGAGTGAGTGGGGTTTAACGCCGCTTTTTGACAGTATTCCAGTCATATCACGGCGTGTCAGCTTAATGTGGGAGGAAAGCCCGAAGTAATGCAGGTCTCAGACGTTTACCACTTTGGTGAAACACACGAGCACTGTATGGTGCTGACAAACCTAGAAACATAATCGAGGCGAACCGGGATTCGAACCCACAGTTAGGTACAATCAAATAAAAAGTCAGCCTGGCAAAACAGTAGTCTGATTTTGTTTTACACTGCTATCAGAATATTCTAGTTGTATGACAGGGGCCTGTATGTGATCAAGTCTGAGTGAGTGAATGAGTAAGGTTTTACGCCGCTTTTAGCAATATTCCTGCAATATCATGGCGGGGGGACACCAGAAATGGGCTTCACACATTGTACCCATGTTGTGAATTGAAACCCGGTCTTTGGCGTGATGAGCGAACGCTTAAACCACTAGGCTACCTGACCGCCCCTGATCAAGTCTGGCTATGACATACCAATGGGTGATAGCAATGATCTAACCCATATACACCCATTATGCCAGGTGAGACAGGTGCGCTTTGATGAGTGGTGCTTTTCATCATGTTTAACCACCAAGCTTGGGTATGGCGCAGACAAACCAAGGACCATTGCGTGGATCAATCATGGATTCAAATCATGATAAAGAAATCCTGGCATGACCAAGGGCCTGAACTCAGAACAGTGAATTGTGGCACTTTTCAACAAGTTATCCACCCATTGCATTGGTCGTCTATAGATGAGGTAAAAAATATACATATATTCTAAAACTGACCCAATTTCACAGATTTTGCATTCAAACTGCCCAGGTTTTGAGAACATTCCCGTTCCACAATTAGCTGGTGTGACCGTTTCCTCTCCACAATAGAATCCACCAGGGCACTCAAGACAGTCGTTTTCCCTCTTGCCTGGGTCACCTGAAACAGTTATTAGTTGGTGATAATGCCAGTATAGCCATGTTAACAGTAGTTCAGTCACTTGAATGCATGTCAGAATAGTGCAGCTACGAGAAGTTTATCACTACAGAGAAACTCATTAGGCTTAAAAAATATATAAAAGAATTGGTTCTCAGGTTCTTTAGCTTGTTCAAACTGTTATGTAACCATCAACCTGGGAAAGGGCCTCCCTACATAAACAAGCATTCAAACTCCTACTGTCGCCATGACCATAACACGAAATGCACAGTAAAGCAGTGTGAAAGTGATGGAGGGGAACTGTGTGCTTTTTTGGATAGCATTGTTTAGTATTAGGATTTCTTTTAGTTTTGGGAAAATGGAATTAAGAACGAAATGTGCGGCAGACATTATGATGATGTGGGCGGTGCCTAAGAACCAAGTCTATTATTTTTTTTAGCCTTAGCACTGTAAAGTTATATTTTTAGCCATATTTTCTAGTGGTCAATACTTTTTATGATAACAGATTTATCTCCCTTTGCCTTCCACATGATATTACAGCCAGTATCTTTTGACACACAAGAATTGCTAGTATTCTTGGATTGCTTACATTCTGTATGTATATAGATTCTATGCGATTGTCATGTAACTGTGAGACGTAGTTGAGCAGTTTTTGGGTAAGGGGTGTGAGAGGGATGGCGTGTTATGGAGGGCTGAGCCACTGTGTCTTTTCTTAACTGTTGATTGTAAATAGAAGTGGAATAAATGGATATAATCCTGTTTTCTTGTTTAATTTCTTCAAAACCAATGAAGATACCCGAGTTAAATCCATGCAGGATTCAAACCCATAATCAACAGATCTTTTCAGACACTTTGAAACCAGTAGGCTGTGACCATCATCGCACACTTGTATCACTTATCTTAGTGCCAAGATTAATGTAACATCTGTACTAGACTAACAATAGTTGTAACGCTTAGATCACTTTATGCAGGTGGCCCCTGATACTCACTATAGTTAGTTCTTACAACAAGCGTGGACGATAGGAGAGTTAATTATTCTCATGATACATTATGGCAACCAACTGTTACCACTTTCATACTGAAAACTTCAGTCAACTTGAAATGAAGCTGCACATGCTTCAGTTCCATGGTAGTATTGAATACTACTTGTATGACAACATATTAGAGCAAAAAGTCTCATTCAGACCCCACCTGGATACTCTGAATCCCTATGAAAAGTGGAGCAGATTATCAGCCTCACTGTGAATGGACATTTAGGAACATACACTGCCATGCCTTAGACGATTGGGCCACCCATGCCCCCTACTCATTTACTGGAGGAAACGGTTAATTAAGTAAGTAAGGATAGAATTTATGGATGAACAACTTCTTTATTTCAATTTAGAGCGACGTTTCGACGTAGGTTCTAACACCATTATCAAGCAAGTGATAATGGTGTTAGAACCTACACCAAAAATCGCTCTTAATTGTAATAAAGAAGTTGTTCATCCATAAATTTTTATCCTTACTTAGTACTCCAACTTCTAAATGCCTATCAAAGAAGTTAATTAAGTAAATCATTACCTCCTGGAATCAAAGCATCTGTTGCTATATTATTATCTACTGCTGAAGTCTTGGTCACTCCCCATGGCATGTAGGTTCCCTTAGGACATTTCTCTGGCACCGTCACAGCAAACTCACAGTAATGACCTGAAACAGGAACAATAAGCGTTAGGTGGACACATAATGGCATTTTTCTCATTCAAAACAAAAGTTTATAAAAAAAACAACATTTTTGTGAGAGAAAAAATCAAATGGTGCAGTCTCACAACTATAGTACACATATCTGTAATTCTGTCTTTTAATTCAACCAGGAATACTAAATATATACCCCAGTATATATTCTATATACTAGGGTATATAGTTTCAATCTTATTTGTTATTTATATGTTATTTCTTATAACATAAATATCTACAAAATTTTATATAATGAGGTCAACATTTTTGCTCAATATAAAAATATAAAATTTAAAACAACAGAGACCCAATTCCAAATCTTTAAATGATGACCCTGACCTTGAGTACACTGTCTGCAATCAGCCTTATCATCCATCCCCTCCTTTTCATTGTAAGTTCCGTTCTCACAGCCAAAGTCGAAGGGGTAGGCGGTCCCCTCAGGGCAGTAGTAGCCAGGGGCGCAGATGCCGGTGGTCGTGGACTCTCCTCCGGAACAGTAGTAGGATGCCGTGCACTTGGTGCACTCCGACGCTGCTGTCAGGTCGGCCCTGGAGCTGAACGTCCCCTCGGGACATGGGTAGCGGTCGGGCGCTGGGGTCTGACTCGGACAGTAGTAACCTGGTTTACATGGCTTGGGTGGGTTTGTGCCATTACTCACACCTGAAATGGGATTGTTATTGAAATGTGCAATCATCTCAAAGAGCACATTACATCTGTTTATCAGCCATATTGAGTGAGTTAAAATGTAACGTCACATCGACATTATTTCAGCCATATAGCGACTTTAGTCAAAACTGTACATAACATGGTCAGATACAAAACAAACCCCAATGCCATGGTAATGAGCAATACTTGTACTTGTGGTGGTGGGGTGGGATAGGGTGTGAATGGGTTGGGTGGAGATAGGTTGGGTGGAGATAGGTTGGGTGGCGTTTGGTTGGGTGGGAGTGTGGACTTCCCACATTGTACCCAAGGCAGGGGAATGAATATGGGAAGATGGAAGGGACTTATGTTATCAGTCCCTTTTCGTTTACAGAGTGGACTGTTACATGAAGCCAAGGTACTGCAGCTTTCAACAACTGCATTAAGGTGAGTGTCAACCTCACAACTCAAGCAATACATATTCTTTTACGGTCAATACCATTCAAACAAAGCTTTCTGTTGTTTATTTCTGGAAGTTGTGGAAATGACAGTGGGGGTATGTTTTGTACCCTAATGTTTTTGCGAAATAAAAAAATGTATAAAAATGTAGAAATCAGCAAATAAAGAGAATCGTGACAGTGACAGTCACCACGAAGCTGGTATTACCAGGTTAATGAATAAGACAAGCAAAATATTGAATGGACAGTCTTTCTAAGCGCTGCCGATCAACTGAGCTGGTGATTTAATAGTTGAACAGAAACCAGCGGTAGAAACTGACAGTTTTAGTCCACTAGTCCTTTAAATGATAACATATAGCAAAACCCATAAAAATGACAAATTGTTACTATTCCTCATGAGACCTTAACTACTGGGCAGTTTGGCAAGGACCACAGGACTTAAGTGCCAATTTCTAATGCTGGAATTCCTGATGTTCTAGATCAGAACCCAAAATACAAATAGGTATAGATGATAATGAACAATATAAAATTTGAGGACCCCAATGATTAAGGTTTTATTAAAATATGAGAGCAAAAGCATTAAATTTAATTTAATTTACGCATGAATGTGATAAACTCAGCAAACTATCACAAACTCTTCTTGGTTTGCGGGCGGCAGAACACTCACCATTTCCCCAGTCACAGTATTGCCCTGCAGGACAGGCATCACACTCGTCTGCTGAGTTGAGGTTGGTGCGGCCAGTGTAGGTTCCTGGCAGACATGGGTACTGGTTCGGCGATACTGTGCCAGCTGGACAGTAGTGACCTGTGGAATAATAAAAACATTGTACAACACTTCCTGCACAAGCTGACAGACATGGGTACTGGTTCGGCGATACAGTGCCAGCTGGACAGTAGTGACCTGTGGAATAATAAAAACATTGCATGCATGTCATCGTATACCAATTGTGTGGATCGATGCTTATGATGTAAATCACTGGATTGACTGGTCCTGACTTGATTATTTACAGACCGCCCTCAAACAGCTGGAATATTGCCAAGTGCTGTGTTAAACAACAAACAACCAAATAAAAAACATGGGTACTGGTTGGTGACGGACAAGGCAACTAGCTGGTGACAGGTAGGGCAGCTTTTTAAATGGTGCAGTATATAACATTGTGCAACATCTTCCTGAGGCAAGGGAGCTAACTGACTTTTAAAAGTCTAGTTTCCACCCTTGCCAAACTAGGCTGGATCATAGCGCCACAAGTGGATATAAACTTACTTACTTACTTTGGAGATTTAACGTGCGCTTTCCGACTGATGCGTATTTCGCACACAGTGGATATTACAAGTTATGTCCCTTATATGTCCCTTCTATGGACCAATCAGATTCCACCTATCATATTATTTGCATTTGCTTCAAACAAAATGGCGGCGCCCAGTCAAGGCGGTCTGATCAATAATGAAGATCCATATTGTTATGAAACGGGTCTTACCTCATGAAATGTATCAAATTACTTGAGCACCGTGATTTAGAACATAAAACAATTGGAAAATATCTGTACATGCAAAGTTGACTGTACAATTGCTTTGAAAATCCTGCAATCGACCTAAATCTGCATGTCAGTTTATGAACCGGATGTCGATTTCGTTATGCGATTTTATTAGTCCAGTCAAAACATAACTAAGAAATTGCAGCCTAGTTCCGCAAGGGTGGAAACTGGATTTTCAGAGTCAGCTAACTCCCTTACGTTGGGAAGATGATAAAAGGCAACGGGTTGAAACTGGGGTTCTTTCAACACTCATCTAATCTCTCTTTCACCCCCCAAAATAATTAGACTACAAACTACCTCACTCATACTTTCACAAAAGTTACCCCATAAAATACAATAAAATTCTGTGTTGAAAGTACCTTTTTTAATTGTATTCTAGTAAATACTTTTATTTCAAAGTTTTTAAAGACAATAACCTTAATTCAAGAAGCAGCCACATGCTGCAGGTAAACCACCATGCAAACATTGGCAGAAAGGCTTCCAAACTAGGAATGTGACATTCATGCAGCTCACCTTCACTACACGGCAGAGTTGATGCTGTTTGGTTGATGAGTGGACAAGCGAACCCAGCGACACACTGGAGGCAGTTGATGGGATGTCCTGTCCTTGGATCGGGGTTGTACGTCCCGGGCTCACAGGGGGTAGGGTTCACCATGGGCTCAGACTCGGATCCAAATGGGCAATAGAATCCAGCTGGACAAGACTCACACTCAGTGGCATCTGGGAACATTGTAATTAGCCTTATACTTGGGCCATGTGTGCATTCATTGAAACATGAGCATGTCTGATTAAATGCAATGTTTTTATACTTACCTGATGCTACACAGTGCTATAGGTGTAGCGTCAGGTAAGGTAAAACATGAGCATGTCTGATTAAATGCAATGTTTTTATACTTACCTGAACCTACACAGTGCTATAGGTGTAGCGTCAGGTAAGGTAAAACATGAGCATGTCTGATTAAATGCAATGTTTTTATACTTACCTGATGCTACACAGTGCTATAGGTGTAGCGTCAGGTAAGGTAAAACATGAGCATGTCTGATTAAATGCAATGTTTTTATACTTACCTGATGCTACACAGTGCTATAGGTGTAGCGTCAGGTAAGGTAAAACATGAGCATGTCTGATTAAATGCAATGTTTTTATACTTACCTGATGCTACACAGTGCTATAGGTGTAGCGTCAGGTAAGGTAAAACATGAGCATGTCTGATTAAATGCAATGTTTTTATACTTACCTGAACCTACACAGTGCTATAGGTGTAGCGTCAGGTAAGGTAAAACATGAGCATGTCTGATTAAATGCAATGTTTTTATACTTACCTGATGCTACACAGTGCTATAGGTGTAGCGTCAGGTAAGGTAAAACATGAGCATGTCTGATTAAATGCAATGTTTTTATACTTACCTGACGCTACACCAATAGCACTGTGTAGCGTCAGATAAGGTAAAACTTGGTTTATCATGACAGCAGCAATCCACACAGATTATTAAATTTCATGAGTAATGCCTCTTTGTATATAGGTTAGCATTCCCAGAAGTAATCCTACAGTTGGAGGGGTTTCTGGATCAAAAGGGTCTGAACTTACACGGTCTCACTATATCCAAGAATACACATGTAATACGCAGGTCACAAATAGGAAGAAGAATCACATACAACCTTCAGAAAAGAATTATCAAAAAATATTAAATATCAAAACCTACATTATGCATGGTAAACATTTACTATTAACACAAATGTTCCTTCAATCAACATGGTCAAACAGTGTTTCTATTGGTTTATTAATCCGTGTGGCCCACAACAAATGAAAATGATGGTCCTGATGAAATGAGCATCCATATGAAATTTGTGAAACTTTTAATTAAGACAACATACTGCTATTTTAGATACATTTTACATAACTGACTGACCCTGGTATTGTAACAAGCATCACTGACAAATTTAAATCATTTGATTGTTTTGACATGCAGTTGTATTCTATTTTGTAATCTCAAACCCCACATTACTGAAAGTCAAAACCATTGAACCTTGGCTCAAAGCTAAGCTAAAGACAAAATAATAATTTCACTGAACGATGGACACAAATGTTTCTAGTGACCTTCCTATATACACCCTAGAACAAAAAATCCTGTAAATTTACAGCAAGTCAGTGAGTGAGGGAGTGAGTGAGGATAGAATTACCCAGCTTTTAGCCAAATTCCAGCAAAACATCATGACAGGGGACACAAGAAATGGGCTTGACACATTGTACCCATATGGGGAATCGGCATGACAAGCCAATGCTTTAACCGTAAAGTTAACAAAGCATGACACAGAGGATGGCTTACTCAGAAGACTATCGGTGGGACCATATGTTCCGATTGGGCAAGCGTTCTGGAAGCCTGAGGCCTGACCACCCACACAGAAGAACCCTGCAGGACAGTTCTGGCCTTGGTCGACTGTCCCAGCGGGGCAGAACTTGCGTGGAGGGCAGGGGACACAGAAGGTCGTGTCGGTGGCATTCGTCTGATTGTTGTAGGAGCCGCCTGAAAGAGAACATAGGGTTTGATAAGAATTGGTTGTCAGAAAGTGAAAGGTAAGTGGTGGCCACAGAAAGACTTTTATGGGGACAACAGTATTGATCGTTGAAAAATTGGCTAGGAGGGTTTGTGGTGGTCACAGAAACAGACCGAAATCAAGAAATCAGAAGGTTCAAGATGATCAGCAGGACACTCACCTGGACATGGGTACTGTGTCCTCATGGTGGTGCCTTCCAGGCAGTAGTGGCCTTTGGGGCACGGGAACAGAGCGTAGTCCTCTACACCAGGGCCCTCACAGTAGTACCCTGTTGGGAGAAGGGTCATGAGTCTTAACACCATTTGCCAGGAGGGTCATGTTTAACATGTGAAACCAAGCGAGTAACAGTCATGTACTAGTTTCTACAGCAACTACACTCTAACAGTCTTGGCCAAGAAGACTTAAATTCATGACTTCAAAGATACTAAGACATTGTCTCCATATATTTCAGGTAACTAAAAACCGAAATTTGAGGAGAGAGATGTTTCACATGTTTGAATATAAATGATCTGATCCCAGTCCTCATAAAGGCTAAAGAAATTTCATAATATGTTTCGGGTAATAACCATACAAAGTCTTTGAATTTGTATGTTAAGAGCATATTTGAAAAGCAGAATTGTTTCATGTGCCTGTGCAAAGAGTGAGTGAGTGAGTAGGGTTTAACGCCGCTTTTAACAGTATTCCAGTTATATCGCGGCATGTCAGCTTAATGTGGGAGGAAAGCCCGAAGTGTTGCAGGTCTAAGACGTTAAGCACTTCGGTGAAACCCATGAGCACGGTGCTGACAAACCTAGAAACATAATCGGGGCGAACCGGGATTCGAACCCACAATCATAGGTTTCTGGCGTGCCTAAGGGACACAACTCTGCACAGCGAATCGCGGCGCCTTAGACGACTGGGCCACCCGTGCCCCCTCCTGCGCAAAGAACCACACAAATAAATTATCACCTGATGGGCAAGGGACACACGCTTCTTGATTGAAGGATCCGTTGATGGGGTTCCAGGTGCCAGCTGGACATGGGAAGAAATCCTTGCCATCACAGTAGCCTCCCTTAGGGCAGGTGGCATCCCCGGGGCGGGGGTTGGTGGAGGCCACAGGGCAGGTGAAGCCAGCATCACAGTCTGGGCACGATATAGACCCAGGGTTGGAGTAGGTCCCTGGTGGACACTCGGTTCTTCGAGACACTAAATGAATATAGTGAGTGAGTTGAGTTGAGTTTTAACACAGCTCTGACAGTGTTTCAGTTATACCATGGTGTGTCAGTGATGCAGGTCTTGGAGACTTTACCATTTTGGTGAAATACAAAGGAACGATTGGAACAAGCAGCATTGTTCAATTGCTTGAGGATATCACTAACCACGATATCCCTAACAGGAATAGGCTTCACTCTATCAATGTGGACATTAAGAAGACATACACAGACATCATAGCTAGTCTATTTACCATTATTGTAGAACAATATGCTGGATCATAATTTATTTTTAATTGAATGAAAAAACAATGTAACCTCCATAAATGCAAAAAAGTCAATTCTTACAATTAAGTCAACAATAATAACTCCACACACTGCCATGCATCAGCTACACCTTATACATATTGGCAAGATTCATGATATTAATCACTGGGTTGTCTGGTCCAGACTCGATTATTTACAGACTGCCCTCATATAGCTTGAAAATTGCTGAGTGCAGCGTTAAACAACCAACAAACAAAACATTGGCAAGATCATTGGAAGTGACATTGACATTCATAATACTTGCCTACAACTACTTCATCAATATAAAGTACTTACATTCCCTTTCTGGGCAGTAGTATCCGGCCTCGCAGGTTGTGCAGTTGGTGGTTGCACCAGCGCTGTAGGTGCCCACGTCACACAGGATGGGTCCCTCGTCTCGTGTAGGGCAGCGGTAGCCCTCGTCACACACGGTGCAGTCCTTGGCATTTCCTAGCGAGTAGTAGCCAGGCTGACACTCCGTTCTGGTGATCGAGATATGACACAGTTTAGTTATTTTTACTTCGCTACATTTCCTAACTTTTAGACTAAACTGTATTAATTTGCTTGAAGACAAAAATTGAAAAAAGCCATTGTACTAACAATGTGGAAACTCCACTTTATACACTATGCATTCCCTACCTTCCAAATTGATGTGTGAAAGCATTGAATAAAATGTTTTTCTATCATAAACTATAACAATAATGATTCTATCTTATGAACTAAGACCATATCTCTGTGAAATCTGATCCAATAATTCTCACTGTGTATTCCGTATCATTTATCATGTTTAGATACCAATAAAATATCCGAACATCATACGAAAGGAATGATAGGTGTCTGTTATTAAATCATGCTGTGTACGTAAGTTCAGATAACATTAGCATGGACACTTAATTGCTTACTACTTAATATTATAACACTAAAATCAACTCAAAATGATGCCATGACAACTACTTACTCTGTACCAGTGGCAGGATCAGGGCACTCGTATCCCGCCCTACAGCTAGTGCAGGAGGTCTGATTACCCACGGAGTACGTCCCATCGTTACACTTGGTCTCTATGTCATCTGTCGTCACTGGACACGCACTGACAGCAGGAGTACATTGGGTCACATTGCAATCACAAAATGGGCCAAAACAAATTGCACACCAAAAATGGAAAACTAATAACAAAAACTTGAACATTTCAATTCCTGCTTCACAAGTACAAAATGGAAATATCAGTAAATTTCGGTTTTGACACCTAGTTTCAGAATAATGTATCCCACTACTGCAATTATCATTCACCATATAAATCATAAGAACTCAATCTAGAAGAATTTGAAACTTTCAAAGTTTTTTTTCTTGAAACTGACAATGTCATTCTAAACAAAGCTATGGGTATGGTGCTTACATCCCAGTCACAATCAGAGTGAATGTTACTATTCTTATGTCACATGTTACTTATCTCTGGTGAAAACGCCACAAGCATTGCTAGGTTGCTGTCGGACAAAACCGAATCACGATGAACATTAATATTTTTGTTACAGATTATTGAAATTGACATGACAAAAGCAGCAGTACTCACAATCCAGCCTTGCACTCTGTGCACGCCGTCTGCTCGCCCTTGGAGTAGGTTCCCTTGGGGCACTCAGTGATGTCGTCTGTGTCAGTCCTGGGACAGGCGTACCCTGCAGGACACTTGGTACACTTTATGGACCCCTCTATGGAGTACGACCCTGGCGCACAATCCTCAATGTTGGTTCCATCTGCCTTCGGACATTTTTTCCCGGCTGGACAAACAGTGCATGATGTCTGGTTCCCCTCGGAGTAGGTGCCGCTTGGGCAGTCGTGTTCGATGGCTTCACTGGAAGCAGTCTCAAAACGTCATTGCAAGACAGGAGTCAACAGAATTTTTAAAATTTTATGCTAAAACATCAAATACAATTTCAGGTTATAAGTGACCTTTTACCCAATAAAGATCCAGGTAAGAATTGGTTTTCATGCTTGTGATAAGAGGCAACTAATGGTATCTAGTGGTCAGGGTCGCCGACATGGTCGATCTTCCCTCCTTGCATATTGAACATAGGGAACTATATAATAGTATCCTAATGAGACAAAGTAGAAGATAAGCATGAGGAGAGGGAGTGAGTGAGTTGGGTTTAACGCCGCTTTTAACATTATTCCAGTTATATCATGGCGTGTCAGCTTAATGTGGGAGGAAAGCCCGAAGTGATGCAGGTCTCAGACGTTTACCACTTCGGTGAAACCCACGAGCACGGGTATGGTGCTGACAAACCTAGAAACATAATCGGGGCGAACCGGGATTCGAACCCACAATCATAGGTTTCTGGCGTGCCTAAGGGACGCAACTCTGCACAGCGAATCGCGGCGCCTTAGACGACTGGGCCACCCGTGCCCCCCATGAGGAGAGAGATGGTTATGACACTTATTAAACAGTGTTATAGTTATATGAAAACATATCAGCTTATATGGGAGGAAAGCCAGCGACACAGGTCGTAGAAATTTGCCACTTTGGGGTAACCATTGATGGGGATGGTGCTGAAAACCCATGGAGAGGGACAAATCTGGGACTCAAACCCATGACTAAGGGACACAACTCTTCATTGGAACTTAAATTGTTATGAGCCACATGGTAGAGATGAAGAGTGGCTGACTCACGTTGTGGAGGGGCAGTACTTGGACAGGGGACACTTAGTGCAGTTGACTGATCCTGCGATGGAGTAGTAACCAGCTTCACAGTCATAGTTGGCGGTCATATCTCCCAGATTCGGACATGCCTTTCCTCGCGCACACTGGGTGCAGTCTGTTGACCCGGGGTCACTGATGTATCCTGGGAACAGGAAGTACAAGCATGTTTAGAACACTGAGAGGAAGGTCGAAAGTCATGCTTGATGTTTCTTGCCAAATAGTATAAGACATGATGTAGAATCCTCTGCAGACATTAAACAACATTTTGCTCTTGTTTATATACAGAATGCTTTCGTATAATGTTATAAGGTAAATAAATAGGTAAAGTAGCTTTACATCATCCCAAAAGAAAGTCCCCTTTCTATTTCAGGAAATCATTCCATCAGTTTAAAACTTTTAGCATCTCTTGTCTCCTAATATTGTTCAGTGAGTGAGTAAATTTGGTGTTACGCCATTTTTAGCAATATTCCAGCAATATCACGGCAGGGGACACCAGAAATGGGCTTCACACATTGTACCCATGTCGGAAATTGAACCCGGGTCCTCGGCGTGATGAGCAAATGCCTCAACCATTAGGCTACCCAACTGCCCCTAATTTTGTTCAGAGGCTGAAAGGAATGGAGTATTTGTAGCACATAAATGAGCATTTCTGATTAAATGCAACCTATGGCACTGTGTAGCGTCAGGTAAGGTAAAACATATAATCTACCACTCTGACAATGTTAATAAAATAATGTCCTGGCAATGATGAAAGAGGACGTACCGTCGTTACACTTGGTGGGCATGTCTGTTGTTGTGGGGCACATGTAGCCCCCGGGGCACTGCTGGCAGACAGAGGACGATGCGTTCAGGTTGTACGAGCCCTGGGTGCAGGCAGTCGGTGCAGTCATCTTATCCAGGCACTCAAAGCCTGGTGAACAAACAAGACATAATACACTAGAAGGTTGCTGTAACTAATCAACAAATATCTGAATTACATTCCACAGAACTCCACCATTTGTATGATTTTGTATATGCTTAAAATAGATTATCATCTACGGGGAATTGCAACGAATTGTACCTATGAATGTTTTCAACAGGGATGTCAAGATACAATATAATTAAATATGTTAGCAAATCCCCAGTTTGCGAAATAACTTACATGTGTGTATGAAATTGAATAAATTAAATATGAATACATGGGTCCATGTGTGAAACAATATGGAATTAAAATATGAATTGCTACGGGATTAAAATATGAACTGACACAAGTATTTGTTTGTTTGTCTGTTGTTTAACACTGCACTCAGCGATATTCAAGCTATGTATGACAGCAGTCTGTAAATACTCAAGTCTGCACCAGACAATCCAGTGATTGACATCATGAGCATTGATCCACATAATTGGGATACAAGTAAGTGTGAATCGCGAATCACATTGTCTGAGAATATTATCGATACACCAATGCATTGTTGAATCATGAAATCCCAAGTTTTCAAAGAATCTTTTCAAAGAACTATTCACCAATACAGATATGAAAAATAAAGAAGTATCTCCATGATATCTATTCTGTTAAACAAACATGTTATTTGGTTATGTGTTAAATTCTACCTCCGAGTTCTCGGAAACACTAAACTAAAGTCACTGCCTTATGTAAAAATCTTCTCAATATTGACTGATATAGTTTAAAAAGAAAAGAATATTCCAAATTGCCATTGCTGCCTGTTCTACAACCAGACTAGCAGAGGGACCGTCGAAGGTACCAGCAGTCAGTACTGTAGAACTATGATATTATGATTTGGTTGGTTGTTTTGTTGTTTAACGCCACACTCAGCAATATTCCAGCCATATAACGGCGGTCTGTAAATAATCGAGTCTGGACCAGACAATCCAGTGAATAATATCATGAGCATCGATCCACGCAATTGGGATCGATGACATGCATCAACCAAGTCAGCGAGCCTGACCACCCGATCCTGTTAGTCGCCTTTTACGACAAGCATAGTCACCTTTTACGGCAAGCATGGGTTGCTGAAGACCTATTCTACCCCGGAATCTTCACGGGTCTATGACATTATGAAGCAATGAATGATCCCTTATTTCCAAACCTGGTGGGCAGGGTGTACAGGAAGTTGCTGTTCCAAGAGAGTAAGTCCCATCAGCACAGTCGGTGGCGACACTTGTGGAGCACCACTTCCCTGCAGGACACTGAGTACAGGAGCCAGCTCCAACATCGGCGAAAAATCCCTGTGAACATGGGATCTCACCGGACGAACCCTCGGGGCAGTAGTTCCCAGCTGTACACTGGTCGCAGGTCATGGCTGAAACAAAGTTCATTCAGATATGGATGGCACCACACCAGGAAGAGTAAATAAAACTAAAAGCCACTTTTAGCAATATTCCAGCAATAACATGGCTGGAGTCATGATGGGGTACAAATAAACTTACGTAATGTGGGGAATCAAGCCCATTTGTGATGCATCAAGATCAAAGGCTATACTTACTGTCCCTCCTGCCCCAGTAACTTTATCTCAAACAAGCATGAAATACTTACATCCCCCACCAATATGACATGTCTGGTTGTGTGCAGGGCAGGAAATATTGTACGGTTTTCAAGATCTGCTCCGGAAACGAGCACTTCTGTCATTTTCAGTCTTAAGTCAAAGTCGTTGACATGGAAACTCGATTAATAAATTTTACAAAAATCACAAACTATCAAAAGGCACCAGTTCACCACTAGACCTATCTCTGTGCCACAATTGGTTAGATATCTCTGATGGTTTTTGAGTTCTGCTTCGGAAAAGAAACGTGAACCCATTCCACTTCTTGGCAGAAGAAATGAACCATTTCAAAACAGCTAAGATATTGTGACCTCATGTGACATAAAGAAACTAATGTCATTCATGCAGACAGTTTAGAAAACTCTGCATGGACATTCTATTTCAATCAACTATATTCCAAAGAGCATCTATCACTTGTATTTGACCATGTACTGGTGCCTAGCTGGTGTTCATAGCAGGACATTTAACAGTGATATCATTTGTCCCACTCAGTTGTTGATCACTTGCTTCATACAGGTACCAAAATGTCACATTGAAAGAATAACGAAGATAAAATTCATGTCATCATTGGTATACAGCTTCTAAAATGCCACATAAACGTAACCTCCCTCAAGATTTCCTGGAATGTCACTACCAACCCTGTTGGTATATATACCAAATGGCTTCACATGCTACAAAGCCAATACTTACTGGCTGCAGGGCTGAAGGTTCCAGCGGCACACTTGACAGGGGTATCTGCAGCCGAAGCACACCCATACCCTGCTGGACACTGTAGGCACTGCCGGACACCCTCAGCAGAGTAGTGATCTGCAACAAACCAGCAGTCACAGTCATGATATAATTGCTTGGGCAACAACAATATGCTTATGTCATTTGGTGGTGTTGCCTGTTTCTGTCACAAACCATTTATTTGTTAATGGTGTCAGGAGATGCTTCCATACAATTTTGTTCTGGTGTTCATGGCTTGTCCTTAGACCTGAGTCCCCAACCTGAGCCTATATATTTGTGTGGTACTGTGATGCTTCAAAACAAAATTGTTTTGTTTTTATAGCTTGCACTAAAAACTGGTTAAAAATCAAATGTTTCAATTAAAAAGCATTTTACATCATGTATTCTTATTTTAAACTTATATATTAAGCATATATTTGACACTAATATTTGTAAATATTTTAATAAATCCAATATTCAAATATAAATCTACCTAGAGAAACATCAACAATAATACAGTAGTAAAAGACCATGAGTCGTGCACATCCCACCCAGTAACGGTGTGCACCCATTGATACAAACACTGACCTGATTCCACCTCGTACATTAATCTTGGGTGTTTGTTACATAAGTCCTGCAAACAATTACTAGATATAACTGGAAATCAATTACATTGACACCAATGTGTAATTTGTAACTGATACATGAATTGTTTGATCCAATCTCTTGATTAGTTGATTTATGTCAACATGCAGTGCATGCTATCGCATTGTTATATAGCTATCAATAATATATCAATGAACTGGGACCACTGAGGAATCAATATGACTTGTGTGTGCAGGATTTCCTGGAATATACCGGATCCATTCAGGCCCTTTATTTGGTTATAGACAAATGATTTACATTGTTTTTCAAGATGTGATGGCATAAATATGATAAAGAAATGTATTTTAATATTTTATTATCTTAAATTTTCTAAAGACCTTTTAGATTGGGAAGGTAAACAAAGAATTTTCAAAACTGTTAAGCTACATTTTTAAATATTTTATTATCTTTGCCTTTTCTAACACATCAAATATTGTGACTGGGCAAATACAAATACATTTAAACTGTTTCATTTTTTTTTTTGTTCGAGGCTTTTTGATCCAAAGGTCTAAAATGTCACTTAAGGTATACATCAAAATTGGTAAACTGAAAAATATACAAAACACTATATTGGCATTGTGCATTAACCTTATTTTGGTCACAACTGTATTTTGCTTTGTCAGAATTTTACGAGATACAAATATTTCTTTCAGGCTAAAATAATGACCAAATTTCTACTTAGGCTAAAAACAACCCCCAAACCACCTTCCCGTAAAATGAACCAATAATGTTGATTCATAAACTAACAATTTTTAATGTGGACAACTTTCTTAAATTTGGGGTACTTTACGATGTTTAAATTGACATAATTATTTAAACTACAATCCACTTTTTTTTTTATGAAACGACAGCCCAGTCAGTTCATTTAAGGTACTTATTGCTCTTATTGGTCTTATGCTCTTTTTAGCAAAATTGTACCCATGTGGTGATCCTAAAACATGATATATACCTCAATATGCATAGTATTTATTTTAAATAACACCTTTATACATGAATAATAGCTTGTCAAATCCTCATATTTATCACATCAAAGGTTTTAATTACTAGTCTATCTTACAGATCCCCGAGCTTATATTAATTAAAATAATCACCCACATACAATTCTCATATCCTTCTCAACCAGATCAGCCTATATCTGTACCCAAATTAATGAAACCTAAAGAATTCACTTAACCAAATGCATAACATTATTTCAGGGACTATGTGAGTGACAGATTCCGCGTGATAGGACATTTGTACCTGCTTGACAGGCTTTGGGAGCTTCCGTGGTGGTGGGGCAGTAACTTCCTGCGGGGCAGCGCGTGCAGGCACCGTCGCCTTCCAGAGAGTAGTAGCCTGCGGAGCATGACACTGGTGATGACCTGCCAATAATGGTATAGTCAGTTAATGGACACTTCCTGTGCAGAAGTTATCAGAAAGTATTACAGGAGATGATGGTGAAATGGTGAGGTGAAGTGAAATGGGGTTTAACATCGTGTCCAAGATTATTGCACTTATATAGCAACATGCATGTACGTGTGTGTGTTTGTGTGGCTGCTTGTACTAGTCCGGACTGATGCCGATTTATAGTGCTAGCTCACTGAGATACCATGCCGCAGTTTAACATGAATACCCCACTCAGACACAGTATACTGACTCCGAGCCGACCAGTCCTTGTTTTAGCCCCTTAATGCTAAGCGCCAGACAGGGTAACAACAAGTACCATCTTTTAACGTCTTTTGGTATGACGCGGCCGGGGATCGAACCCCTGCCAGGTGACACACTGCCACGGAGGCGGTTGATGGTACTGATGAAGATTTTCATTCCCTTTTTTCTCTGTTGGATACGACGGGTAGTCGTAAAGAGCAGGTACTGGGACTGTGAGCTGACCAGTCCTTGTTTCCGCCCCTTAATGCTGAGTGCTAGGCAGAGTAACATCAAGAACCATCTTTTGATGTCTTTTGTTATGACGCGGCCAGCGTTTGAACCCCGGAGTCTCCTAAAGGAACATGGCCATTCAGAATATATTGGGTTTTAAACACAGCCACCATTGTGGTCACCCAATCTCCATATTAGTTTTTGTCTATCAAGACCTTGAACCCACATAGAGTCTGTCAGGGAAATACGGCGATATTTCCCACATCTCCAATGGTTATACAAGCTTGTTCATACTGAACAAATAAAACGTCAACAGAGGCTTGTTATAGTGTAATGTTGGACCATACATTTTGTCTGCCTTAATTTCTTATAAATTCATAAGAAACTTACACTGGATTTGTGCATTTCTTCCCGGCAGGACAAAGTTCACAGGTCCCTTTGTTGGAGTCAGGAACCTTATCTGAAAATTAAAATACAATATGTGCAGAAAACTGTCAGAAATATTTAACAGTATCCATGAAACCAGTGTTGGCCATAATGGAAATTTGGGAAGACTTGTACTATTCAAAAGAAGATTTCTTCCTTTGATAAAGTAGACTGATGTTTTCACTGCAAAAAAGCTAAGGTCCTTGACCTTTAATACTAATACCTCATACACACACACACACCCACCAATACTATGTCACAAGTACTTGTTAATCAACTGTAAACAAATAATTCATCAGTGAAATGGCCTGACATTTGATATGAATGAAACATAAGGAAAGAGATGAGTGTCATTGAACACCTGCGTTGTACAGTCACGTACGTTCATACCACTCGGGGCCCTTTACCACTCAGCAATCACAGAGCTAAGCGAGGTGAGGTAAAATGGGGTTTTACATCACGTTCAAGCTTATTGCACTTATATAGTGATGTGCATGCATGTGCATGCATGCGTATACTAGTGCTTGTCGTAAAAGGCGATTATGCTTATTATAAGAGGTGACTAACGGGATTGGGTGGTCAGGCTCGCTGACTTGGTTGATGCATATTAGAGCTAAGACAATCATAATCACAGATTAATATTATCATAATATACATAATAAAAAAGGGCTATAGATCGCCAGCAGCTGAAGGTCGATCACCAAGCTAGGGTCACACTCACCTGCATCACATATTGTACAACTGGCACTGCCTTGTGGAGCTATGTACCCTGGGTCACAATCTTGGGGCACTGAGGTGGCATTGGGGCACATCTGACCTTCGGGGCATGGGGAGCATGAACTCAGACCTGGAAATAATAAGATTTCAAGTTTTCATGAACTTCTGAGAAGAAGAAAGAAGACACTTTCACTTTTCTGTTGTACTTGTGATTGAACAGCTGAGAAATAAATGACATATATTTCCACACACAGGTACTGGCAGTTCATTAAACAAGTATTACTTTCATGTTTAACATCTCCAAGGAATAACCTTTCCCAACATTTCCATAACGCGGAGTTGTTATAAATGATAAATATAATGAACATAGAAGAAAAATAAATACAGTAAACTACGGTTATGACAAACTCAAAGGGACCACTAATTTTAGTTTGTTATAACTGAGTTCGTTATACGCATATATACAGCATAACTACAGCAAATTTTAGGGACAAAAAGGTAAGTTCGTTATATCCGTCTGTTCGTTATAAGCGTGTCCGTTATAAACGTAGTTTACATTACATGCAGTGAAACCTCTTTACGAAACCATTGCAAATGTATCTTGTCCATAGTGGGAGACAAGGGGTTTGACTATATGCGGGAATATTTGAAATTACAAATCATTTATCACAAAATTTACACTCAGATTGAACAAATTTATCATCCCCAGCTATGTTCACCTGGTATGCTATGCAGTCATCGATTGTGATTTTATATACAAGATGGCAATTCTCCCTGAAACTTGTACTGTGTGCAGAGGGGTTGCTATAATTCTCAAGTGAGCATTATACTCCAGAAAAATAGGTGCTGCAAACAAGGACAACCTGGACCATGAGGTAAAAACAAATCATAAATAAAGTAGTCAGCAACTAGTGAGTGAGTGAGTGAGTTGGGTTTAACACTGCTTTTAACAGTATTCCAGTTACGTATATCGTGGCGTGTCAGCTTAATGTGGGAGGAAAGCCCGAAGTGATGCAGGTCTCAGATGCTTACCACTTCGGTGAAACCCACGACCAAGGTTATGGTGCTGACAAACCTAGAAACATAATCGGGGCGAACCGAGATTCGAACCCACAATCATAAGTTTCTGGCGTGCCCAAGGGACGCAACTCTGCACAGCGAATCACGGCACCTCAGACGACTGGGCCACCCTTTCTCCCAGTCAGCAACAAGAGTTTGGACGAAGTTTCACAGCATTTGGATTTTACAACATCATGTACCAATTCTTTATAATATTTCCATTTTGTCTAGTTCTTCAACAGATATAAGAAAATGACAGGAATATGCAACAAGGAACCTGATTGGAAGACGGACTGACCTGCTGAGGCTGCGTACTGCCCAGGGGCACATGGATGACATGCCCCCTCACCATTTGCACTGTAGAACCCTGCCATGCAGGAAACAGGTGCCCCCCGACTGGGGCACTCCTTTCCCGCGGGGCACTTCTGACACGATGTCCGACCTGAAACAAGACACATCCCATACACATCAATAAAAACATGTCCTCACAAAAGTTTATTCTCCTTTGAACTGACAAAATTGATAATTTCGTGAGTGACATCAGATCAAGAGCACATGATGGGATGAGAAAAAACATTTCTTACTCACTCAGTGTGAACAATCATGCAATTCCACTTGATAATTATTGTGATAATTATGGTATTTCATCATTAATTATATGCAATATTCACATCAAATTCCAAAATTCATTACACAAACTCATGCATGTGAAACCACTTTCAAAAGTATTTTATTCTAAATCGAACTCAGTGGAATTCTCTCTATAATGTTTAATTAAAGTCTGGTATGCAACCCTGATACATGTACACGGATTCTAGCTGTGTCTCAAGGGCCCCATACAGCCCAATACACTTCAGACAGGGACAAAAGGATATAAGGTGATGAAGTTTTGAAGATGATTTTCAAATGAATGCTATGATTAATTTTTAGATTTCTTGACTTCAGAGTGCGATGGTTTTCTGTATCAACTTGAAATTTATCAGATTAATAAAAAACCCATTTGTCTTAAAGTTCAACATAAGACTATGGATTCCATAGTAGTGTTTTTCGTTTACTGCTGTTACTGAATCAAACCCAGGCCTACAAGGCTACCCTGACAACCAAGTATCATAACATATATATATAGCAACGTGTATGCACATGTGTGTGTGTTGCTGCTTGTACTAGTCTGGGCTAATGCTGATTTTATAGCGCTAGCCCATTGAGATACCATGCCAGAGTTTAACATGAATACCCCACTCAGACACAGTATAATGACTTCGAGCCGACCAGTCCTTGTTGTAGCCGCTTGAAGCCGGGCATCAGACAGGGAAACACCAAGTAGCATCTTTTAGCATCTTTTGGTGTAACACGGCCAGGGATCAAACCCACAACCTTCCTCTTTCTGGGCAGATGCTCTATCCACTAGATCATGTAGTCGGTGAGTCTTAATTCAAACCAATGACCAGTGGAATCAGAGAAGTGAAAGTGACAGCTCAACCCAGTACTAAGTTCCTTGGTACATGTCCCCTTTTGATACAAAATAGTCTTGTTTGGGTTTCTTTTGAATATTTCTTAAAGCTGAGTATTTTACTTGACGAACCTGTTGTTGATGTATAGTCGCCATCATCACATGGAACAGGGCCCTGGTCTTTAGCAACACACTTTGATCCGATTGGACACGGTGTGCAGTCTGTGCTACCCCCTAGTGAGTACTGTCCATTGCCGCAGTCTGCTGGGGTTGAGGTCTTGATCGTGGGGCAGGACTTTCCAGCAGGGCAGGACTTACAGCTTGTTGAACCAGCAACGTCTGTGTACTTCCCTTGAGGACAGTCCTACATGAAGAGGGGCAGAGGGGAGGAATGTTAGGAAGCAGCATGAACATACCTGCACAGGTAAATCATGAGAAAGAGAGAAATGTGCCAATTGGATGAGGAAGGATAAGTACAGGTGCTTTGGGGGCCACTGGGCAATGCTGGAAAATTTGAAATTACATATTGGAAAATTAGTATGAAAGTTTATGGGACCTTTTCATTGGAGTGAGTGAGATGGGTTTAACGCCGCTTTTAACAGTATTCCAGTTATATCATGGCGTGTCAGCTCAATGTGGGAGGAAAGCCCCAAGTGATGCAGGTCTCAGACGTTTACCACTTTGGTGAAACCCATGAGCACAGGTATGGTGCTGACAAACCTAGAAACATAATCGGGGCGAACCGGGATTCGAACCCACAATCATAGGTTTCTGGCCTGCCCAAGGGACGCAACTCTGCACAGCAAATCGCGGCGCCTTAGACGACTGGGCCACCCGTGACCCCCCCTTTTCATGTCACTGGTAAAGGGCTTTTCATGCTCATCTTAAACATGCAAGTTTTGGTCTCCATCAGGAAGAGGCTAAGATGAGAAAAGAGGTTGATTTAATAAAACTAGGAGCCAGTCCATGACTGAAGATGATTTTTTACTATCCATTTTTTTTTTTACCTTTATCATTTATAAAACCATCTTTTTGAGACATTTTAGCCTTACTACCACATTCCCTGTGGTGTCAAAAACAAGTGTTGTATCCCAAAGAAAACAAAACCCAAAAGATGACTGAGGGATTTGTTAACTCCTCCGCAGTACCTGACATTCGCTTTCTGCTGTCTTTCCTGTGCCATCGTTGAATGTTCCAGCAGGACACCCCTTGGCCGTACTACTCCCTGCTGGGCAGCTGGAAAGTGGAAGGATACCATGTAAAGGTGGAAAAAGTAGTTCTGGTCAAATGCATTGGTTTGAAGACATGCTAAGCTTGAACAGAAAGCTGGAACGCAACTTGCTTTGCGAAAAAAATCAAAAGTATGACATGGCACGTGTTGTCTGAGCACATGAAAAGCGAGGTAAATCGGACTTACTTGGGTTAAGTGAGGTTGGCATGATATGTTGTCGTGATAGGATGTACATTTAACAATTCTGTTTTATAGCTCATCAAAATGAGGAAGTAGTAGAACACGTTAGTTAAAATAGGCTGTCGCAATAGGACGCAAAAATGCTTGCCAAAATTGAGCTTGATTGAATTGTTGAAAGCAATAGATTTTGAGAATCATGTTTAGTTAATTTTGTCACATTTACATTTATTCATCTTTTTAAGAAGAGATTCACGTTTAGTTCTCTCCATTTAGGACCTGAATTAATTAAATCATCAATATCAAGCGAGTCACGTTTAGTTCCCTGCATACAACTATGGGGGAATTTGAATTTAGGTAATAGTTTATATTCCTCTGCGCAACATGCATAGTACAGAATTTGGCTACTTGAAACATCAAAGAAAGACTACAGAAGCACTTGTTGTTCTAATGCGGCACCTAGTGAGATCAAAGACACCTACTATTAATTTTTAAAGAACTGACATGAACCTTTCCTAGCCTGAAGGCCAAACTGTCCAAACGTGTCGTTCCAGTGATCAGTTACACAGGCTGGCCACTCAAAAGGGAACGCTGTATACTGCGTGAAACTCACATTAAAAAATTATTCTATGGTAAAGACCACTTTGGACGCTTTAGCAGACAAAACCAAGAACACCTTTATAGAACCACAAAAAATGTTCTGATCGAATTGTAAAACAAGATATAATCTTTTCATCAAAGTATTTATTTTAGAGAAAAGAGCAAACAATATGAAATGATATTCTATTTTTCATAATAGAATCGAAGTAATGTTTGTAGAACACATATGTGTAAAATAATGTACTTCATAACCAGAGCTATATGAATCAAACATATCATGGATATGAAGTTAATGTCTCGTTGCTCGCCAGTGATGTTTTGCCAAATGAAATAAGAAAACTTCAGATACGCCTCTATGTCACAATATACATACTAAACTAAATATACTAAGTACCAAGACAATAAAACAAAAGGCCAGGCCTCATTAACTGCACCAGTGACATGTTCCCCTCGCTAAACCTGCATACCGTATTCGACGTAATAAGCCCCCCACTCTAATAAGCGCACACAGCGATATTTGCTGATATATTGGCAAGTGAACAATCCCAATTAGCACCCCTTCCGATTGATCAATGTACACAAGACTTCTTCATTCGCATATAACATGCACTCATGTGTTAAATGCATCCTTAATTATGGGCAATTAAATTCTGGAAAAATATATCTGTCGTATATAAACATTTCAGGCTGTCAGCATAAACCACAAAATTTATCTTTCAACTCAGTTTTTCTCACCAAAATAATATTGTCATAAGAGCCCCTATTTTTAATTTTGAGAGCGCCCTGGGCGCATATTACGTTAAATACGGTATACATTATGTACCGAGCCACATAACACCATTAAGTAAAATAACAAAGAAAAAGACTTAGTTAACATTGAAGATTTATGGGGGCATAATCACTGTTGATTTATTAGGACTGCCACCTGGCTGGAAAGACACATACAGCGACATAATGTAGGATTGACTTGTTGAGGGATGAAGGCATGCATATGTCCATTAACTAAGTGTTGACAGGTAAAATCAATATGATATGTCTTGTGATCTGAGGAGACTTGGAGGGGAGCCATTGGAAAATCTATCATCAGTTCTGAAATAACACCAAGACTGCTCCGATCGATAGGGTGAGGTGAGGCGAAATGGGGTTTAATGCTGAATTCAAACTTGTAATAGTCCGGACTAATGCCGATTTTATAGAGCTAGTCCACTGAAATACCATGCCGCAGTGTAACATGAATACCCCACTCAGACACAGAACACAGACTCCCAGCCGACCAGTCCTTGTTTTAGCCCCTTAATGCCAAGCACCAGACAGGGTAACATTACTAACAAGTGTCATCTTTTAAAGTTTTTTGTATCGAACCCTCGACCTTCCACTCTCCAAACAGATGCTCTACTACTAGACCACGGAGGTGGTCCTGACTGGAATATGTAACTGTGGCAACATTGGAGAATCAGATCTAAGGTTGATAGATCGTTCAGATGGGTTATAAGGAGGTATAAAATAGATGATACTCTAACTAGTACCGAACTTGATAGACAGGGTATTGGGAGATGGGTAACAGAAAGATCAGTTCTGAAGTAACAACAGTCAATACAAGTCAATACACTGCTTCCAGGATAGCAGATCTGGGTCGGCCCCAATGGATTTAGTCCACCCTTGAGAATACATTTACATCACAGCATTGCACATAGTATATCTGCTAGTTCCACACCAACAGGGCTCTAACAGGTGGAGGACTGACAGGGTGTGATGTATAACAGGCTTGTGCTTCCTCACCAACAAACATGCCCAAGCTAGACCAGACAAACTCATAATGCTACTCTTTTTAATGAATTAGATATATTATCAAAGAAAATGTGATGATACACACAGACTGATTTCCAAAGTAAGAATTTCAAAGCCTTTGACTATATCAACAATATGAGATTCGAACATGGATGCCTTTAGTATTAACATGATTAAGACATTCTCCCATTTATGACTTTTCGAAGGTAAGTCAAGTTGTGATGAAACGGCTGCTTCAAGCTCTCAGTTAAAAATGGTTGAACTTGTCCATCATTATATAGTTGTGTGAATGTCAATGTAATGCATTGTTTAACAATAAACTGACTTTCCAAACAGTTTGTGTTGATCAACAATATTTATGCTATTTACAATAGAGTGAGTGAGTTGTGTTTGATGCTGCTTGAACAGTACTTCAGTCATATCTGGGCATGTCAGCTTAGCCTGGGAGGAAACCCTGAAGTGATGCAAGTCCTAGACGTTTACCACTTTGGTGAAACCCACGAGCATGGGTATGGTGCTGACAAACCTAGAAATAATCCAGGCAAATCGGATTTGAACCCACAACCATAGGTTCCTGGCATGTGCAAGTGCACAGCGAAGACATCATCCTGAGATGATTGGGCCACCTGTGTCCCCATTCACAATAAATGAAGCATTCTTGGTCATCATAAATTACTATTCCATGACCTCTGAGGTGATACCTAATTACACATATTGACAGTGCCAAGGGCAGGTAAATAAACCTCCTCTCCAGGACAATAACTCGGTATATACAGTATTCTAGTGTTACACTGATGTTTCATGGTCCAGGGGATTTATTGAGTTCTTTCCTGAACTAGGTAAATGGCTGAAGGCAAACAAACTAGAAATTGTTATGCATGTTATGAATATATGGTCAAACTATTCAATTTGTAAAACTGATTTATATTACATAACATCAATAAAAGACCAATCCTGGGTTCAAAATGTCTTGCTTCAGAGTGCCATTGGCACAGTGAAAATAGGCTCCTGGTGCCTGGAGGAACAGTTGAAAATCACATTTGAAAAAATACAACTATAAAAACTGTGATGATGTGTATTATGCCAAGCCTGAGATAAATGCCTTTTGCAAAAGAAATCTGGACAAAAGTGAAACGAACACACAAACATGCTTAACAACTAGTATGATTTGTAATCTAAACCTGTGGATTCAGAAATTTAATATGTTGTTATATATCTTGAAATATAAGATAGCTATGTGATTTATCGCAAAGAAAATGAAGAACATGGTATATTTCAGAATAAAACATTGTTCTATCATGATGTCATTACATGAGATTCAAACATGCGATTACAACCGCAGGTTGAAGTCGTTATTTTTAAGAGAGAACTGTGTGGTGAGTTGTTCCCCATGGACGTAGCTGGGCAACACAAAAAAACACCATGGCCAATGATTGTATTCAAAAGTGGCCGAGATATGGCATTGTGTATTAGGGGAAAAGGTACAAATAATTGCTTAAAAATTGCGAGAATATCCGTGAAATACCAAACCAAGCCCCCCTTGTTCATAAAACAGACTTGTTCAACATTGCCCATGTCTGATTGTATTCAGGGAGTCATTAATTAAATACAGGCAAATATTTTTAAAGCGTGCAGTTTGTACTAACATCCTAAGGAGGCTGTATATAATGTTGAAATCTCACATAAGCATGAAAAGAAATATATGACTTGTGGTAGTTGTTTATCGTACAATAAAACACTGCAGGAAGAATAAACCACTCTGCGCCTCTCATGATTTATTCTCCCTGCAGTGTTTTATTGTACGATAAACAACTCCCACTCTATTTCTTAGGTAAAAGGCAGAAAACTTTCTAAATCATAACTGCTTATTACCTAGCTCAAGGTGAAATGAAGATGAATCAAAAGTATTCTTGTTGGCACACTTAAATTCCATAGAACAGAACTCAACATTCTTTGAGTGGCCTGCAGCACATTATCAAGAACATACATTTCTATCCTTTCCTATTACCAGAATGACCCAATTCACAGCTGCCTTACACCTGTAATGCCTAATGTCCTCAGATCTTTCTTTAGAGATAGCGAGAACTAAGATCTGATTTTAATGAGATTGTCAATAAACACTACTACTAATAGGTACTGATGAAAACAGGCTCATTAGTATCTCTTCTTTGTCAGCCAAGGACCTGACTGATCCAGCTATGACACTGTGATATTGCTAGAGCTGTAACATTTTGTTTGTTTGTTGTCTAACACTGCACTTAGCAATATTCCTGCTATATGATGGCAGTCTGTAAATAATCATGTCGCGACCAGACAATCCAATGATTGATATCATGAGCATCAGTCTACGCAATTGGGATACGATGATCAACCAAGTCAGCAAACCTGACCACCCGATCCCGTTAGTTGCCTCTTACGACAAGCATAGTCACCTTTTAGGCGAGCATGGGTTGATGAAGACCTATTTTAGCCCGGATCTTCACAGGTGTGGAGCTGTAACCCTTGTAAAAGTGTGACAATAGAGTAAAGTGTACGTACTACGACCCCTGCGGACAGGTTACGCATGTTCCCGAGTCGAAATACTGTCCTGCTGCACAGCTGGCTGCGCATTCTGTCGGACAATTACATGCTCCTGAAACATACAAGACATGGTGAGAAAACAGTATTGGTGCATTACATTAAACAGGTCAAGATCTAAACATGTCACTTACAATACTACCGTATATCGCTGTGTATAAGACGAGTTTTTCGTACCTAAAATGAGGGGGCTGAGAAGGGGGGTCGTCTTATACACGGAGTCGAAGATCTCACATAATGTAGCTGACAATATTTGGATACTTCCTGTATTATGTGGAGCTTTGCATTCTTCCTCAAGAAATACATCATGGGCTTATACATAGGGAATAGGGCCATGGGCTTTTACATGAATTATTAAGGACATTGGCTTACACATGGGAAAATGAGCCAATGGGCTTACACAAGGGAAATGGACCCATGGGCTTACAAATGGGGAAATAAAGCCATGGGTTTATATATGGAGAAATAGTCATGGGATTACATAGAGAAAAAGGGCCATAGGCATATACCAGGGAAGTTGTCATTAGCTTATACATGGGGGAACAGAGACATACATATCATGACGTGGAACCATTAATGGATCAACATGTTCAAAGCCAGACTCTAAAAAGATATGATCGTGCTGAACATGTTGATGCATATAAAATAAAAACTGAAACACATTATTTCTTAACATGCTTAACATTATTAAATATATGTATTCATAAAGTACCAAACATTATCTGAACTTGCAATAGACAGAGAATGTAACCATGCAGAAATAGGCAATTTGGTCACTGGTGTTACCTGCCCCTAACATTCAGTCAAGAGTGGTTTCCTTTATGATAAAACACACTGGCAAGACAATATATCAGGTTTTGTTGACTTCATGTGCAACCCTTATTCAGAATCCTGGATCTGCTTCCCCAGATTGTGTCACTGAATCACTTTCTGCTACTGACTAGTAGAATATTGAACCAAGGGGCAGGATGTCCTGATGCGTAGAACATATACTAGGCGCAGCATTTCCTTTGGCAAGTTAAACAAGTTGTACTTAATCCATAATGTTTTATTTGTAGGACCAGACCTGACCCTTCAGTGCTTGTTAATACATTTCAACACCATCTTACATCGTCTTCACTTGTCTATAACATGTTGTTTGTTTGTTTGTTATTTCATGCTGCACTCAGCAATATTCTAGCTATATGACGGCAGTCTGTAAATAAATGAGTCTGGACCAGACAATCCAGTGACTGACATCATGAGCATCGATCCACGCAATTGCGATATGATGACATGTGTCAACCAAGTCAGCGAGCCTGACCACCCGATCCCGTTAGTTGCCTCTTACGTCAAGCATAGTCACCTTTTACGGTAAGCATGGGTTGCTGAAGACCTGATCTGCACGGGTCCTATAACATGTTTAACTAATGTGAGGTATTTTTTGCTGATATGCATTATACCTGATATACACACTAGACCGCTGAGATCCCAACCTACAGTTTCAGTGATCTAACCACCAACCTTCCCCTCTCTGGGCAGATGCGTTATAACACTAGACCACTGAGATACCATGCTGCAGTTTCGGTGATCTAACCACCAACCTTCCCCTGTCTGGGCAGATGTGCCATACACACTAGACCACTAAGAAACCATGCTGCAGTTTCAGTGATCTAACCACCAACCTTTCCCTCTGGGCAGAGGAGCTATACACACCCAGTGAGATCTCCTTCTGAAGTGTATTCATCAACCAATTCTGATTATTGAGTTCATGTCACACTTTGTCAGTCTGTCCTTATTAACAGGTATTAATATGTATTAATTAACCTAATACCACAATGATGCGAGCTAATTTGCTCCAGACTTGGGGCCAAATATCGACCTCTGAGCAGGTCTAGATAAGTCCCTGCAATCCCTGCCAATACAACAGCTTCATCAAAGCAACCTGTAAATGGTTGAATCTGAAGCAGACAAACCAGTGGTCTACAGCGGAGAAGGACTAGAGGTGTGCCTAGGTCTTTATTGATAGTGTTGAGAAGGGTACAAAGGGCACTACTGCCTCCTAAAATGAACACCAACAGGCGCATTCAATAATATTTGTCCAGGATATTAGTCATTATCAGATAAAGGGATTTATCTAATCCTGTTCATAGGCCAATATTCAACCCCAAAGTCTGCAGCAAATGTCAGTAAAACTACAACAAAAAAATCCTTAGCCTTGTAAAAATAGTCATAACAAACGTGATGGCTTGGTCATGTGACTTGTACTTCACTGTTAACAGGGCCAATAAGGAGGAAGAGACTTTAATGGTTAATATAACATTACTGTATTGAAAGATGTTAAAATACAACAATAACATACCTATGAACTAATTAAATTAGACCTTTGGAAAAATATCCCAATTTTAAACAAAATTACTATTTTTCTATTTTGCCTGCCAAGGGTACTTAGCTGAGAATCCTAGATAACCCTGTACCAGAATGAGCACTACAATCGTACCTGAAATTTATCTGTCAAGAAATGTGTGTACAAGATTACAAGATTACGTGATCAGATTAAGGGTTTCCACGTATCTCACCGAGTGGTGTGAGAGCTATTTCAATATTAATTTAGATACTGAGAGCCGTATGTGAGGAGATTTGTTACACAATCTGTCAATAATCTTACTGTCGCTGTACTTTGTGCAACCCATATTTCAAATTAAACAAGAGTCATCAGAAAGATGACATATCCCCCAGCAGCTGTCTGTAAAGTAACCACTAGTAAATGTGCAATTCTGTATGTAATGAGTCAACAGTTGAATGTTTTTTAAGAAGCATACATTGTTTACCCACAAAAGATCCACCATGGTCGCATCCATATGAAACAAGTGTGTTTCTGTGGGATTTTTTTTTTATGTAAACAAATGACAAATTACAAGAAACAATAACTAAATGAAATACAATTCTTTTCAAACTTTGAAAATACCTGCAAGTTACTCTGGTCAGTCTGGAAACACCAATAGGAATTGGTTCAAAATAAAAATTAGAAAAATCCCAAAATATCAAAAGGCACCACTTCAGTATGTGCCTGATAGATTTGCCAAGTTTCGATCAAATACACTGAATGGTTTTCAAATTCTGCCCCGAAAAAGGAAATGATTACGGACGGACATACGGACGGACTGGCTGATCGCTATATCCCCCCGCATTATATGCCTGGGTGATAAAAATCATAAATATGAAAGCTCTATGTAAGTTCAAGCCTGAGCAGGAATTCATAAACATAGCAAGCGTACAAAGCAACTGAGAATGTGGCTGCACATGATTGTAGATTACTGGTAATTGGGGTATGTACGATGAAACACCATTTGTGACAACTCTTTTCATATCCTTAAACAATGTTAAACACATAACATGAAAACAAAGCTGCAGGAGAATCACAAACTATTGCCTCCAGTTCCCCACACACTGCCATAAAGCGGCATAGAGGATCAGGACCCCAAAATGTCACATGGCGTCAGTGTTATGACCTTATGAGCAAAGAATTCAGACAAGCATATGAGATTTCAATATATTAAAAATGATCTAAAGCGACCAGTTCTGAATATGCTGAATTTGGACCATTCAGCCAACACCATATTTTATATGCCCTGTCATTTCTGAACTCCATGGGGGGCGGTCGGGTAGCCTAGTTGTTAAAGTGTTTGCTAGTCATGCAGAAGACCCGGGTTCGTTCCCGACATGGGTACATTGTGTGAAGCCCATTTCTGACCCCCGCCTTGATATTGCTCGAAAAGCGGCGTAAAACCAAACTCCATGGTATTTTGACCCAAAATGGAGTGCCATCGAAGTGATATATGTGTTGTGTGGGTTTTCTTTTGTACAAATAAAAATGAATCAGAGTCATATTCGAAAGTTGACATCTGTCAGGTTCCTTCATTTAGACCAGGCGGTCAAAGTTAAAGCCACGTAGAAACAATTGACCATTCAGGCACAAAATTCCTTTCCCCTTTTGAACTTTCATATTTGACACCTGAATAATATTATAGTTCACTTGAAAGAAAATTAAGCTAGAATGAAGGGCTACCTTGCTTTATTTTCACCAGCCAGATAGAAAGTAGCCTAGTACTACTGGGCAATTTCTGGAAAGAATGGCTCCATCATGAATTATATATGCAAAATGTTCCATTACTCATTGCCAGTAAAAATATTTTGCATGTCTTGTAAATAAGACAAAACATAATTGTTCAGCATTAATTTCGGAAAGGAAATCCCAGGAAATTTGAAAAAAAATAATTCGGGTTCCTGGGAGGTATTGTTAATTACCAAATCATCAGGTAGGTTAATAATTTACCAAGCAATTATTAACGCAGACTGTCATCATCAATAGTTTTAATCATGCTGTCAGTTTTACTTCACGCGGTGGACAAGTTGTGTCACCCTTAAATCACAACAGCATAAGGTATTCAGTGCAGGATATTGCACAATTCAGTACTCACATGCTACTGGAGCATAACATATTACCTTCCATCAGTCTTGGATAATAAAATGTCTTTGATGGTGTAAATTGGAAGTGAACCGAATTTAAAGAAATTTTGGAAAAGTAAATATTTATGGAAAGTTACTTATGCTACACTGATATTACAAAGAAGCTATTAACAGTTTTTAAATTCATATGTGACAATACGCTCTTAAGTATAATTGCTTAGACGTGCATGTCATTCTGATTTGAAACTTCTGACTGACCAATCACGACCAAGTATTTTGAAAACTCATGGTAGACTAAAAAATAACACATTTATTCTACTTCTAGAATCCTATTACCATGGTTCATGTTGCTAAATTTCTGAATACAACAAAAAAGTCTCTTAGAAGTCAAAATAAAAAAAATATGTTCCATTATACACGATATATAGGTGCAGTGATCACATACAAGACATAAGTGTCTCATTTTCAAACTAGATGTGTGTGTTTACATTTTATATCAGGAAGTTTGTAGTGGTTTTGCAGTGTTTATGGTAGAACATGGATAAACACATGAGAGAATTATGTTCTTGCATGTTTTCGGACTACTTATTACACATGGTACATGTT